GTATATTTATTTATTTAGCCTAAATAAGAACTTTCGGTCAAATAGCCTTGCCTACTGCATGCTTTGCTAATAAGAATTTATTGCCTCCTTACTAGTAGAATATATGCCTTTCCAGAGTCATGTAAAGGACATACTTTACCTACTCATTTAAACATAATAAACAAGGAAGGGATTTGATAATGAGTGTACTATAATCATTTGCGATAATGGCAAAACTGGTCTGGCTTGTTTCAATATGTGTGGTTCTTAGAGGTCATGGAAATTCTGTCCTGGTTAATCGGTTTAATCCAGTTTCCTTGCACAACTAATCTAATTATGAAACTGAATTGGCCAAGGTCTGTTCCAGTTTTGCTGGTCCAACCAGCCGGTCTGATTCAATTTTGATAATATGGATGTTGCCTTTTCTTCAAGTTGTTGAGATGTATTTGGAGGTTTGATATTATTATGCTATGTAGTCTCACATCTCATTCTTTTTCTTTTTGCATTTTGTTTGCAGGATGGCTCTTTATGGATGAGGAACAATATCGATATATATCTCGTATTGCAGCACCAACTCATCTAAAGTCCTGGGAGTCGGGATCTGTGATCCCCATCTCTTCACTGAATGAAAAAGTACAGATGGATGAGGAGACTGTAATAGCTGAGTCTAAGATTAGTCAAATTAAGGACCTCTTCCCAGATTATGGGAGAGGTTTTCTATCAGCTTGTCTTGAAGTCTATAACCAGAATCCCGAGGAAGTGATTCAGAGGATACTAGAGGGAACACTTCATGAAGATCTTTTGTCTTTAGATACTTCACTAGAGCAGGTTCCATCACGAAAACAAACATCCAGCCGCAGTGATAAAGGGAAAGGTTTATTACTAGAATCTGCACCTCAAGGTACCTTGCCATCTACCGCCACGGGTTCTAGTAGGCAGCAGAAAGATGACGCTGGCCCTCCATCTTCCTCTCTTTCATCCTCGTACGGGCGATACACAAGAAAGCCTAATGATGAAGTTCCTAATTCCACCATTCTTGACTCAAGAACAGCTAAAGATGCTGTAAGGGCAGCCGTCCTTGCAGCAGAACTTGAATATGAAGATGAATATGACGACTCATTTGATGATCTAGGCCTGAGTATCGTTGAATCAGTAACCGAGGAGACAGAGAACTTATCTGATAGAATTAAATCCTTAACAGGAATAGCCTCAGGTTCAGATACTGGAGGTTCATCAAATTCTAGCTCGAAATGGAGTTCACAAAAGAAGCTACAATTTTACGTCAAGGATGGGAAGAACTATAGCTATAAAGTTTCTGGTTCAATTGCTGTGTACGATGCTCAAGAAGCAGCTCTTGTCAACCAAGCACAGAAAGAGATGATTCATGGTCTGGGACGTGGTGGAAATTTACCAGTTGGGGCTGTTAAGAGGCTGATGGATGCCGAGGACCAGGACCAAGAACATCAGATGCCTGACACCGCAGAAAATGCAGGTAGAGGGAACACCAATCCTCAGGGAAGGGGAGGAAGGAGAGGCGGCAGGCACCACCACCACCGGAAGGATAGAGCAATGAAGAAGCACTTGTCAGGAGTGGGTGGCTATTAGATGCTTGCACTCTTGAGTAGATGCACAGCTTATATATATATATATATATATAGGAGAAAGCCTTCCTCGACTTGGAAAATGCAGAACAGAACAGAACAGAACATATCGGCCTCAGACCTTTTTATCAGGTAACTTGTTTTTGGATTTACCATTTACTCGTATTCCCGCTACCGAAGAAATATGTAACTTTTTTTTTTATGCATATAGTGTATAATAATCTGAATTTGGATATCATTACTTGGTTTTGTGCTGGAATTTAGTAGAGAAGCCGAAAAATGATTTCATTATTTTGAACCTCATTCAGCCATGCTGCTGCAGGCTTCTTATAAAACAAAAAATAGACATATAAACCCAAATAATCCAAGATCTTATAAACAAGAGCAGTAAGAATAGATAGTAAGAGGATGCTCGTCCAAGGCCCGCCCATCCTCTCCTGGGAACAAACATGCAGGTAAGATGATGAAGATGATGGGAGGTGAACACGAAGGATGTCATGCTGTTACTCATTTTGGAGCTCAAGCGAGGAGGAAAGCGGTAGATGAATTCTCTCCCTCCTTTTATAACTGCTGTTGTTTTGATGCTTACATTCATTTGCTCTCCTTGGAAGAACCTAATATGATACTATGACGAAGGAGATGGCCTCCTGTAAAAAGAAGAACATGTCTTTTCTCTTTATAGAACTGGATATAATAGACACAAATTCCCTGCTCGGTGACTATTCCGTCTATATCAAACAATTGTTTGATCTTGACACTCATTTTTGGGCTAATTATATATTATTTATTATGATTAATTATCTTTAATGTCCCAGTCCCTATACTTTAAAAAATTATATTGGTATCCATATAGTTACGAAAGTAAAATATCTAGATTCATTTACATTAATTTTATCGATAAAAATATAAAAAAACAAAGGGTAAAAAGATAATTTTAAAATTTGGTGACGGACGACGTTGGTGGTGGTAGACAGCGCTGTTGGCGTTAACGCCGATGCAGTTGCTTGGTCACATCCGATAATGATAAGGTTCGCTCTCATCGTGACGCCACCCGTCTCCACGAGGAGTGCACCATCGATCTCATTATCGCCCCCCTCGCTTTGCATCTACATCAACGTCGACGCAAATGGTGCCTCGACTCAAAGTTGGGATCGTCGAAGCTCTTACCGCCCCCCACTTCTCACGTCAATTTCGACACCACCTCTTACTGAGCGGTCCTTTTGTTACTCTGCATTTGCATCAACATCGATGCAGTTGCCAAGCGGCTTGACACAGTAATAGGGGGGGGGGGAGTGGCAGGAACTTCGATGACCCCAGCTTCAGGTCGAGACTAGGAATTCACCCGGTGGGTTAGCGACATGATGACCACCATCATCTGTGTTAACAACAATATAGAGCAATGCGAGGTGGACGACGATGAGATTAGCGACATGCTCCTCGTGGAGACGGGTGGCATCACGATGAGAGCGAACCTTATCATTAATGGAGGCGACCAAGCAATTGTGTCGGCATTTATGCCAGCACCATCCGTCATCGAACGTTAAAATTATCTTTTGATCATTTGTTTTTGTGTTTCCATCTATAAAACTAACGTCATTAAGATAAATAGACCTAGATATTTTACTTTTGTAACTATAGAGATACCAATACAATTTTTTAAAATGTAAAGATGCTAAAGGTAGCTAACTACAAATGGTAATATGTAATTAGCCCCTCGTTTTCTCATTATATGATCAACATAGTGGTCAAAAGCAGAACAGGAGGCTTCCTTTTCTCTTCACTGTAAGATTTACATAGAGAGAGATGATCCTCTCGCTCTCCAACTCAAAACGTATAGGCAAGAAGAGAAGTATGTGATACAACTATCGAAGAGAAGAGACCTGTACAAGAAACAAAACACAAAGTTCTATATTTCTATCATTTGGCAAGTAGATCAAACCCTAATCTATCCTCTGATGATACTCTCTGCTCCTGTAAACTTCGATCTATGTAATATACGTTACGATGATGCCTTCCTCAAAAGGCATCGCTTATTCTTCTGTATATATTGTGCCTGCCAATTTTAACTTATTTTTCACCTGCTTTGGTCACCTTTTCGATTGCCAGATTACTGCATTCCTTATCACCCGATTGTCTTCGCATACGATCGAGAAACATAAGTTGATCATCTCTCATGGTTTTATGAACTGTCCTCATCTGAATTGGCATCTTGACCCCACCGTCGGAGGACTGGACGCAAAGCACTTGCAGATGTATGGAAGGACCTAGCTGATCCGACTACCGTCCTCTCGTGCAACATGCCCACTTCCTTGCAGACATTATCTAGCACTGAGAGGAAGTCCCTTACCACCGTAAATATTCTGAGAGGGTGGGCTTCCTCCTTTGCTGCATTCCCATGAAAGTATTCCGTAGTCTCCTTTACTAGGCTCATCACCCTCTTTTCCTCGACCTTAACACGATCAATCTCCCTTTCGGCCTCTTCAAGAAATTTCTTCATCAACTCATAAAAATTCATACCTTGTGTGCATGATTTTGCAAGCTGTAAAACTGACCTTATCTTCTCAAGCCCAATTTCTAGCTTGGAGACATAACCACTGAGCACATCCGAGTCCATTCCAGCTGCCTTCCTGACATTTCCGAGTTCACTGCTCAACCCAGCCACCACTTTCAAGCCTTGTTTCTTGAATTGTTCTTCTCTGACCTTGTCAGAGAGACTCTCTGCTGTTGGTTCAGTACCTGATCCTTCCGACCGCATGATCTCTTGCATGACAAAATGCAGAAGTGTGGTTTTTCCATCAGTCCCTTCCACATCTGCGAGTTTTAGAAGAGTATCTAGCTTGAAGGCTTTCGCCTGACCGCGGTTGGTTCCCACATTCATCCTGTTTCCAGTCCTCAGAACAGCTTCCAAGAGCTTACGGAATAGTCCACTGCTTCTTAGATCTTCACATGCTGCCTGCAGAACATTTGAGGGACTATGAGCCATGCAATATATGGACGATGATCATAAAGGTTTTGCTTATTTCTTATGGTTTATCGTTAGTTTGTAAACTTATATAAATCTTCAGTACATTTCAACAGTATTCTTTTTTTTCAGAAAAAAAAAACTGTGTGCGATCCAGTTCCATTTCAAAAAATATCAAGTGGATGCTATGATAGGGGTACGTCAGGCAGTTTTAAAAAGCACCAAAATACTGAAAATAGAATTTAGAAAGAACAAGCACAACAACTATTAGCCATGATTTATCCCATATAATGAGCATTCAATTGGCACAATATGCATAATAAATTTATAGGTCAAAGAAGAACTCTTAAATTAGTAATGCATGCTAGTATATTAAGAAATAGGAGAAATCATACTACAGTTAAAAGTAAGAATAATTCAAGCTAAAATTTTATGGCTCAGACTTCCAAGAACAAGTTTGTAAGTACTGATCGGAAATATGTTTGTTTCTGCTTTCAAAGCAATAGTTTTACCTCTAAGGTCTCAAAAGATTTCGTTAGATAGTTGACTTCTGTCTCAAAAGTAGCTCTGTAGAGCAGTGCATCAACTCTTTTGAAGGCAAATGGTATGTCCAACACTGCTTTTAGAAAGCGCTCGGCCGAACCTAGCTTAGAAACGTCACCTGTGTAGCCACGTAATCTTAGTTCTTCCTCCTTAGTCGGTGCCATCTTAACCAAAGTTTCCAAAAGCTCAGCTCCTAAACACTCGGGATTACCTGTAGCAGACAATTTTATCACTCGGTAACATTAAAACATGCAGTATTCATCACAATTCAGCTGCAGCAATTCTAAGTTAAGAGGCTCTATGACTCTCAGAAAATTATCCGATCAGCTGTTGTACTACTAATGTCAAAACTAAAAGAAAATTTTTTGTTGGTAATTGGAGATAGATTTCAAACTAGTAAGACAGGATCAAACATATGGAGTAAGCTGCAATAAACAATTTATCATTGGATGACCCCGCAAGAGATAAATAATATCCAACTTGACTTATAGAACTAGGATGAAGTCATATCAAATCATTTTGTGCCACATGAATAATTTAAGGAGGCATGAGAAGAAACAAATTAAGTTTAGAGAAAGGATGCATTCTTACCATCCAATAGTGCTTCGGAGACCTCATCTGTTGTCACTTTCAATGCCTTCAAGAGTATTGCAATATTCTGCGACTTCTTCGGATCTAACACTCTGTTCTCCCACTTGAATGGCAGAATTCCCTGTCTTCTGCTTGCATCTTTAGGAACAGAAGCTGTGGTGTTGTTGACAAACAGCGTCTGAATCACATCCTCATTCACTCTGCCAAAAAGAAGGGAAAAACTTAATGCTAATTCATGGTTTCGGTAGCTTTGGAGATCAAAGTGGGAGAGAAATCTTCAGGAACTTCTCACTGAAATGAGCTTGATTTCAATTGGTCCCAGACCATTGCTCGATCGGAGCTCGCTCTAACTTTGTCCCAGTGTAGAGGCTTCAACTTGGGCTTTGCATCACCCTCCAAATCCTCCCTCGCCTCTTCAATTTGCCGTGAAGAACTAGCGACTTCGTTGCCGACCTTCGCAGGAGGAAGTGGTATGTTGAACCGTGCTGCTTCAGGAGGAAGAGGATTCAGCAATCGACGCCTGGAAAATGGCGCAATTGGTGCCACAGGAGCTTTAATTGGCTGTTCGTCTTGCTCCACGGCTTCGACAGGTGGTGGCGGCGGCGGCGGTGGCGGAGGGGGTCGTGGATTTCTGGTGAATTTGTCTATCGTGGGAGGAGGTGGTGGAGGGGGCGGCGCCGGTGGTGGAGGTTGTTGTTTCATTGGTGGGATTATCTGTCTGACTTCAGCTTTCGAGTAAGTAGTGAGCTGCATGGAGCGAGGAGCAGAGTCCGCCTCCGCCGCCGCCAAAACCAAGAACTCCTTCCCGCCGCTGCTCATACTCGGGAGGCTCCGCCGCGAGACTGGGCTACCTGGGCTCTCGCTAGTGGCGGACGCCAACGACCGCTGCGCAGTATAGAAGGTGTCCTCATCAGAGGACGCCATCGACAGAGGAACGATCAACTCCCGCGAAGCCGTCGCGGTCAACGAAGGAAGCGGCTGGAGCTCGGGGCTCGGATGATGCATTTCCAGCATCCGCTCCAACCCGAGTTTCCGATAGGGCGATCCGTTGGATTCGCTGCCCTGCCGCCACCCCGAAGCCTCCGTAGACACCATGTCCGTGGTACCGGGGTAGAGCAAGTCCTGCGCCGCCTCGGAAGAGGCGGGCCGGCCTTCCCACCGGCCGCCGCTATCATCTCGGCCCATGACCTTCCCGGCGTCCGGTGACCTATCAGCCCTCCGGAGTCGGTACAAGAACAACCCCAACAAAACCAGAACCACGAGGGCGACCCCGGAGGCGGACGCCGCGACAGCGACGACCTTCTTGGACGCCGACGATGCGGATGGCCCGGAGGAGGTGGCGGCCGCTTCAGAGGTGTCCGGAGGCGGGTCCAAGAATTCCTGTGGCGGCGGCGGGGGTGTCCACTGGACGGGGTACAGCGGCTGGTGGAGGACCCTCCGGCTGCCGCCACCGCCGTCCGAAGCGGAGGCGACGGCGGCGCAGAGGAGCGAGAGCTCGACCAGTAGCATCATCGCGTGACGCTTATCCAACGACTTCCGTTTCCGTTTCCGTTCTCGTTTCGCTTCGGTGGCGAGGGGATTGAAAGTGGCAGCCAGAGACGAGATCCGTGTATTCTTCCTCCGCCTCCGTCTACTCCATCGGACGCCGACCGAGTGACATCAGCGAATCCGCCTGTCGTCCTTCGGCTCGTGGTCCCGATCCCGCGCCGCCTCCTCCCCCCATCTTGCACTCGCACATCTCCCTCCCTCCTCGACACCACCACGGGATCCGCTGCACGATCACGAACACGGTGAGCTACTCCGTTGCCAACATCTCCCGTCGAGCTTGACCATACGGCGCACGTAAAGCATCTGCTTTCTCTGCGCCACGTGCAGGGCCGGAGATAGCGGAGAATACGGCGCTACGGATTCCGCCCCATCAAGAACCGGCATCGTCAAGGAACCACTCGATCCGATCGGACGGTCTCGACGAGCAGAAGAGATTGCTTGCGATTTGGGTCTTCCCTTCCGTAACATCACAAGATGCTTAGACACTATATAAAGCATGTCGAGGCAATGTATGTATGTAAAGCATGCAGATTGGCGACGGGGGGGGGGTCGCGTCATGTGAGAGAGAGTGAGGAAGAAAGGTGAGCGAACCAAAGGTGTCGGCGAGGCAACAGTGACACGACGTCAAAGGAGATGGCCCCTTCGCTGACGCTCACGGTCTGACCGTGCCAACAAAACCGCTCCTTCCGATCGTCATCAGTCACTGCTCGAATGCGATGGAGTTGTGGTCCTGCTTGTGCCCATCTCATACACGAGCTCGTTCCGCCATTGTCATCGAAAAGAGTTTGCTTTCACGATGGTGAAGCGGATGCGCTGAAGAAAACGCCACGTCTGCAACCGCAAGTCAAGTGGAGCGGAGGCTTCCGGATCGTTGCCAACGCGACCTGGTTGCAGAAGATGAGGAGGATTCATCATGGGATCCATCTTTGCCATGCTGGCCTCGTGATTCGTATGCAGTGAAGATAATGACTTGATAAATCATCTTTTCTGTAAGGTGACCTTCCAGAAAGAGTACGAAGAGGAAATCTTTCTCCATCAGTTCCTTTTACACGTTCCAGAGAAAGTATGGAGAGGAAAAGATATATCTTATAATCATTTGAGAGTCTTTGGGTGTAAAACATTTGTTCATATTCCCAAAGATGAAAGGTCCAAGCTTGATAATAAGGCAAAAGCATGTATCTTCTTGGGATACGATCATGAAGAGTTTGGATACAGATTATAGGATCCAGTGAACAAGAAAATTATTAGAAGCAGAGATATTGTGTTTCTTGAGGACCAATTGTTTAATGATGGTGATAATATTGAGAAGCCAGAAACCTCTGTTTATATTCCTTGGAGTTTGGGTCCAGTTCCTTCACCTATAGTTCATGATGATCATGGGGGAGATGAATAAGAAGATTATGGTGAGAATACTAGTAGTGATGATACACCTACAGTTGATGATGCTGAACCAACTGAACAGCAAGGAAAGTTGACACAGAATGCAAACAGCAAAAAAAGATGTACATGTGAACAGTAGCATATTTCCCTGCAAGCACAATCTGATGATTCAAGAATCACACAAAGAGCAGATGCAAGCATCAAAGGACTTTTGCTTCATTCATTCAACACATGGTGGCTACCTAATTGTGTGAGCATCACTGATACTAACAGCCCAAACAACACAACAATTATTTTGTTGGAATGAGAAGTCATAGATTGGGAAGTAAGCAACTATAACACTCCAAAACGAATAAGACTAGGATTGATGTACTATTGTCAACTTTATTCTAAATATTTTGAATGATGAAATTTATAGACTAGTTAGTCCAACATATTCGGATCATGACAGCAATAACAAATCCTATTGAAAAAGAACTACAAGATTAATCATCATCAACTTGATATCTGTTGTCACCTCAACGAAAACTGATTAAACCAGTAGATGCAGAATTTGATTACTTGTATCCCAACTTAAAGCCATACATCAAAAGGCTCTTCTTGTCAGAACCACAAGGAACCACAGATAGTTGATAAGATTTCATCATTTACATCTTTGATACCTTGTAAAGTCTTAATGATTAGTTGATCAAAGAACGAAAGCAAGATGAGCAGATCAGAGAAAGGCATCCATAACTAGGTTAATATAAAGATACAGACAGAATCATAATTCAGAATGAAAGAAAATAAATCATCGACCTTATATAGACCCCTTCATAAGGACATGTTTGCCTTTGAACAAGAGGCCCTTCAAGCAACAGCACAAAGTTAACTAGGCCTTAAAGATTAAGAGGAAAAAACAATAAAAGAAAGTTACAATTATTCTGATGTTTTTCTATCACTTTCATGCAACTGGCCCCATGGTCTCCTCATCAAAAACCCATGGAGGTAGGTAGTTTCACGAAAAAAAAAACTTCGAAAAAAATAGGGTTATCTCCAAAGGCACCGATTCCTTACTTGGATTACACAGGCACCATTTTGATGACAGCAGCAATGGGCATACCAAGAAACCCAATGAACACACAGACAAGCCACTGTGATAAAGTCAATGGCGTTGTGCTTGCAAAATCTCCAAGAAACTGAACAATTATGAATTGGAAGATGATGGTGCAAGAAATGACAGCCACGAATACATAATTCTCTGATATGTCATGAAAAACATTTATCTTTTCCATCTCTCTGCAGCTGATCTCATTGAACACCTGCACAAGAAAAATCAAGGTATTAGAGCCACATGAGTGCGCTCCAGTTATATAAAAATATGTGCTAAAACAATTTACAGCATAAAATTAAAAAGAGACAACCTACTATCCAACTTAAATGACTACATAGCATATGATCCATACCATATGAAAATGTTTCCAACAGATTTAATTAAAATAGCAGTGAATTTATAGTCACCTGTCACCCAACATCCATGCTAATGCCTTTAGAGCATGTAGATGTCATGGGATCTAAAGCTCTAGTACAAAATGAAATTCTCATTTCAATTAAAAGGATTGCTTGTCAAAACAGCAGTTTGTAGGCAATGGCTTAATGAATGGTGATTTTGAAATGAAAACTATTAGCTTTGTACACGTAAGTTGGTGTCATGTGCCCAAGAATTTTGATTCATAACATATGGATCATATTCCATATCCTTCTATTGTATTCATCATATTCTTTCAAAAACATGATAGAACAAAAACAATCATAAGTACATGAGTCTCACGAATTTACCTGACAAAGGACAAAGCAATTGAAAATGAGGGTATTTAGTCCAAGATCAGATTCAGGGCCCTCAAGTCGAAACAGCACTTTCCCCTCTCTCTGGAGATACCATATTACTATAAACTGGTAAAAGGATTGTCCTACGATGTTCCTCCACATTGCATTGCTAATAAAATTGCCTTTTCTTCCAACAGGAGTCCTTTTCATCAATTCATCATTAGGTGGCTCAGTGGCTAATGCAAGTGCCCCAAGTGTATCCATAATCATGTTCACCCAAAGCAGTTGAACAGCAGTGAGGGGAGCATGTCCTAACATAGAGCAAGCACAATGAAATGAACAATGAGGGATATGATCTTAAGGTACACCAGAAATTAGTACCATTGAAGGGGTTAGATTTACCAGTTAAGCAGGCTGAAGAGAAGTTCACTATTAGAGCAACAATATTAACAGTCAGCTGAAACTGTACAAACTTTTGAATGTTTATGTATACAGACCGGCCCCATTTTGCCACAGTTACAATAGTTGAGAAGTTGTCATCAAGAATAATAACGTCAGCACTTTCTTTAGCTACCTGCGTATGACAATAATAATGTCATCAAGATATGTAATCTTTGGAAGAAACAATAACTGGACTTCTTAATTGTAAATAACTTGGCCATCAACAAACTATCGATAATTGTGTATCTATTGATAATTATGAGTTATCAATTGGCAACCTACATTACAGCCTTAACTCTATATTTGTGGATTCTAGAATCAATAGCACTTCAAAGCTAATTATTTGCCGAGGTCATTAGTATTAGTCAGTTGCGAGAGCAATGCCTCCAGCCATGAGAAATGGGTAGATACTATGGTTGAAGGCACTTTCTTACATGCTCCTTTAGAAGCAAAATGCTTAGAAATTATGTAAGCAAAGAATACTATGTCAGTTTCTACAATATCAGAAACAGAATAATTAAAAAATAAACATGCCATAATTACTACCTCAGTCCCTGCAATACCCATTGCAAGGCCAATATCAGCCTCGCGAAGTGCTGGTGCATCATTTGTGCCGTCGCCAGTCACAGCAACAACTTCACAGAACACAGTGCGCAGATGCTTCACCAAAGTGTGTTTATCGAGAGGTGAAGATCTAGCCATTACCTGGTAAGTTCAACACATTAGCAAGTCAATGATGATAATTCTAACATGTAAATGTCTGTTTGATGTGTTGAGGTCTAAAAATTAGAACCTGAAGTTTTGGAATCAAATCCCTCATTTCCTCTATACTCTTATTCCTGAACTCAGGACCCTCAATAGCCTGTCCATCATTAGTAAGAATACCACATTCTCGAGCAATAGCCTTTGCTGTGTTTATATTATCCCCTGTAACCATTCTAACTGTAATTCCAGCAGACCTACAAATTGCAACAGACTCTTTTACACCTGGTCGGACAGGATCTTTGATGCCAACAATTCCAATACAAGTGTATCCATCAACAGGGATATGATCATCAGCTGCAAAACCATTCTCAACTTCCATATAGGCAAGGCAGAGAGTGCGAAGTGCTTCGTTAGCAAAACTTTCAATTACACCGTTGAGATGACCAACTGTTGCTTCATCAAGTGGGACAGCATTACCTGCAGGATCTAAAACTTTACTACAAGCTGCCAATATAATTTCTGAAGCACCTTTACAATGGGCCCGGCATCCTCCTCCTGGAAGCTCGATAACCACTCCCATTCTCTTTTTCATGGAATTAAATGGTTCCACTTTTACAAGCTTAGTTTCTTGGCGCACAGCCTGGAAATCCCCACCAAGCGACAAGCCAAATTCCAACAGTGCAGTCTCAGTTGGTGTTCCAAGAATTTCAAGCTTTCCATATTGGGTGATGACAACTTCTCCACCAGTGTTATTAAAGATAGATTGCATGAGCACTTTTACAACAACATCTGGAACCTGGGAACACATAATTTTGACCTCTTCATGATTACCAACCTCCTTGATACTTCCACATATACAAGCTTTCACTACAGTCATGTGATTGGTTGTTAATGTACCTGTCTTGTCACTGCAAATTGATGTAGATGAGCCCATAGTCTCACAAGCAGCAAGATGGCGGACTAGTGCTCTATCATTCATCATCTTCTTCATGGCAAAAGCAAGGCTCAAGGTTACAGCTAAGGGCAATCCTTCGGGAACTGCAACCACTACAATAGTGACTCCAATGGCAAAATACTCCAGCAACTCCAACGCATCATCTGCTGACCAGGTCCAGTGTGAACCCTCTTGAAACTTGCGTCTAAGTTGTCCTTCAGCTAGCACAGCAAATGTCACAACTGCAAATGCCAATCCAATTTTCCCTATAATAGTTGCAACTCCATTCAGTTTGACCTGTAATGGAGTTTCATCATCTCCTCCCTCGCTGAGGGTGGCCATCAGCTTACCCCATTGTGTTCTCATGCCAACAGTAGTTACTAGCATTTTACAGGATCCATCTTGGACCTTAGTTCCAGAGAGAAGAAATGGGTTGTCAGCATTCACAGCAACGGGTTCACTCTCTCCTGTAAGACTAGATTCATTAATCAACAAGGAAAATCCAGACACAAACAACCCATCAGCAGGAACTTGATCTCCAATGGCAAGGTGAACTATATCACCAGGAAGTAGATCATATATTGAAAGTTTCTGCCTAAATCCTTCCCGTGTAACCTGTATGGATATCTTCTTCTTCTCTTTATCCAAATCTCTGAACTGTAAAGACTGTCGATAATCACTAGTTGCAGTCACAAAGACGACTAAAAGTATGCTACTGACAATTCCAAGGCCATCATGTGCACCTTTTGGCCATCCTTCTGTGGCAATGCCAACAACTAGAGAAACAACAGCACACACGGCAAGGATCATGAGAGTCATGTCTTGAAGCGCTTCCCAGACGAATACCCAAAAACTCCGAACCTCGCTCTCCGTGAATTTATTCACTCCATAAACATTTTGCCTGTGTCTCAAACTCTCGTCAGCAGTAGTTAGACCGTTGGTAATGGATGTGGAGAGTTTGTCCGCAACACCATCTATACCACCATGTATCTTCAACTTCTTCACATCATGGCCTTCAACTATGGAGCTCAGTTCATCAGCGCAAATTTGGAAGCCTGCTTCCTTCACTTCATTAGGTACAGTGTATTCACTCTGCAATGCGATACCTGAACACATTTGTTGATGCACAATTGAAACAAAAGACTGAAGAAGAAAAATCCTTGAAGCCAAAAGTGCAATCATGCTACCACGACAAAAAAGGAACTACATTTTGACAACTGACAGATTACCATGGATAAATTGCAATGCAGCTTTTGAAACCAGAACGGCAACTCGTAACTTCTCCTGGAACACACAACATGAAAAATCAATCTCTCCCGTAGAGATAGAAGAGTGTAATGCACAGAGTCAATGCCAGACTTTTATGTAAATGGGAAAGCACAACAACAACTTCAGCATATTTCTTACTGGTATGAATGCCTGTAATGGATGTCTAGTAGCATAACAGGAGCATAATGAAAGGGAGATGCTTTCCAAGTAAACGAGAAGTTTGGCATCAGATATGAAACCCAGAGAACAAACAGGTGATCGAATCAAGAGGACCAATCTATTAAGGATCAGTGATGTTGGTTGTCACAACGAGGAAGGAAGCTAGGGCTGGACCTGATTCGACCGCATCATGGCGGCGGCCTCGGAGCGCTTGGAGAGGTTGGCAGTGAAGCGGAAGCGGCGCTTGGGGTTCTTGACGACGCCGACGAGCTTCCTCCATCGCTGGAGCGACTCCTCCGGCGAGTTCTTCGACTTCACCCCACCGAAGTTCTGGTTCAGGTAGCTCTCCATCCTCCCCCCTCGCTCCCTCCTCCTCCTCCCCCTCCTCCCCCCCAGCGCCCTCAATGACTACACGAGAAATAGCGAAGTGAGAACGGAACGAGGAGGAAGAGGAGGGAGGAGCCGCAGTCGGAGCAGCTATTGCGTAGTTCCTACGAAGCACTCGGTGCGTAGAGGAAGCGAGAAGGGAGTTAGCTCATTGCGAGGGAGAAGGAGAGGAGGAGGAGAAGAAGGAAGGAGATTTGGATCCGCAATGGGCTGAAGAGAGGGCCACGTTACGATCGCATTTGGAGGAGGAAGTCGCCGGAAACTGCGGGGAGGAGCGGAAGAAGAGTTCCCGGTTCGCTTGTAGCGACGGGTTCGCCTTCCTTTACCAGAAAGCTCGTGGGCGTGACCGAGCCATCACGTGATGTGTTGGCTCACCGGTTTGATGAAATGAGTCGCGTTTGGGTCAACCGGTATGGTTAGCACATTCGATCCAAATTGATCGACTTATTAATCTAATTAGGTCGACCTGTTGAGCCCAACCCAACATCGTATCGACGCATCTGACCCATTAAACTCATCTATTAATATTCCAAATGTAATTTTTATTTTTATTTTTATCAACGCGTGCTAATTTAGCTCGACCAGAGTCGACTGAGCCGATTCGACCCAACCCAGTTTGATTCACTAACTGATTCGATCCTCGACATGACAAGTCCGATAACATAATATTAAATATAAATTTAAACATAAAATTAAATATCATTTTTAAGGTAAATAATACAAAATATATTTTAATAATTTATCGTAAATTTTTTAATTAAAACCTGTTAACTAAATTAAATCTTTTATTAACTAAAATTCTGCTATCTTTATCATCTAATTAAATTTATTAAATTTTTATGAACTAAATTAATTGACACTAATAATCTAATTAATTATCATGAATAAGTCCAATTTGGACTGCAAGATAATCCCCTTTAGTTAGAGGTCTTTTAACATCCCGATCCTTACAGTTGATAGTGATCGATGATAATGTCATCGGGGGTCATGGGTGAGTGTTATGCATCAACGTCGATCAAATATGCGAGCCACTCTGTATATGCATCAACGTCGATGTAATTACCAAACGACCCTCTCGTCGCTCGACATTTGCATCAACATGACTTAGTAATTATGTAAGTGCTGATATAATTGTTAAGCGACATCGCTTTGCATCTACCCAACGTAGTTGCCGAGCGACACCGCTCTACATCTGTATCTATACTAATGCATATGCCAAGCGACGAAAGATTATCGATACAGATGTCGAACAACATCGCTTGATAACTACATCAACGTCAATGCAGATGCAGAACAACACCACTCAAAAACTGCATTGACATCATTAAAAATACAGAACAACACCGCTCAACATTTACGTCCACGATTCTAACGTAAATACAAAATGATAAAATAACCACTCAACAATTGCATATGCATAACAACATTCACCTCACAACAATCATTTCCCACCCTCAACGACATCATCCCTCCGCCAACTAAAATATCATAATTATATTTTTACTTTTTATTTTTATATTTTCATTAATAAAGCTAATAATATTAGGATAAATAAACCTATATGTTTTACCAATATAACTCTTTAAAATATAAAATCGAGATAATAAAAAATAACTAATTAGAGAGAATAATATGTAATGAGCTTCAATCTTACCCACTTATAATCATATATAAAAACAACAAAACAATAAACTATCCGCGAAAAAGTGGAGCAAACGATTTAGATTTAATTCCCTTCGACCTGAGACTATAACGGGCCACGACATCAGCACTCCCCATTTGTTATGAAGATTAAGAAATCAACACGGAACAAGTAAACTTAAAAAACATCTGATAAGCATCACCTTAAAAGTTGAAGACAATTACTCGAAATAAAAATGAGGAAAACAATAGTCTAGACTGCATCCCGCACAAAATCTGCTAAAGAAATGATTGCTATCTCGACAAAAGAAAATATCAAAGCAAACGTAGGTTTAGGCTCCAACAACTTCTGCTTCACCTTCCATCTGGACATCTTCTGCAGGTCTCTCCATTTTGACACCCACATCCTCCTTGTAGTCACCATGAACCTATCAAATCAAAATCCAACTACTTTGAGACTACTCGACTTTACAGACCAAAATCACACGGTACATCAGATTCATCCATTTGGATCTTAAAATGACATCCAAAGTTCAAAGAAAGTGAGAAGCTTTATATAACAATTATATTGAGAAAAGGCATATAGAAAGTACCTCCATGAGTTTCCCTAAATCAAACTTAGGAGCCTTCAGGATTTTGACTTTGCGAATAAACACATTCTGCAATGGGAAAATGCTGGCCGTTGCTTTCTCAATCTCCTTTCCAATGACCTCGGGTATGAATTTCAGTACCAAATCCTTCAGATCGCATGAGGAAGCTTGATTAACCATAATTTCTCTCATCTTGCGGCGTATCTGAAAACAATTTTGAAATGATACTATTTATTATTCATTCCACAATTGTCCATTAAAAAGATTTAGTTTGCATAGTGAAATGAACTTACCTGTCTGATCTGACTAGACTGAGCATAACAGGTGCGCTTGACCTGATTTGGACGTCTCTTGGTGAAGCCGAAACAGAACAAGCGCAAAGTGTAATTGTCAGTAGTCTTCACATCAACATGTGCTTCAATCAGTGTCTGCCACTTCCGAACTAAGTATCTGACCTTGTCAGTTGTGAGGTCCATGCCCTAGAAGAAAGCCAAAGACATTAACACCAACAACATAGCATCTATGAAGTTAAATAATACAACAGAGTCACAGATATACCCAGAAGTTAGTTAGGACATTCTTTCCTTGCACATCCTCTGCACGAAGCCGGATCTTCCTGTGAGCTTGATCCTCATCGTTCTGAAGGTCAGCTAAAGAAACTTCAAAGACTCTGTGTTTAAGACCCTCAGAAGCAATCTGAAACAAAAAGAAACCTAATCTGGTGAGCGGCTGTCTATCAAGAAAAAAATTGGTAATACATTGCAATCACAGAACTACGAAACATGAAATCACAATAACTCAAATCACGTGAATCTACAACGAAGCAATGAATCAGTATAGATGCAGAACAATAGACAATCAAATTAAAGCAATGAATGGTGCCTTTGGTGTACGTATCAGAAAGGTGCCTTTGGTGTGCATATATTCTCCCAGTCTAGGCATGACATAACCACTGAAACAAAGTATCAATGAAAAGTAGCCCAATATGATCAAACAGAAGGACACTTATGTTCCAGGGAAACCAATATCCTCAGAGGCCATGAACCAACCACACCTGAAGCAAAATCATTTATGGGTGTCGGCTTCTGTCGGTCTGCCCACAAGCTGTAAACACAAGCATCCATGTAACCCCTATCTCAACAGGTAGTAACTACTCATTGAAATGACAGCTCTAATATCAACCGAGTTAATTAATGAAGCTTTGGTGAATAGAAAATGGTCTGGCACAATATGATTAAAAAGATGGACACTTGAGTTCCAGGAAACCAAAATCCTAATAGACTACGTTCACTGGTGCCGGCTTCTGTCCACAAGATGAAAAACACAAGCATCCACTTAACACCCTCTCTCAACAGGTAATAACTACACATTCAAATGACAGATCAAACATTAACTAAGTTAATTGCAGAGACTTTGGTGACTTGCAAATGGCCTGGCCGTCTGCACAGGCCATTTATATCATAACTGGTTTTACTAGTTTTGTAAACTAGTAAACTAGTTTACAACGCCCTTAACATTTACTAGTTTTGTAGGATGGTGCGGAGTGTTAGCTAGTACAATGCTCTAGGATATTGTCTAGGATGGGTTCCCTGTCTTATTTCGTGACAGTGTTATGTGGAGACTACTGGCCACGACGGACCACCTTGAACCCTTTGTTGCTCAACTGTTTAAAGCTTATGAAGTTTATGCTTGCAATTTGTATTGTTTATCAATTTGTTAAAATGTCTGCTTGTGGGAACCCGAGTTAAACATTTACTCTAACCCATCTTCTCTTAAGGAACCATAAGAGATTTTGGGGATACTGACCATTTGTAAATAGACAAACAAGGGTACCACACAACTTAGGCAAAACCAACTAAATCAATCACAAACAGATAGAGTATAGATCATATTCCAACTTACATACAATAATTGTCTATAATGTTTTTCTTGTCCTCCTATTTGCGATTGAGATTTTACATCCAGCTACTTACCCCATCCCTCTGTGTTATCATCTTAAGATTACATGCATGACACAATATTTTGAAATATTTATTGGAGAGCAACATCAGCTTCTTCTACGACCACAGGAACAAAAACCACTGGTCAATTATGTCCCAGGAGCACTCGGATTGATCATAATCATTTTGAATATGCTAAGGAATAGCTCTTATGAGCAATTCAAACAGATGATTTTCTTCAGATTCCGGAGTTATGGTTGCACTCCACGACAGCTAGCTTCATAAAGTCACAAAACAAGACTCCCGTAACATTGTTTTCTGTGAGTCAAAGTCTTCAAGATCCAAAGTTGATGTTTGACCATGACAGACAGTTGTCAAAGATAAGTGGTGAAGTGTTACAAAGAAAAAAAAAAAGAAAGGATCAGGTTAGACAACAATTCAGTTGAACTAAGTCACGTGATGGTCTTATCATACATAGATCTCCCAAATGATCATCTAGAATGTAAAGTACTTCAACAAGAGTTTGAAGTACTGGATAATCAAACTTGAACTTTACAGTCATCCCAAGTTCAGACCCAATAATTTTTCTTATTTTCTCTGCAAACCTCTACTTCTCTATGGCTATCCTAATAAAGCATCTGCAATGAAACTATAAAATTTGTAATTCTCATGATCTCATAATGAAAGCTATTTAGTAAATTAAACAGTATCTATTTTGTGCTATCTACAACTTCTCATTTTAAGACATGTATAGCTAAAAGCAGACATAGGAATCGAAAGCTGCTTGGCTTCTTGCGCTAAAACATACAAGAAGCATTTTAACTGTGAGTTAAGAAAGGGGTTTGTTTACTTCAAGAATGAAGCAATAAAATCCCCGTCTTACAAACATCTGTGCTTACAATTCCATCACCATGTGAATCAAAGAATATTAACACTACCATAAGCTAACAGAAGTCCAACAGAATTGAGGGAACCGATCCAACAGGAGGAATTCAAAAACAGTGATCAGAGTGACAGACCTTAGTGCCCTGCGTCCTCGAGACAAGTGTCTTGCCGACGTTCCTCACGTTGAAGACCGACGGCGCTTTGATGTCGTACCAGTCCTTCTTAGCGAAGGGATCAACCCTGCAACATATCAACCAGATAAAATGCCAGATCACTATTTGCACGAGATGGATACGAACCCGATTGAGAACGGGCAAAGAGGAGCGCTAGGGAGTGAAAATTACGCCTTCTTCTTCCCTCCCTTCTTTCCCTTGGATATCCTCTTGTTCTTCCTGAGACACCGATCGGAGACAGAGAGAAAACGGTGAGAAATGGAGGAAACTAAAAGCTGTAGAAAGAAGGATCAGTACGAAATCCTCACCCGACCGCCATCTTTGCTCCTCTTCCTCCTAGGGTTTTAGCGCGAGGGGGCGGCGAAAGATGCGAGGGTTTGCCCTAAAAGAGAGGAACACCGAAGCACTTTATAGACACGACGGCTTAAAATCCATCGAATCGTGATGAAGGATGGCAAGTCAATCTGACGGTCGATAAGCCACGATCGATGACGGCCTTCTGGGCCGCCTGGAGGCCCAATAATACCTGAATTAATAATATAATTAAATCATAATCTCGTTAAACATTTGGCTGACAACAATTACAGCTAATTAATCAGGTTTAGTTCATTATTTGATGTTTCGTTCGGCATTAGGTCCAGTTTCGAACGTGAAATGATACGACGGATCGTCAAAGACAACTAAAATCATATAATAGGGCTAATGTTGGTGAGCCCGCTTCACCTTCGTGCAGTCATCCATCACCTAAATTGGTATATATAATACCAATAATATATACCGATTTGACCAAGAACTTGATGGATCCATATGCGAGACAACAATCTTAAGAAGTTAACGACCTTTAACGTTATAATCCCTATACTTAGCAAAAAAAAATTTGTTAGCATCTCTATAATTATAAAAATAAAATATTTAGATCCATTTATTTTAATATCATCGATTTTATTAATAAAAATATAAAAATAAAAAATAAAAAAATAATTTTAATATTTCAATTGGTAGTACTGTCACGAACAAAGTTCTAAACAAGATGTTTTTGATGTAATACTTATATATGTCCGTGTCTTTTGGTTTGTTCATGCTTTGCATAGCATGTAGAGGGATGGTCGAATACTTAAAAGCCTCATTTTAGTTGGGTTTGGTAGTTTTCTTAGACTTGTAAATAAAGGTTGTGTCATGTGGATACTTATAAAAAATATTCGGTCTGTAATGGACTATTTTGATCCTTTGTTGTGCACCTACTTAGAGCTTATAAAGTCTGTTTGTAATTTGCATTGTCTATGAAGTGTTTTCGGAAATGTTTGTTCGTGAATCCCGAGTGAGACGTTTTCTCTAACTCGTTTTCTCTTTTGCAAGTCCTAAAGGACCATGGGAGGCTTCGAGAAGGCTGACTTTTGCGGACGGACATGCAAGGGTGCCGCACGACTTATAGACAAAACCAACTAAGTCCGTGACAAGACGACGGTGGTGGTGATTGACGACACCGTTGAGGGTCGCAAGTGATTGTTATGGATGAGGAGAGCGACAATAAGAGACTAAAAGCAACGTCGGTCGACATCTGCATCGATGATCCTTTCACTGCTCAACAACTACTTCATTGTTACCGACACAATTATCAAGCGATGTCGCTCTATATTTACATCGACGTCAATGCTAAGTAACCCTCACCTCTCATCGTCGCTCTCCTCATCCACATCAACCACCAGCGATCCTTAGTAGCACCAACGTCATCCATCATCACCAACTAAGATGTTAAGATTATTTTTTTATCCTTTATTTTTTGTGTTACCATTGATAAAATCAAAAATATTAAGATAAATAAATCTAGATATTTCACTTTTATAATTATAGAAATGTCAAGATCAAAATACAGTGATTAACTACATATAATAACCTACAATTAACCCTTAAAATATCAAAAGAAAAATTGAATGTAAATCAAATGGGTTGATGTATATAGCCATTCGTGGGCCAACAATTTCGGAACACTCTTAAGGATAACATTTAACATAACCCTACAAGAAGGTGACATCCATCATTATCGCAGTTGAGAACAACAAAGAAGGCGACAGCTGATGTTACAACAACTAGCATCTTGCTTTGGAAAGCTCGAAATGATCTTGCACGCATACACACATGCATTAAGTATCAACAAGCATGGGGAAAACTATTAGAAGATGATCAACATAGTGATAAAACTGTGGACTGGAAATGACAGACAAATCATTTTAAATAGACATGTCATAAGTATCTCAAGTAATGTTGGTGATTATAGATGAAGCAAATTACAAATGTAGAAGAATATGTAGGTCTCCCACGATTGAATGAATCCATTCCACACAAAGCATCTGGCCAATCTCAATTATCTAAGTACATTAATAGGTCATAAACATGCAGAAAACCTACCATTCTCTTGGTCTGCTTACATGAAAATGAAATTAATGCAAGAATAGAAGCTGACCATCAAGAATAGAAGGCCACATTTCCTTGAAGAAAACATTAACTTAACTGATTAGTGATTATGGATGAAGCATACTCTACAAATTTACAAAATTATGAATGTTTCTTGCAAGTTAAGCCTTAAGACAGTTCCAATGTTCTAACCTCAAAGTTGATAACTCAACTAAAAGAAGTAAGAAACATAGTGCAGCAAGAGCCTTATGTCCATGTGATAGTTATATATAGGTGGCCTAGTATGCAGCTTGCTACATGCTAAAGAATGAGATAATATATACTTCTATTGAAGAAATGTCAAGTGATTGAATTCATGGTAATTGCCAGTAGCATCTGCGTAGGAGAAGGGACTTGCGGATAGCATTTGTTCACTATAAGAACAATGGAGAACACCACAAAGTAAATTTATTTTCAAGCTCAAGAATTGCACAAGCAGGATTAAGTATGTAGAGTTGCTAAAGAAATGAATACCAAAGAAGAGCTTAATAGAAGCAGGTAAAAAGATGGATTGCATGGGCATGACCCTCAAAGTTGAACAGTGGTTTCATTCAATTAGTTATATTTTCAACTAATCTATCGACAACATATCTAAATTTTCTCAACAAGCTTTACAAAATAACAAGAAGCTAATTAAAGAATTTTGCCCTAAATAAAGCACATTATCACATTACTCCAATGAGCTTAGTCTCACTAAATAAAACAATCACACCAATAACTATAGAGAGCTAATTAAATCTGAAATAAACATCTAGATTTGTATAATAAAGGATTTAAAAAGCATCTGTAGATAACAGCTTTGTGCTTATGGCTCTAGGAAGAAAAACTGGAAAAACAGGCAAGGGACAAAATTATAATCACTGAAGTTATTCGAAAAATGTGAACTGTGTTACATTCGTCACATAAACATTGTTCACTTCAACTTTTTTACGAGTACTAAAAAGGACCATCTCATGCTCACAAAAGGAAGAACAAGCAGAAACTTACCATCAATCAATAATAGGGTTTGTAACATTACATGTTCATGAAAAAAAAATTGAGGAAAAGAACAATCTTCATATTACGTATTTACTACTTATATTCACAGTCTGCATTTCTGCATACTTGCCAATGTCGCTAGACAAGACAAGCACAACCATAGTACAAAATAGGAAGGTATACCTCATTTTGTTTGTGCTTACAACATACCTTACAACATACCATTATGAATTCTGCACTTGCCTGAGCCTCCCGGGAATGTTTGACTTATTTAAACACCAACATAGTGCAATGTCAAGAGGGACAGGATTGTGAATTATTAGTATATGTAGCTATAATTTATACAGAAGGAAACTAAGGAACGGTTTATAAACCAGAAAGATTGCAGAAATGCTCTACGGGATCAAGGAGAGACCCATTTAAGGCGATTTGCTTCAGGTCGATGGTATAATTATTACGAAGGAATCCAAACCCAAAGGTTCCATCATCATACTCCCATATCCTACCCTCCACATTTCTTGGATCACCGGAAGAACCAGATAGGCTTGGAATTACCAAGTCATAGCTAGAGTTGATTCGGAGTATGCGTGAGACAACTTCGCTCCTTATGCTTTTCCAATTTGAAGCCACAGGACGGATATGCTCGCGGCTTCCATACAAATCCTGTTCCTCTATGGGAAACGGTGATTCAAGAAATGCAGTGCTTGAAGTCCAGAAAACAGGAGAATAACCCGAGAATTGTTCCCCTGCTTCGCTGACCCTCCGGCAAGTGATTCCACCAACATCATCATAGGTGACGAGGTAGAACTCAAGGACCATGTCCTCGGAAATGCCCTATTGGAGGAAATGTTGTTTCAATGACTTGCACTGATCGAAAGTAAAAGTAAACAATAAATTCATGTAGAATACACACAGTATCTCTAGGGAGCTGCAAAAGCAAAGATATTCCAAACATAAAACAAGGAGGAAAGAGAAGCAAGCACCTTCCACAAGCCCTGTAAAGGCCGTTCCACGGTGGGATAGTAGTTGTTGATCTTCACGAAATGCTGTGTGTCCCATCGCCGCCTTCCAAAGCGCTCCCTTTCCTTCTTCCTCTGCCTTCTCAAAGCCTTATCACTACCAGGGCTCGTTCGGTTAGCAAAGTACCGATAGATCTCTGACATCAATCGGTCTGGAGGGGACGTGCCCTCGGTTCCAAGCACCTCCACCGGAAACCCATTGGAATCTTCTGCCCAAGCATCCGCGTAGTAGCTTCGATTCTCCTCCACCACAAAGTGGTTGCAGCCCATGAAGCTAACGGTCACGGGCAGCAAGTCGGGATCTGAGAGGCCCGAGGATGAGATCGAGGAGTCCGACACCGAGCCCAGCATGTCTGAAGTCGAGTCGAAGCGACAGCCAGGGTGGAGGAAGTTGACAGGCTCGCCGTTGGGCGAGAGGCCCAGCCAGAGAAAGGGCACCTTGAGGACGCCGTATCCATCGCCGGTGGCCTCAGGCGACGGGGAGACACGGAACCCGGCGATGTAGGAGGGGCCCCACTCGAAGAAGACGAGGGGCGGCGTGCCGGGGCCGCCGTGGCCGATGCGGCGCCAGAACCCGATGAGGTGCTCCCAGCGGTCGAGGGCCTTGTAGAGGCGCGCGAAGGGGGCACGGCGACCGAAGGCGGAGGGGGATGACCACGATCGGGGGCGGGTTCTGGAGACCCAGCGGCGCTCGCACATGGCGAGCCAGAGGGGGCTGTCGGGGGCGGCAGCGCCACAGAGGGCAGCGAACCGGCGGGAGGTGCACGCGAAGGCGGCGACCTCAGCGGGGGAGAGGAAGGAGAGAATGTTGAGCTGGACGTCCTCCGGGAAGTCGGAGAACGACATCGCCGGCGCCGGATGCGGCGAAGCCATGTCTTCGGTTCAGGCGTTAGGGTTAGGTATCCGGTCGTGGTACGCCGGTGATTGGGATTCGGGATCCAAGAACTGAACGAATTCGATCGACTTGGAGGGAGGAATTGTGGAGTTTTCGGAGTCGAAAGCACGAGAGAGAGTCGAGAGAGAGAGAAGGGAACGGCGACGTTTGTTGGCTTCCCAGAGATCTCCGAGCGAAGGAATATTCGAGGAACTTCGAGTAATTGGGAAGGCTTCATGGCCTGAGACGTGGCTCGGGTCAGACGGGACCAGGAACAGCTGCCTCGGAACCGAAGCAAATGCCAGGAACAGCTGCCTCGGAAGGATCGAGTTGGGCTCCTCGGGAGGTGAAGCGTGATGTTATTTATAATTTACATTATTTATAAAATATTTTTAAAAATATTTACTTGTGAATCCCGAATAAAATATTTTCTCTAACTCGTTTTTTCTCTTTTGTAGATCCTATAGAATCATGGGAGACTTCGAGGAGACTGATCTTTACGAACGGACACGCAAAGGTATCGCACGACTTAAGCAAAATCAACTAAGTCCGTAATAATAAGGTCCAATTCTCTTGAGAGTTTATAGTCGTCTGAAGAGAAAATAAACTTACGTGTCTAAGTTTACGAGACCGATACGATTTTGATTCGAATCATACGATGATGAGAGCATAAAAGATTATTCTTTTTCTCGATAAGTCTCACTAAATATTCAAAGAATTGTCCTCGAAATGAGAGGGTTATACTTGTATGATTGGAGAGGGAGACCAAAAGAACTTGGGAGGATCAAACCTGCGTTAAGAAACCGATTTAATTTTCATTTGGTATAAGAATAAAGCACCTTCATGTCAACTAATGATTCCTAAATGATATGTACACACACATTCAACGTATAAGATCTCCATACTAATAGTGCATTCACATTTCATACCCCAAGAGAAGGTGAAAGAAACACTTTCAACCACTAGTTGTGTTGTGTGGATCCACGCACCTCTCTCCCAAGCTCTCCTGCTGAAGCTGGGCAGCTAGTATCAGGAGATCCACCATCTCTAGTCCTGCAGCAGAAACAGCATCGGGTTTCGCGGGTTTGGATGCCTCCGAGGGGTCAGAAGGCTCGTGAAGACTCGTGTAGATGATGGCATCAGCTTCATCGCCAGACCAGCTGACGGGGAGCGAGCCGCCAAGGGCAGTCTTCACTTGGTTTGCCTCCATCACAATGTTGCTCACCGCTCGGGTTGTACCTTCTTCGGTGCCAACAGATGAAGCTTCATCTTGAACCTGTCACCAAAGTCATACTTAGTAAACTATACCAAGATAAAATGTGCAACTATTCGATACCAATGCACCGTGTAGCACAGATGGAGTCCATGTAGAAAAATAATTGAAGTAGGTAAGCAGCTATGGCCAAGGATATGTTTTATCATAGTTACAGATTATTATCATTAGATATAAGAAGCTAAAGAAATTTATATTAGCCCTCGGTGCCGTAGCTATTGCAGCCAGACACCAATTTTGGCAATCAACAGACGGATTGTGAGAGCTATCATCCAAAGTGATAATTAACATATTAATAAAGGACAGCACGGGGCAATTCTTGTTAAAGATTGTTGAAATACAACCTTGATCAAAATTCTAGTAAGAGGTACATACATGAGAAAGAGTGAAAACTTTGAGGTGATTGGTCCCCACTAGTGTCAAAAAATAGTGAGATAAAAATGACCATGCAAAAAATTACAGAAAAAATATATGATCCTAAGCACTGCAACCTTTTTTGTGGATACACCAGGTGGTCTTATTAAGAATTACATATAGGATTGCTGCATAAATATGACTAATATAGCAAATTCTTCACACCGATAGCGAACGACCAACCTTTAAAAGCAGAATATGAAGCCTATGAATTGAGGAAGTAAGATGTTCCAAATTTGCTATGCTTTCCCGAAGTGCTGCATTCTCGACTTTTAGCCTGTAATAATTCAATGATCATATAGTGTCACCGAAAATTGCAAATTGATACATAATGAGATGAGTTTGGATAGCAATAACAAGGATTGACAAACAAGCTCCTACTGTGTGGGTATGTAGATCTCTCCTATGATATTTCTCTGCCAAGTGCAATGTCCTACCTTTGTCCAAAAAAGCCATCATGTCCACCCTTATTGTTTGGAGCCAATCGGCTTCCTCCACAATTCTGACAACTTGATTATTATTATATGTAATTACTAGTTCACTGTATTCATCTTCTATTTTGACGGAGCGTGAATTAGTTTAAAACATTAGCACCTCATCTTATTCACATTTAGTACTCTGCTCAACGTTTCTCCGACTTTTCTACCAACATCACACATTCTTCTCAATTCTCAACATCCTCAACTCACAGTTTCCAACCTGCGTAAAATCCTGATATTCAATAATTAGTCATATTAACATCACAAGAAGATTTGCCTTTTAATTGAGGTGTTCATAAAGCACACAGATGTTTCTCCTTGTTAAACAACTTATTGATGACACTCTTGCTTTTTGGTGGTTCTTAACCATCTATTCAACTATACTTTGTGTCAATGCCCAATGTTCTAGAGATGCATCAGTTCTGCTTATTCAGATTCGAAATACAGCATTTTTAGCCTATAAAACAGGGCTACGTTGCTTGGTTATACGTTACTTGGCATCACTTAGATCTTTAGTTGAACTGAAAATGCTTAATTTTGTTTCCTAGAAACTGTCGACACCCTGCACTAATCAAAATGCCCCACATCTCATTGTTAATATCCATCAACGAGCACAGTTGGAACAACTGCACTAATCAAAATGCCCCACATCTCATTGACACTGTTGTCCATTTGACAGGAACAAGTACATCAAGGCTCAGTGCAAAACTCACATGATTTCATGTTTATTTGATCAACATGTTTCCAATATTCTGCATAGAAGGATAATCACTTCTGTTATGTATTAGTTTTAACTTGTCAGTTTCCATCATTACTTATAAATTCAGTGATTCCGACAAGGAAATCATTTTCCATTAAGAACCAAAAGAACTTTACAGCTTCCATATATCCTTAACAACATGTGTATGGTTAGCATTCAATTAACATGTAGACAATTCTGAAAGAAATTTAATAAACCCCTGCAGGAAATACAAAGTAATATATACTTGCAACCTAAAATATGTGTCATTTATTTATCCTTTCCACAGCCCATTCCTGGACTAGAGAAAGGGGAGTTTTTATATGAAGCTGAGCAGCTGACAGCTATGTCAAAGCAAGCATGATCTTGTATCTTTTAGTGAAAAAATACTGAGGCCTATGGAAGGAAAGGATCCACATACATAACCAAAAAGCTGTGGCTTGGCATTCAAAGAAAGGATAATGAACAAGGGAAGTCAGATGTTCAAAAGCATTCATATATCAAATCAAATATTAAAAAGGTCCAGCTTACGAGCACCACCTGAAATCTGGGAAGGTCAGTTGTACATAGTAGTCTTTATCTCTCTCCACATGCAGAGGAAATTTGTGGGCTTTGAACTTATGATGTTCATTTCATAATAAGCGACCTTACTGTTACACTAATGAGTTAATCCTAAGGTCCTGATTAACATAACATGTATAACCACTAACCTTGCAATATCGATGGAAGAGTCTGTCTTAATGATTGGACTGTTTTCTTCAGTGATTTTAAGAAAGTTAGTTTCCTGTTGGCTCTGATCACGTACCATCCAATGTCTCAAGTATGTTCTTTTCAATATATTCTTCAGTTTCCCTTCTTGTTCTCGGATGGTAGTACTTTTGCCAGGATCGACCATATGACTGCCATGTTTTATACTATGAAGTCTGTTCCTGTAGAAAATAGGACCACAAGTCAAAACTAATAACTACTTAAAATGTCAAACGTTTAAATTTATTCATAACAAATAACTCCAAATGCATCTCAACATATAACTACTTAAGACATCATAAAAGCAACATTTATTCATCAAATACATCAGAATCATTGACAACCCGATGATGTCACTACAATAAACTGAATATTAGCCAGATGTAAAAAATCACTGGAAAAATCAGTCATATAAATATATCCTTCCACCATATACATAAAAGAAAACTTAAACAGTTATAGGAGGGAAAACAGAATATCGATAGGCGAGCATGAGATCAATAACCCTCAGTAATCCCTTCTTCATTATGCCAACAAGATGGTTCTGTGTCCCTGTTATGCCCAAAAGTGTTGTGCATTAAAATGACATGGTACATGATATGGAATATAGATCATTCGAGCTAAGGGCCATAAAGATTTGTGGAAAGGATGGAATATAGGCCAATCCATCTTCCATTGTATTATTGGAAAGATAACACCCTTTGTAGCCGATAGATGGATACATTGTTCAGGGATCACCTCTCTGGGAAGGCACATTAGCCAAGTACAGCAAAACATGGCCTCACCATGTGTGTGTTGACAGACATGGACAAAAAATTTGATGTGTTCAAATCATCAAAGAGAGGTCAGAATCATCAACAAAATAAGGGTAGAAAGAAAGAGAAAAGGAACTTTTTCTCAGATATCACTAGCAAATTTGGACGACCTCCATGGAAGATAAATTCTCACCTCTTAGGTTAAACCAAAAACAATATAAATTCTCACCTATATCGCTGAACCATTCTGGTCCAATTCAGAATTCAGTGTTTGGTTTGGTGTATTTACAAGTGAGAGATACAAACAAAATATTGAAAAAAAGAAAACAGTTCTAACTAAATCCACAAAGGGGTATCAATAATTTGTTTATTAACGTGGAAAGAATTCTATAAAGCAACAAAGTTTCAAATAAGTAGAACTTAAGAAATTTAATAGTTCAATAGGAAACATACTCGTTCAATAGTTGATAATCTCTCTTTAGTTCAGCCAATTCCATAAGAGCTTTGACCTTTTCATTTGTAACCTAAAGTGTACAAGAAAGAGCAAGAGTTAATCATAGATAATCCAAGCGTGTAATTTTGGAAGGTTGTGTGTAAGTCAATGCATATGCACCTTCCGATGAAATTGCAGGTTCATCTATAGAATATTGAGGGTTTGCATGGTGCCTAAATAAGTCGATCCATGTACATTCTTCCGTCACTTATTAGGCCAAATATCTTACATGAGATCTTTAAATTTAAGGCTTTATTTTTATCTTTTGTACAAAGTCATGCATCCCCTAAAGAGGCTTGCATCTCAGACTGCAATTACATTATATATTAGAATGTGATTCTTAATTGCACACAACCATCATCATCATTATCATAATCAAAGCCACAAAAATATGAGTTGAATAATAGAATGCAACTCATGATCAAGGAAGCTCCATGAAATGTTTGCCTGTTTCGTTCAAGATCTCTTAAATAGCCACCAACCTGGCACTGACACTCAAAACCCAGATGTTTGCCAGAATATATAAGGCGAATTTAAGCAATTATGAGTGCTGCATAACAACCTGAGGCTTAGTTTTGAAGAAGATTTTTTCTTTATCTATTTAGTTAACAATTAAGCTCAAGCAACCAAGTAATAACTCTCCAGAATCCTCCATAATGCAGGAAAAAATGTAGGATAAACTAAAAACCATGATTATATGTAGCCAATAATCCAAAGATTGACTTGGGTTTATCATTCCATACTGAGAGGCGATTTATCATTCCAATCATGAACAAACACGTGAAGTGGGAGATAAACAGATCGAGCAAGCAATTTCACCCAGTTTGAAATTCATACCAGATGTATAGCGGTATGGTTATTATGACAAGCATACAGGTCAGTTTTTTTTTTTTTTAATCAAAACACCTAGGTATCAAATCTTGGTCCATTCGGTATCACTACCGATCTTAACCTTGCACTGGAGGAGTTGGTGACACAAGTCGGTAGGAGGAGAAGGCAGCAATGGCGATGACATAGCGGAGAGGAAGCGATAACAACCTGATGGGGAGGAGGTGGAGAGAAACAGAGAGAGACAGAGAGAGGAAGACTTGATGGTCGTGACAACTATCATAAAAATAAAAGATGATACTGATTTCAGGTCCTGGACCCTTATCGGTCCATGGCTGGACCAGTATGGAAGAAAGAAAGGAAGGAGAAGAAGAGGAGAAGTACCAGTCCAATAGCTGCAAGTGGCAGCATGCAGCATGCAGCATGAGAGACCCCAAGAGCTATTGTAACTCCCAAGCGACTGCAGAACATGTGAATACATGGGTCCAAGGATTCTAAAAAGTAATAAACTGAACCAGGCCACCTGAACAGATATGGTTTGCATCTCGGTACACGCCCAGACCCACAAGTATTGATTGTTACAAATAGATCTCAGTGAAACTGTATTCCTTATCACTTGGTATGGCGGTACCATTTGGCACCAGTCTCTTCACTGCCTAGTAAACCCCATACAGTGAAGTGAGCTTACCAGGTGATGAGTCCATACTTGACCATTTTGCTCATCAATAGTGTTGGTTGGCTGTTAGATGGGCAAAACCAGCCCATGTCAATTTGTACAGACAATATTGTGAACCATGGCTTCAAGTACGATATCCAAGCCCTTTCTCACACCCATTTGAACTCATCACAACCCCCTTTACCCTCTCTCACTCTTTGACTCAATTTCACTCTCAAATCTTTGTTCTTGAATCAAACTTCAATTTCAAAAAATCTATGCCATTTTCATTAAAGCAAGGAAAGTAGAAGTCTTGCTATGTAGTAGTTAGAAGAACAGCACTTGCATCAAAGAAACCTACTTGAGATAAGTTCCTTTGAAGCTCTTCTAGCTTCTTCTCCAAAGCTTTATTAAGATCCCCCTCCAACAGATGTCTCTCTTCTTGCTGTGATAAAAGCAGCAGTGCTGCAACCTGGAAGTGGAAAACAAAATAAGCATTTATAAATTAAAATTACAAATATCTAGAATATCCCATAATATACCCCCAAGTGCAAATGAAGTCGGGAAATGATCAGCAGAGAGCAAACTTTAGCACTCAATAGACAATGCAAACAATAGAACTAATTATTAATTTAAAGACAAAGGTAAAAATACCTTCTCTTGCAATGCTTGTGCAAGGGCATCTGGTGCGTCACTTGTGCCGTGAACAACATTACTTGAAGGAATATCACTCATCTGCCATCAAGAATTGAAGATAATAAGTCAAACATTAAATTTAATAGGATTTGAAATGATAAGAGTTCACCCAACTACAAGTAATGCTTGTTATACAGAATAAGTGGAAATAGTACCACATTCAAGCATTTCAAGTCCCTTTATCAAATATAACAAAAAAATCACATACCTTTATTATCATTTGATCCTTTTAGTGAGTTAAAACAATGGAAATCCTTTTCAAATCCTTTCATCATTACCTCATATTTCCCCATTCAGCTCATTGCCATAACCCTATCATCGAATCATGGTAGAATTTTGACACCATCCCAATGGATCCACACTATTGTCACCAACTAAAGAACAAATCCATTTTGTTTCTATTAAATACATTTTCAAGGTTTAAAATTTCACTGCTTCTATCCATCCGAATTAATCATGAAGAAAGGAAAGCAATTTGCTGAAATGATTGGAGGAACGAATGTATTGTTAAATTGACATATTATAGCATCCAATACTGCATGAGGTTTCACATCAACTTCATTTTGATGTTTCTGCATAATTTCCAAACTAACAACTGAAATATTATTCTCTAATTCAACATGCTTTTAGCTCTAGAGTTTCATAGGAGCTTTCCAAATCATATCAATTTTCTTTTTTTCTCAAAATGATTGCCAATCATAATCAAACTATCAAAATACCCATTTTTGACTTTTTTGCTGCAGGATTGAAGTCGCGTGAATAAATATAATTTTCCACATACAGAAAGGACAAATGAAAATCTTGGTCCCTAGTAGAGCTACAATAATACAACATTCTTTCAATTTAACACCATAAAACATATTTTCCGAACAAATTTTCTAGTTTACAGAGATACTCTTATGAGCCAGTTTTATTTTAGAGCACCATAACACTATAATCATCCTGTGTTATATGCCAAATGAAAAAGAAAAATAAAATACCAAAATGATCTATCTAATTGGGAATCAGCAGGAATTTGCTAAAGTCTCAAGATAAGTTGGAAAATTTTAGAAGAGAAAATTTTGCCTTGAACAAAAAGATTCCAAACTTGCATAACTTAATGGTAGCTAAGAGCAATCACCAAATCATAAGACAATGAAAAGAAATAGAAAACTGAATCCGGGAAGCTTTCCCAGAGAGCAAGTCAAGCAGGATTTTTTTTCTTTATTCTATTGTATAAGACAGATACCTTAGTAGAGTCAACTTATATCATAAAATTTAGGATACTGAGGGAGCCATAAGGATAACATTTGGTTAGATTATTCTTTTGCAGCTATACATCCGAACACTACCTTACTGCCCTTATGGATAGATTATTCTTTTTTTTCACTAAGGAAAATATAAGCACATGTGAGAGTACCCATTTCAATGGCTCATAAAGTCTGCTGCCACAAGCAAATGGGATTAGTGCAGATTATTCAAGAATACATGTGAAAAAAGAAAAGAAAAACTGGATTATAAAAATTGAGTTATTGGCACATGAGAAAAAATGGTTGGATACAAAGAACACAAACCTTGTCCATGAAACTAGAGTTCGCATCATTCATGACATGCACATCTCTGCATTCAGTATCATCACATTGCTTTTCTCTCTGAGGAGTCGCAACACTTGACTCATTATTTTGAATTTCAGTCAACTGCTTCTGAACCTCAACAAGCATTGAGTCCATCCAAGATGCTTCTTGATCCAACTCTTTTATGATTTCCAATCTCTGTTGATTGTGATAACTGCGCAAAGCAGATAGCCCTTTCCTCACCAAAGAATCCAATACAGTCTGCATTTTGTCATTGAGTTATGCCTGACACTGAAAAGAAAAGTAAACTGTAACAGTATGTGAATCTTCAACATTGATCGCTTAATTTGCTTACTTGTCTTTTCTCCGAGCACTGCATTTTTTTTCTCAGATGCTGTTCAATTTTGAGTCCCTGGAATTCCATGAAGTTTTCAGATTGAGGTATGGGAGATAAACCACTTGACAAGATATAGTCTGTTCCTTGGCATAATAGACATTACCATTTGCAAATTGTTTTGAAGCTTGCTAATTGACTGTCTCAATGCCTCTTTCTCCTCTTCTAGAGAAGCCTGTGTAACACATGCTCTGTCAGCGGTGACAAAAAATCCATATAACCAAGTAAGAGAGAGGCAAGGAGAGGATTATTCAATATAAAAGAAGAAACCAATCTTCTTTTTCAGGCTTCATAAGACATTATATAACTGAACCATTTGCATTCCATATAATCATATATGCCATTGCAGAATGTCTTATTTTTCATTTTCATAGTGACCAACCATCCACCTCCCCCCCTCCCCTCTTCCCCACCTCAAAAATAAAAAGAAAAAAGCCCACACACACAAAAAGAACATACACAACCACACACAGGCAAAAAAGGACAGTAGAAGGGTAAAGTTGATGGCTATGGAAGCAAATACTTGCATCTGATCCATTGGGAATAGGACAACTTGTGGTTCAACTTTTAGCTACATGCTCAGAAAGCTGACCCTCAAATTGCTTATTTGCCATAATGTAAAATTTTAACCATCAGATATTAGATTAATTATAGTCATTAATTTTCTTCGCCGGCATGAGCATATATGTAGTTCCTCACACCATTCGTAAAATAAATTTCTCTCCATTTTATTGGTTCTTTAGTCCTATATTGGTTCTGTGATTCAGTACGTAAAAGTTTTCAAACCAATCCACAATCCATCAGCAATATCCTATTATGTGCTTACAGTCGAATATAGCTTCAGATGTTAAAATAGATGATATAGCATCCAACAGAGTTCAGACAATATATATGGCATTCAGACTTCTGTGTATATAGAAGCAGGAGTGTGAAAAGTAGAACTCCTACAGCAGAAATTCACATTCAAAATATAGCACAATTTAATTCACACCCTCCTTAAGCGACAGCAAAATACAACCTAATGATTTCATTGGGGCTTATAAATTTCTGAAGGCATATACACCATACAACAAATGGTAAGTTAACTTTACAATGTATTTTGAAGTGGATGTTTCCTTGTCACTGCTGAAAATCCAATTGTCTGGAGGATCATCTAGCAGGCAAGAACACTTGTCTTGCAATGTCATATCTGCAAAAAGCCCATTCTCTCTCTCACGGATCTCATAAAATTTATTTACAACCTGCAAAGAAAATAAAAGGATCAAGCAATTTATAAGCCTCAGAGATCAAAGGTATTTCCTGGGCATATCAAAGAAGCTCAGTGCAATGATGACATGATAGAGGTAAGAAAGGCTGAAAAATTTAGTGATTATAATTCTGTGTAAATACACAACAGAAGAAAGGCTTAAACCATATTGTCAATTACCAGTATCAAAAAAATTCTAAAGCTCCCAGTTAAGGATCAAATATTTATATTTATGCCAACCATAGTCAATCATTATGATAAAACATCTAAGATGAGACTTGTCTCTCTCTGTGTTGGTCAAAAAGAAATTTTCATGACATGGTGAATCCACCAAGTGACAGGACTATGAGACAGAATTACAGACAGCAACAATAACAGAGCCAATAATCTGAACTAATTGAGGTTCAGCCACAGCCCACCTATTCGACTGATTTCAGCATCATCATATCCTTTATACTTATATATGTTGGTGCATATTTTGGCCCTCTTTTGCTCCCTACTGCATCTTTAAGTTCAAATCATCTCACTCCAGTTTGCAGTCAAATTATAAAGAAATGACCTATAGCTTCTGCTGACCTATATACGTTAATTCTCAGTTTCCAAATCACATAATAACCATCAAGCAGCTCAACAAGTACAAAGACAAAACATATTAATCTAACAGAAGCAAGTGGAAACATGTAGCAGAAAGAGAAAAAAAAAAAGAAGGGGAAGCCGGTTCAAGGGTTATGACAAATATTTGAAGAGACTTGGACAAATATTGAATGTTTCAGATGTGCTAATGGAAACTAAGAAAATATGAAAAGGAAATCCCCAAAATTGGTAAATGATTAATTTTTTCAAGATATCATGTAAATCTCTTCATATCCATTAGAACAACTGGAGGCTAACCTCCAGAAGCTGGTTTATTAAATTTCTTCTAATGTCGATCATCTACAAAAAAATTTGGGATGTAAAGATGCTCACTCATCTGTTCAACCTTTTATAGACAATCAAATTGTTATTAGTTCATGACCATCAGAAACATATAGCCTCTAGACAGAAATGGAAGAATCAGGATATAAGCAACAGTGATATTAATGGATCTGATGCTTTTTTTTATTATATTCAAAATAAAAATATCTAGAGCAAAGACTAAAGAAAAGAAAGAATCAAAGTACGTTGCAATTAGTGATTGCAAAAGTAATGCAAAAAAGAAGACAAATGAACGAAATGGAACTAGATGTGATCACATATCTACCTTCTCACAATATTCACTTTGCTTTTTCAGTTCATCCAATTCCATTTGTACGGATGTACTAACTTTCTTTTCATTAAAATATGCAGATTCAAGTTCCTCTACCCTGCAAGAGATACAAATAGCCAAGTATATATAATTAATTGTACCACATAATCAGGCACCAACAGGAAAACCAGTACATCAAAGCACATGTAGCTTTATCCTAACCTTTAACTCCTATAGTCAAAGTACAAAACAGCGACAGGTTACCGATAGCCAGACAATATGTATATGTTAATAGTTACAAACAAGAGAGCATAGCAAAAAAAAAAGGATTATGTGTAAGAATTATTTCATATGGTAAACCAGGAACAACAGAACTCAGTCTTGATGAAGTACCACAAGGACTTATTGACCAAAAAAATCTAGTTCAACTTTTGCCCTAAAAGATTCTGTTGGTACTGCAAGTAGTAACTGGCAGTATATGTTGTTACTTGGAATGGATGGTTCATCTTTTAGTCTCATGACAGAAGTGTCTTAATCCAGGACCGAAGTAACCAGTGCACACCATGCCAATAAATTACTAGCATGGACATATTGGTTTGCCAACTTGACATGTTACTGCATCATACTCACCATGCCAGGTTGTACTGCATCATACTCACCATGCCAGGTTGTGACTGCAGGCATAGCGCATGGACATTTAGGATTATATTAATGACCACTTCTGAAAAGGTATAGCAAGAAGATATTTTTTCAGCTTATAACAAGAACAAAGAATAACCCATGCTACACTGAAATTCATCAATTTGCTCATTACTCCTATACAACATGAACAATAAGCCATAAATTCAGGCAAGGAGCCTTCTCAATTACCAAAACCTAAGAGTCACTAGAACCAATAACTTTCATGCATCTCCTGCTCAACCCATTCATGGAACTGTTCGACTTACAGGACTGATCTATTTTAAATCTTTATAGAAAAAAATTCTTCTGCTCAAAATATCAGTGCCATATAGATGTACGAAAAATGGGTAGGAAAGATGACTTTTCCTGCCAATAGGACCCAGCTTATATCCACAAAGACAAAGATCCTATTCATTTTCCACGTAGTCTCGAGTAGTGCATCATCCATACTTGGAGATCTAACTTTTACTATTTTAGCTCCAAATAAATAATTCATTGTATACATAAATGGTTCACATGCACAAATCATAGTTTAAGACCTTTACAAAATCTACATTATGTTGCAGTTAAAAATTCAATAATATTGCATCCCCCTAATATCGACAAACCTAATCAGAAGACAAGCAAATTTTCTGGATATTATCCTTGCAAGACAGGCATCAATTTCAATGCAACTTTTCTTCCAAATTATTGAAAGAAAGCATTTAAAGGTGAAATCCTATATAATTTTTTTCCCAAGTTATTAAAAAAAAACATTTAGGAATGTTAAGTTAATAAGTGACAGAAGAGTACTTCTTCTCTAAAGGGATTAATTTCTGTGACATAGCTTCTTCATGTTCTTTAGCCTTCTCAGACTGTTGCAAAAAAATACGAAAAGACACTGTCAGCAAAACTGCTCTATTAACATTCATAAGACTGCAAATCAAGCGATCAGGACAGTAAAACTAAAACCTCCATTAGGGAATTATCTCGTTCAGCAAATGCAGCTGCGACACAACCCTGAAAGAACTTCACCTGTTTCTCTGCTTCCTTATTCTGCATCCATAAAGAACTCATAAACCAGTTACAAAAGAGCTTGAGACAATATGATAACCAATCCATAAATTTATTATATCATATCATAACTCCAAAGGAAAATTATTCTGGCATACCAGAACTCTAAAGCATGAGAAAACAACAATGAATAGATTTTTTTGGAAGTAGAATTAATAAAAATGGCAACAAAATGAGCTAATATTATTTAGCAATCATTTAGAACTATAATCCCAATAACTCTTTGAAGCTATATAACCTCAAAAAAGCAGCAGTAGCACTGGTTTTTCAGAATATTTTAAATTCAACATATCTTCACAAGAGGCATGCATTTCCTTAGAACTATCATCTATAAATAAACAAGATAACCAAGAAGCTGTGAGAACATAAGACTGCTATGCTATAACTTCCTTCAGTTATCATACAGCCTTGTTTACGTAATTTTTTAGGGTCAAATGGGATTTTCTTAACAAATTTTTGCAGTATTGCATCATGCCTCAACACTAGCAATGAATGTTCCGCTAGACCCATGATATGTTACCATGAACCCACGTAAACATAGCCATCATGTACACAAATTGTTAGCCTAGCATAAGAGTTGCGGCAGCTTGCACAACTAGAACAGTAACTCTAGAAACCTACAACATGTAACAAGCTGTACTTTTGCAAGTTTCAACCTACAGGTAACTCTAGCATAGCATGCATGAAATCTAGGAAATATAATTGTTTAAGCTTCGAGCCATCATTTTCTTGATGTGGACATCCCTGCTTGTGAAGAAAAACATTGTTAATCAGCATTCTAGGAAGTACAGTACTGGGCAAAAAAATTCCTATTAGTCGAGTGAAATTAGTGCCAGTGATTTAAGCTTCAATTCATGCCACCCTCTATTGCACGATACATATCATTTCTCTGTATTATGTGAACAAAACAATGTTCATTTTCATTTATGTATTGATATCCCACTAAACCAGCACATAATAAACCAAACCACAATTTTAATTATTGATCTATCAAAATCGTATGTGCTTGATATGAATCACAGGTCGAGTGCTAAAGGCCCATCCTGGTCAAGACAGAAACAACAACTTATCTTAAACTCCAATTTGTACCCATGAAGGTGACCACAGAAGTTGCAGCCATCCTCACCATTATGTCAAGAAAAGGGTCCCACACAAGCAGTCATCAGTGTTTATTGTGGTCATTACCTCAAATAAACTTTTTTTTGCATATTTTTTGCTATTATATAAACCAATTTTCTGGAAATCAACAATAAGGGCTTTTTTTCCTTTTACATTCTAATTTCCTGTTTATTTCATTCTTTCCCATAGGTACTTCATTTTTAAACAGTACTGCAGGAACAAGGTAGTGCAGAAACTCAGTGAAACTCGATATGTTGTACCATTCCAAGTGATTTCCAACAACCAGCCAGAAAGTTTTGAATCACTGGTGTGAAGAATTAAGTTGCAAAAAACATCGAACGAAAGGAAGAAAACAATCAAAATATTCTCTACGATACGCATTTATAATACAAGAAAGTGTGTAAAGTCAACAAAAGAGCATTCAAGAACTCATTGTAATTGTACAGTTTAAGTTTAAGAATCAAAAAAGAACCATATTGCGAAGTAATTCAATGGTTTAACACAGCATATATATTTTGGCATGGTACCTTCAAAACTTCTGCAGCATGTAAATCTGCGAGCTGGCTCTGAAAGCAAAATATACAGACTAAAAAGAAGAAATTATCAAATGCAGAATTCAAACACAAAAAACTGACACAAAACATCCAAACCTTAACGTGATAAGCTTCAGAAAGCTCCTCTTGAAGATTCTGCTTCTCTCTGATGCATCCAGCTAACCTTTTTTTCAGGGTCTCAATTTCCTGTTCCAAACCAGCTGTCCTGGTGAGGTTATCAGTTAGCTGTAACTGATATATGATGAGAATTCCAGCCACAAATCAAATTGCAAACTAAAAATATAATCATTCAGCACACCTCTGAAAATGCATTCGGGTTGCCACTGCAAGATAACTAGGGCCAGCTTGTTGCATGCACAACTGCTCAATATCCTTCCTCAGTTCATCGCGTTCTCCAAAACAAGAAGATATGGGCACATGCAGTTAATAAATTTATGGCTTATGGGAAGAAAACAACATGGTACTTGGCAACAATGTAACTAATCTTTATAAGTACATAGTCTATACTCTATACTATCTTCTATTAACTCAAGGTTGTGCTTATGTTATACACTAAGCCCAACTATGTGAACACATGCCTCACATGACAAGAAACTCTAGAATCTAGACTATGCTTATATCTACACCATAAATTTATATTGCACCTTAATGGAGCAATTGAGTGCTCCATTGGCCTACTTGGATACAAAAGTATGTGTCATTGTGTCGACCAATTACCATGACACATTTAAATAAGACATTAGAGAAATTTGAAAAGACTAGTGTAGCACTGTCCAAAAAATTGAATTACTAATGTCGTAATCAGAATCCGATGAATCACTAATGCTAGCATAACTAGTTAACATTTCATAAGCCTTGTTCTTCAGAAGGTAAGTTGATCTTGATATTGCTATAGTACCATGATCAGAATCCGGTGTAGTCAAAGGCGCTAAGCGCTAAAAGGCACCAAGGTGCCAAAATGCCACCTCATGGGATATAACAAAGACTGAGCATTACTAGAAAGTTACTGTTACAAGAAGAAGAAATAATTGTGAGTGATGCCACATGTCATTGTCAAAGAAATTATTTGATAAGTAGTGATGAAATTTACCAACATCCAAATAGTTACAATAAACAGTAATGGGTTACGACACTTTTTTCCATTAACTACATATAAAAAAATAAGACTCATCTGGAATCATTATATGACCATTATAGAAGTTATAACAGCTATTAGTTTAAACACTATGCAGCATGCCCCTCGATAATGGACCAACATGTGCCTCTATTATAGGAAATATACATTTTCAGTTCCATGGCATGAGACTTAACTAATTACATGTTGACTGTCACAGATTTGCATAGGCTTATCAGCGGCCACAGGCACTCATATAGTTTAAGTTTCCAGGAGTTTCAGGAGGGATTTTTACCATGCCAAACAACCCAAACATGATAGTGGCATAGGAATTCACGTTGTAGCAAGGTGCCAACAACTATTTTGCTTCTATTTCATCTGAAATTTACTTTTGATGCCATTACTTCTCTCCTTAAGACAAATTCTCTCGATTAAGTGCTGCTCAAATAATTAATTGGTATTTTCTGGCACAAATCAACTGATCCAGCCCAATCCATTGATACTGATATCTTATCATCTTGTTAAGCCTCCCAAAAGTCCAGACTGCATGAATCACATGTTTGACTTATGCTTAGTTGTATTAAAAAGTCCATTTCTTTAACTCCAAGTTATATGGCCTAAGAGCTAGGTAAATTATTTTACAAGTTCTATATATTTCCATAGGATACCTTCTAAGTTCTCTATGTTCAGGTCATGCGAGCTTCATATCATGAGCTTCCAATCCATATGGCCAACTCAAAGGGTATTCCCTAAGTATTTTCATATGACCATTGCAAATAACAGAATAGAATTAGTATTTAGTAACACAAAAACAGGGATAAAGAAAAGCACAGTAAGATATAATAAAATTGCAAAATGCCAACTATCTGAGATCAGCTACATGGATTTTTTATAACCACTGAGCTACATAAAGAGACATCTCCCTAGTTAAGTTAAAAGCATTTAAATCCTTATTTATAGTTTCTAGTAAAATATTCTTAAGTCTCCCCTAACTCTTGTTGTACCACCAATGATAATCGTTTTACTCCTAACTAGCATTTGTAAGTCTACAAATCATATATACAAACCATTTTAAATTATTCTCTCTCATTTTATCCTCTATTGAAGCTAAACCTAGTTATCCATGAATAAAACTTTCCTATATTTCCTAGTCCACCTCAATATTTTCATCTCAACAACATACACTTTTTGTAAAAGAATAATAAGGTCTAGTATCTAAAAGAGTATATTACATCAATGCATAGAACATGAGATTATACCATGTTTAATTTGCTCGATCTGGTAGTGAATGTCTTCTTCAGCACCTCCTCTTTCATCCATAACTACCAACAGAACAAGAAGATAAATACAATTATTTCTATTCAGTAAGGCATAATTTTTAAAATAAGAAATAAAATGCCAAATGCCAAGGCCCTACCTATCTTAACAATTGCATAAAATGAGAATGCAACTGGTAGAGGTGATAGTTGTTATAAAGTCAAGAAATGAAATAGAAACTTTATTTTTCTTGTAAGAAATTTAAGTGAAACGAAAAAGAAATAAAAAGATTCACAGTGAATATTTGTGTCACATCCTGTTTTTTTTTTTACAGGATCACATTTTGCCACAAGTACATTCAGAGCTAAATAAATAAACATCACTTTATTCATAACTTGTAAACATTTATTACAATTCTTTTATTCGTCAAATCATAAATCAAAAGTATTTATTGAAGGACATAGTGATGTTAACATAAAAAAACATCCAAGTGGCTCTACCTATTGGTAGAGGAAAGTCTGTTCTCCACTGGAATTCGGTCTATTACTAGTAGGAGACTGTTCTGAAAATCAAAAACAAAAAAATTTCAACAACGTTGAGTAGGAACCCTTATAAATCAATTGAAAATAAATATATGATCAAAAATCAATCATCTCATTGGCGTATATCAAATACCCGAAGGAGCACTCCCTCAACAACGAATCGGGAGGCTTTATCCTACGAGATAAGTTAGTATTCTCCCAAAAGCGGATGGAGGCAAACTTATATCGTACCCCCAATAGCAGATAGAGTGGTGTCCCTCACTCGCCAAAGTAGGAACATGTTGGTCTCAACAGCGGATGAAGGAAGCATCCATCCACCACATCTGACGGCCCGCTAATCCCCGAAGGGAATCGCCCTACCAGCCCTCAGTAGAGAAATAACATCAACTCATACCGGTCATGTCTATATTAGGATGAAATAACACATTAAAACATTTTTTTTCAAACATTATTTATGTCAAATACTACCAACTAGCCCTCAATTGACTTGAACCCTAGTTCAATCAGTCCAATTGAACTTGATTTACCTAGAACCTAGCTGAACCGATCTATAATCCTCATTTAACTGGTCTGGAGCCACCCTAGACCAGTATAATTTGAACTAGATTATGTTCAATTTAGGTTAAACTAGACATACCTCTCCTCAGCAGTATATAACTCCTCGTTCCTCTCGTTATTGGGCTTGGCTTGGTGAGGAACGAATGAGAGAAATTCCTCCTCTTAAATAGGAGAAGGTGAGCCCTCCATTTAAGAAAATTTTCTTTTAATTTTCGTATTTATTTAATATTAATTTTTATTTAATATACTAACAAATATGACATCACTTTATTTTAAATGCTTAATGATTATTTCCTAATTTACAATGATAATCAAGGAAATAAAAATTAATATTTTATAAATCACAATGGCAAGCAAGGAAACAAAAACTAATTCCTAGTTCGAAGATTTGATTACATTTCTCCCCTCGTAAAGTGAATTTGGTCCCCAAATTTAGCTTACCTCAAAAAAATAAGTAAGAATACTGCTCTCGCATATCTTCTTCTCTTTCCCAAGTTGTTTCTTACTCTGAATGGTGTTGCCAACGGATCTTTATCAAATGTATAACTTTATTACTTAGAACATGTTCTTTTCTTTCCAAGATCTGGGTTGGTTGTTCTATAAATGTGACATCGTCTCTTAGTTGCAGAAGTTGGTAAGATATAATATGGAATGGATCTCCAGGGCATAGAGACGAGGTATACATAATGGATGTCAGCCAAAACCGGGAACAATGTCAATATGTATGTCACAAGCCCGACCTTCTGTAAGATCTCAAATGGGTCAATGAATCTAGAGGCTAACTTTCCCCTTTGACCAAACCTTATGACTCCTCTGGTTGGCAATACCTTCAAGAAGACGTAATCACCAAGTTTGAACTCTAGATCTCTTCGCTTTCAATCTGCATAACTTTTTTAGTGACTTTGAGTCGTGAATAATCTTTGACGTATAATTAGAATATTATCAGCATCTCTTTGAATTAATTGCGGTCCCAAAAACTTATGTTCTCCTACCTCATCCCATACAGGTGACCTACACTTTCTCCCATAAAGAACTTCAAATGGGGCGATCTGTATACTAAAGTGATAACTATTATTGCAAGCAAACTTAGTTAGGTGCAAGTGTATATCTCAACTTCCACCAAAGTCCAAAACATAAGCTCTTAAGAGGTCTTCAAGAGTTTGTATTGTTCTCTCAAATTGATCATCAGTTTAGGGTGAAAAGCTACACTAAATTTTAACTATGTGCCTAAAGATTCTTGTAGACTTTCCTAAAATTTAGAGGTGAACTTTAGATCTCTATCCGAAATAATGCTAATTGGCACCCCATGATATCAAATAATCTCCTTAATATATAAGCTTGCTCGTTTATCCAATGAATACTTCTTGTTAACAACGAGAAAGTAAGCAAATTTAGTAAGTCTATCCACTACCACCCAAAATCTATCATATCCTTTCGCAGTCTTGGATAGTCCTGTCACAAAATCCATAGTGACCTGCTCCCACTTCGATTCAAGAATTAAAATTCTTTGTAATTTTCCCGTAAGTACTTGATATTATGCTTTCACATGTTGGCAGATCAGATATTCAAAGACAAACTCTGCTATATCTCTCTTCATATCATGTCACCAGTAGTTTTAACAAAATCTCGATACATAATGTTAGTCCTAGGATGGATATTAAATTTTGATCTATGGGCCTCCTCCAACAATTGAATCTTTACTAAATGAATTTCAGGAACACAAAGTCGATTGTGAAATATAATAAAAACATCTTCGACTTAAAAAAATTCGAGTCTAGATCCTTGAGCTATCTCCTTTGCTATTATCTGAAGTTCTGACTTTATTTAATCCTTTCTATCAAATATGATTGTGCCATCAAACACGCCAAAAAATCTTTATTTGTCTCAGATAAAAATTTAAGTTTAGAACAAAAGCTGTTATATACTGTTGTACAGTGCGTTAAGATGCCAATGATCAAAGTATTTCCAGAGTTTGTAACATAAGAAAAAAAAGTCAAAGAAACTAGTGAGACTGCCCAAAAGTAGAGAGAATTATATTACCATCCAGGTAATTGTTCTCCCCAAAATTAACTATTCAGAATTTTTGCAGGCAAAGATAATATCAAGAAATTATTCGCCAAAAATGCTCAGACACATTGTTCATTAGCATTCACCAATACAAATTAGTTCAAATAAAAAAGAAAATAACCTCGACAGGCGGCCAAAATGGCCCATAAGAACAAGAAATCGAGGTCTTACTCGGATGTGTCCTCGGGAAACAATTGCCCGTTACAAATCTCAAGAATATGTCTCCATGACCTTAATATGCCGCCCAAATGGCCCATAAAAACAACAAATCGGGATCTTATTCTGACAAGAACATGTCTCAATAACACATCTCAATATCCTCGATATGCCGCTCAAATGGTCCATAATGACAAGAAATCGGGATCTTATTCGGACGTGTTCTCCGGTGACAATTGCGAAGAACACGTCTCAAGAATACAACTCAATAACCTCGATATGCCGCCCAAATGCCCCATAAGAACAAGAAATCGGGGCCTCCCCCGGGTGTATTCTCGGAAAACAATTGCCAAGAACACGTCTCAAGATTGCTTTTCTTTTCAAGAAAACAATTGCTCACATACCCAATTCGACGAGGAGAGACGCTGGGAAGGAAGGCGAGGCGGAAACGAAGGGCGGAAGGGGGAATTGATGCCCCAACAGCCACCTCCGTGGTTTGCGCGGCCGTCCAGGCGACGACCTGCAGACCTCAAAAAATGGAGAGAGAGAGAGAGAGAGTTTACCGGCGACGAAGGGGAGGAAGCCGGGGTCTGCAACGGGGATGGATCACACGGAAGACCGAAGAGGGGTCTCGAGAGCGTCGAACTTAACGGGTCCGAGGGTGGGATTACTGATACAGGCTTAACGGGTCGTGGTGGCCCTCGGACCCACCAGGCTTAATGGGTCCGCCAGGGTTTATCGTCCGACACAATTTACACAAGCCTAAACCAGTATTGGATAGGAGTCCATTTAGCATGTTACCAACCCTCGTTGCCACCTGAAGCCCACACCAGAATTCCATTTTTTTAAAAAAAAAATTATAAAACTAAATAATAATATCAAAAATATATATAAAAAAATCTTTCCTAAAGAAAATAGAATTATTTTCTTTTGAAAAATATAAAATTTATATATAATAATAATAAATATAAACACAATCAATATATCATGATAAAGGTATATTTTGGGTCCAGGCCGCGTTACAATCAACGTCACGTCAAGCCATTGCTAGGTCAGCAAGAGGAGCACTCCCATGCGCCAAGCCAAAATCCATACGAAGGTGTTCCTTCGTACGTCTCGTCTCGGAAAGCTGGTCGGCATCTGGCCTAAGGGGAGGTAAAACAAAACCAACCAAGCACTGACTTACTCGTTGATGGGCCAAAGTCGATAATCACCCAACGAGAGCCTTCTGTGCAGGAGAGCAACCACCCCGCGAGCCATGACCATCCCGATGGAGAATCGTCAACTAGCATCCCGAAGGAGAGTTGCCAACCAGCATCCCAACCGAGAGCCGCCAACAACATCCCGACGGAGAGTCATCAACCAACATCCCAATCGAGAGCCGTCGACTAGCATTCCGACGGAGAGCCACTAACCAACTTAGCCGACCGAGGACTCCCGACATTGACTCGTGGACCCTAACTCCTCAGCTACAGCACATCCGTTAATCAACATATCCAAATATAAATTTTATATTTTTAATGAAATGTTTTATTTCTTTTATTATTTTATTTATAAATTTTTAAATACTTCCACTAAAAATATTTCCCACGGCTGACATATGCTGATATTTTTTATTTCTTATCTGATCGATCACACCTGTAAAGGACCAAAGATATTCCGTGCGGATGATATATAACATTATCTCAGTTTGCTCTAACCGACAAACATGTGGTGATGAACATAGTATTCGTGAGTCTGATAAAGTAGTTCGTTTCATTGATGCGAGCAACCAACGAGTTTAGAATTCTAAATCACGGCACTGGGATTGTTCTTTATTTTCCTTTTTTGCGACAATGTACAATATACTGATAGAAACAACACATCAACTAAGAGAAGAAATATTCTAAAACCCCACATTCATTTCCAGTTTCATCGATCTGACCACTAGGAAGAACCAGAAAGAAGGGGATTAAAGTCGAATCCGGCAAACTCAATCTTTCAAGCAGGACGCATGAGGCCACTCCCGATCGATCCCAACTCGAACTCAGAAGCAAGCATCCAAGAGACAACAACAGCAAAGAGCGGCCAAGCTGCACCAACCAATATAAATTAGAAATCGTTTCAGTGTAAGGAGAAATTATCCGGAGAGAAGAGAGAAGAAAGATGTGAAAGGAAACGGGATGCGGTTGTGCCGGACAGGAGCCGAATAATTCGGGAAACGGGACGATGAATAAACAATCAGTTTAAAGAACAAGAAAGCGTTAAAGAAAACGAACGGAAGAAAGTGATCGACACGTCAGTAAAGGGAGACGCACACAACCGCCTCGACCTCAGCGCACGATAGCTATCTGGCGCCGGCTGCTGCCTTTGCCGGCATCTAGCTCAGATCTGCTAGTCTTGCGCCGGTCAGAAGGCTGGGCGGTCGTAGATCAAAGCTTGTTCGATCCTTCAGCGACGGCTCCAGAGAAGAGAAGAGAAGAGAAAAAGCGGCAAAATAAATGGATGCATTACCATCCCTCCATGAAGGAAGGCCCGCTGCTCTGCTTCTGGGGTGGCGGCTGAGCGTACGGCGGCGGATACCCCTGCTGGGGGTAGCCAGCAGGTGGGTATCCTTGCGCCGGATACCCCGGCGGTGGGTAGGCGTCCTTGGGGTACCCCTCCGGCGGATAACCTAACCATAACAACGAAATCGACTACAAAGATCAGAGATCTGAAACCCCAACGCTAAAAGAAACACAGCCATGTTGGAACCCCAAACCCTAGCAAGAAATCCATGGATGGATGAACGGGTACCTTGGGGAGGTGGAACTCCGACGGGAGGCTGCTGCTGGTTGTAGTAGCTCATCTTGTCGAGTCTTCGATCCAACGCGGCGAGGCGAGCGGGTGCGGGACAGAAATGGAAGTGGGGGAGAGTGGGTGGGAATTTATAGTTCAGGAAAGGGGACGATTGCTTCGACACGAAACCAAACCAATCGGATAAACGCGTCGCGTCCGCGTCGTGAGACGTAACAATAATGTAGCAGCGTGACCTTCGTGGAAGCTTCCCTGCCGCTTGATCGGAACGTTTACCAATCTCGACGCAGTGGAAAACAGTAATCTGGCAGATTGGTTGCGTACCTTTCTATGTTTTACCGAACCAATTGATCGTACTGACAAAAAAATGAGGAATCACTTTTTAAATCCAAGAACAAAATTGTTTTGGGAGATTTCTATATGTTGAATATTTCCTAACAGTATCCCTCTTTTTATTTTTTAAACAATTTTTTTAATTTAAAAATATTTAAAATATCTCTTAAATTTTTATAATAAAATTCACAGTATTTTTAACTAAAAATGTTATCAATATTATTGAAAAATAATTTAAGTGATATCGTATCGTGTCTCTTTAGTTATTATTGCTCGTAGACCATTATAATACTATATTATTAGATCGTTTATAGCGTTTTCAAGTATGTTTTACTTTATTCTGATAACGATAATACTATAATAGATCAAAAATACCATAATAAACTATAACAATGTTATATATTAAAAAAATAGACATTATAATATATAAAAAACAATTTAACAAATAAGAAATTTTTTTAAAGATAATTTAGGTTTTTTAAAAATTAAAAATATTATCTTAAAAATATAAATATTTTTAAAGAAGGATTGATTGTGAAATATCGAAGATGTGAGTTATTTTCTTTTTTTTTATAAATCATCCGTGACAAATATATCAAATCTAATGATGAACTGAATGGAAAAAAAATTCGAGAATCAAATCATTCTATTTATTCAATCAAATATATTAAAAAAGGGAATGAATCGATCGGTCTGATTGATTTTTAGATAACCCCCACAAATAGATCACGTTAAATCAAACTGTCCTGATTTATAGCTATAGCTGAAAATATTTAATGTATTTTTTTATGTTATTTTTGGAATTATGTTTCACTTGAAAAAGAAAAATTTTGTTTCTCGTGCAATTGTTTCTTTCATTTTATCATATTCTCTTCCTGTTTAACCACCTCTCTCTCCTTTTCATCATCTTTCTCTCACTATTGTTTTCTGTTTACCTAGATAAAATCATTTATTTTATGTCACTAAACAATTTATTTTGAATCATATTAATCTGTTTACCTAGATAAAATCATTTGTTCGAAAAGTATTGTCCACTATAAATAGGCACATATGAATTCTGATATAACTATGGGTTGTTCGGAGGGATTCGATTTCAAATTTCATATTAAGACCTTACAGAAATTACGATAAGAGCATACATAATAATATTATTTCAATACTTGAGTTGGTAAAGTAATCGAAGTATTCAATACATTATAAAATTCATCTAAATTATCATAAATTCAAAATAAATGAGTTCAATGCACTTGTGAGCTATTTTATAGTGTCATAAATGGGTTTAGGGCTATGGTTAATTGTTGTAAATAATTATTCACTTTCATCTTGTCATAGATGGGATTGTGCATCAAATATGAAGGTCACAGAATAATAATTTTCTTAAGTTAGTCTCAATCGACACTATGATATATTGAAAACATATTGATTGATTGTCGGATAGATAGAAACCCTGTATTCGAGTTAAGTGAGATTGGTGTGTTAATCAAGTGACCTCAATGTATCGATTTAGAGTTGATCAGAGGTCTATCATATTTGATAAGGTATCGATAGCCCTACGTGTGTTGTTATCTCTCTGTTATCAAATAAATTATTATTTCATTTAAATTAACTCATCATGTCTTATTCATAAGCTTTATGATAATATGGAATTAAAAAATATCATCCTAATTTTGAGATAATTCTTTCCATAATTAAAATTTATCCTATAAATAAAGTTTTCATAAAAATAATTTAATTTATGTTAATATTCTAAAAAATGTCCTCTATTGAGAATTTACCCATAACCCTTATTTTTTTCAAAAAATTATAATTTTATCCTTCTATTCTAATCAATATACTCTAAATTTTCTAAACCCGTTCAAATAAATGAACTGATTCATGTCACCCTCCCGCCTCTTCCTCCTCCTTAGACTCTATCTCTCTCTCTCTCTCTCTCTCTCTCTCTCTCTCTCTCTCTCTCTGAGTTCTGAATAGAAGGGCCGTCGTCAATAAAATTATTCCAAAGTTGCCGGAGCAGAAAATGGCATGGAGTTGGGTCTTCTTCCTCAAAATGAATTGGGGCCTCCCTCATCGACCACGTCTCGGTTCCTTCCCTCTCCTCCCCCTCTCTCTCCTTCCATTCACATTCTCCGGTCGGTCTTGCATTAGATTAAAGTGTGAGGAGGTGTGGTGGTCATGGTGATAGTAGAGATCGGTTCAGAGCCTTCCACTCCCTCTTCTGCTTGCACTCGGTACTCATGCCTCGCCGCTCCACCAACCCCTGCCTCCTCTCCTTTGCGGGCTTCGCCTCAACCGCCGTCGTCCTCTACTGTACCGTCTCCACCATATTCTCCCCACCCCCCGTCCTCGACGTCCCATCTTCTCATCCCGTCTTTATCTCCTCCTCTTCGCCCTTCCATGACCACAACGATCGCGACGCTCCCGACGCCACCTTCTACGATGACGCTTCCGTCTCCTACGCCTTCGACCGCTCGCTCACCGACTGGGACGCCAAGCGTCGGGAGTGGCTCCGCCTGCACCCTAACTTCGACGGGAATGGCCGCGAGAGGGTGGTCATGGTAACCGGGTCCCAGCCCGGCCCCTGCCGCAACCGGGAGGGCGACCACCTCCTCCTCCGCTTCTTCAAGAACAAGGTCGACTACTGCCGCCGCCACGGCATCGACCTCTTCTACAACACCGCCCTCCTCCACCCGGCCATGCGCTCGCTGTGGGCGAAGCTCCCCGCGATCCGTGCCGCCATGCTCGCCCACCCGGAGGCCGAGTGGGTGTGGTGGGTCGACTCTGACGCCGTCTTCACGGACATGGACTTCGAGCTCCCCCTGCATCGCTACCGGGACCACAACCTGGTGGTCCACGGCTGGCCCCACCTGGTGTACGACGCCCGCAGCTGGGTCAGCCTCAACTCCGGCGTCTTCCTCATCCGCAACTGCCAGTGGTCGCTCGACTTCATGAAGGTGTGGGCCGTCATGAGCCCTTTATCACCGGACTACGACCGGTGGGGCCAGGTCCTGGCGGCGGAGTTGAAGGACAAGCTGTTCAATGTGTCGGACGACCAGTCGGCGCTCGTCTACCTCCTCCTCAAGCACAGGGACCAGTGGGGCGACAAGGTCTTCCTGGAGAGCGACTACGATCTCGAGGCCTACTGGGTGGCGATCGTGGACCGGCTGGAGAACATGACGGCGAAATACGCGGAGGTGGAGCGGCGCGTTGACGGTCTGCGCCGACGCCACGCCGAGGTGGTGAGCGGGGGGTACGGGCGGCTGAGGGAGGAGCAGCTGGCGACGGAGGAGGGAGCGGTGAGCGGGCCCAACGGGTGGCACCGTCCCTTCATGACGCACTTCACCGGGTGCCAGCCCTGCAACGGCGCCCACAACAAGATGTACACCTGGAAGAGCTGTTGGGAGGGGATGCAGCGTGCGCTGCACTTCGCCGATGACCAGGTGCTCCGCGACTACGGCTTCCGCCATGCCGATCCCCTCAGCGGCGACGTCGAGCCGCTGCCTTTCGATTACCCGTCCACGGCGTGAAGGTTCGTCGCGACGGTGATGTCTGTTATTGTTATTGTTCAATAAAAAAAATTAATCGATGTTATAATACTATCTTAGATGAATTGACTTATAACGATACAATATATGTACTGTCGGTATCATATATGTCATTCTTATATACACCAACCAAAGAAATGGAGATAAATGGATCATATGCCCCACCCAAGATTCGAACACAGAGCTGATATGACTTCACTGTTTCTAAGACATGCAAATGGCATGCCGTTGAATCAGATCACATGATAACAGGCGTCATGCATGCACGGCATGACCTTTTACACTAATCGAAGCATGTCATGCCGAAGTCAGTTGTGACATGAGGACTTCTGTGACGTGGAAAAGTTGTCCTCGGACGACACCGCTACGTCCTGATGGCAACTCATCATCGCCACGTGTCGGTCTGACCGCGACCTGATGCGCTTCAAAAACCGTGCCCCGAAAAGACGCGGCCTCGATGAGCGGGCTCCGCCGATCCCCGCCACCCTGGTCCCGTTACGACGGGCTTAATTGAGAACGACCGTCCCGCGTGGCAGGATCACAGCCGCCGATCACGACCTCGATCCATCGCAATTTGCGCATGTAATCACGCGAACGCCACCGTCCCCCTGAAATGTGCGGCCGGCGCAGTGAAGCCACCAACGCAACCCTTCCTCTTTTGCTTGGAAAGCAAAGCCATGAACAGCTAAAAGATTCATAAAGACCGTCTGTGTTCGTTCCTGAGCAAATCCAATGCTTGTTCGGATGTCTCTCGCACTGCACCGACGATGCAGAGTCCGCTGTTTAAGGAGTACTTGTCGAAAAGCTCGAGTCTCCTCCGTCAGCAACCACGCCTCTGTTCCTCGTCTTCCTCGCTAAAGTCCAAAACTGGCAACGAAAGCAGCACCAGGTGGCATAATCCCTTCGATAGCATCCAAAACTCCTGCTCCCTTACTTTTCCTCCCCCCTTCCCGCTCTCTCTCTCGCTCTCTCTCGCCTTTCTGTGAGGTGGTGTTGGCGGTGGTGGTGGTGATGATGAGCGGTACGGAGCCTTCCTCTCCCTCTTCTGCTAGGACTTCCAAGGGCCTTATGACTCGCCGCTCCTCCAAGCCCTCGCTCTTCTCCGACGGCCTCGTCTTCGCGGGTGGAGCCGGCGTCGCCCTCCTCGTCTTCTGGGTCGTCTCGACCTTCTTCTCCGCTGTCACCGTTGTAGACCCTTCCGCTTTCCCCTTCTCCGTCTCCTCTTCTGCGGCCTTCCCTGACCTCCACGATCGCGACCCTCCCGGCGCCACCTTCTACGACGACCCTTCCGTCTCGTACACCATCGACCGCCCGCTCACCGGCTGGGACGCGAAGCGCCGAGACTGGCTTCGCCTGCACCCGGCCTTTGGCGGGTACGGTCGCGAGCGAGTGCTCATGGTGACCGGGTCCCAGCCGGGCCCCTGCCGCAACCCGGTGGGCGACCACCTCCTCCTGCGCTTTTTTAAGAACAAGGTCGATTACTGCCGCCGCCACGGCATCGAACTTTTCTACAACACCGCCCTCCTCCACCCGGCCATGAACACGTTCTGGGCGAAGCTCCCCATGGTCCGCGCCGCCATGCTCGCCCACCCGGAGGCGGACTGGGTGTGGTGGGTAGACTCCGACGCCGCCTTCACCGACATGGACTTCGAGCTTCCCCTGGATCGCTACCGGGATCACAACCTGGTGGTTCACGGTTGGCCCCGCCTGGTGTACGAAGCCCGCAGCTGGGTCAGCCTCAACGCCGGCGTCTTCCTCATCCGCAACTGCCAGTGGTCGCTCGACTTCATGGCGGTGTGGGCGGCTACGGGCCCCATGTCCCCGGACTACGACCGGTGGGGCCAACTCCAGAAGGCGGAGTTCAAGGACAAGCTGTTCAACGAGTCGGACGACCAGTCCGCGCTCGTCTATCTCCTCCTCAAGCACAAGGACCAGTGGGGCGACAAGATCTTCCTGGAGAGCGACTACTACTTCGAGGGCTACTGGGTGGAGATCGTGGGGCGGCTGGAGAACATGACGGCCAAGTACGCGGCGGTGGAGCGGCAAGTGCAGGGGCTGCGCCGGCGGCACGCGGAGGTGGCGAACGGGGCGTACGGCAGGCTGCGGGACCGGCACCTGTCAGGGGAGGATGGGGCGGTGAGCGGGCCCAACGGCTGGCGCCGGCCCTTCATGACGCACTTCACGGGGTGTCAGCCCTGCAGCGGCGACCACAACAAGATGTACAGCGGGGAGAGCTGCTGGGAGGGGATGCAGCGGGCGCTGCACTTCGCCGACGACCAGGTGCTGCGCGACTACGGATTCCGCCACGCCGATCCCCTCAGCGGCGACGTCGAGCCGCTGCCTTTCGATTACCCGTCCGCGGCGTGAAGGTTCGTCGCGACGGTGATGTCTGGCGAACGCTTCCACAGTACAACAAATATATTATTTTCAGAAAAAAGAAGAATAGTAGAAATATAAAATATAAATAAACAGATATTTTAGAGTAAAAAGTGCTTTTCTTTCCGCTTTATTTTTCTTTTTCTTTTTCTCTTTAGGAACGAATAAATTCGAATATGTTCCTCGTTATGTTCCTTCTTTTCCTCGTTGGGAGGGAAACGGTTTCCGATGACGAGCCATCACGAGAAACGCGGCGGGTTACCGGTCGGATCTCCTTGACGAGCGAAACGCGAGGCGACGGTTACGGAAACGGTTACGTCAATGTCGACGGAGCAAAATCCATCACGCACCTTCATCGACGTAATCGAATCTTAAAGTCTGACGTGTATCGGCATCCGATTGGGTTGGAGGCCCAAACTCTAATCCACAGTCTGTTGGGCTGATTTGAATTAGGTCGAGATTTGTTGATTTGGGTCGAACCTTTTGATTGAAATGTTGAAATTAGGTCAACATGAGATATAGAATTCGATCAATTGGGTTGGATATAATAATTATTTTAAATAATTTTAAATCCTTTTATTACAATACTTTTTTTATTAAAAGTCGAATCGAATCAAATCTTATGTCGCTATGGCCCAAATTATTTCATCTTGCACACATATATGAGTCCAATTTCTAAATCTATTTGTGTTCCTTCAAGAATTATTTCATCATAAATGGACACCTCAAGTGTCCATTTCTCTATCCTAACACATCATAAACAAACCATAAATAACAGGGCACAGATGCAAGGATCAATTTAAAGGTGAGCATTAATTGGATTAGGTCACCCATCACCTCTTCCAGAGGTGTAACACCTCTGAATTGTCAAGCTCAAGGGGAGAGACAAACCCTAATGGCATCATTGACGACGATGCTACAGTCGCAACTACTTCTCTGTAGCTTCATTTAACTATAGTCCCCACCATGTCAATATACATACTCAATTATTTGACTAAAGATTAATAATAATAATAACAATATATCACGATGGTTACGAAAAGATAATCATCTTACTATCCTATAAAACAAACTATGTTTTGATTTAACCTTAATCGTAATTTTGATTTGATTGAATCCCTAACAATAAATCAAATAATCTAAAACTATTATCCTAAGGAGTATTGTCGAGCAAGTATTAAATGTCAAAGCTATCACAAACGAGAAGATGCTTAATGCTTTCATGATAATCATTACGGATTAAGACAGAAAGAGTTATCCGAAACATGTGTCAAACGTAAGACCATAGTATTTCAAGATTCTATTTGACTAATTTTGACCAACAAAACGTATCCCTCCTTTTTCCTATATATAAACGTATCTCTCTCTCTCTCTCTCTCTCTTTCTTGGTTGGGACAATGACTCGACGACTGCAGCTCTCCCATGCCATTTCATGGTGTGATGTTCATAGCTTCTTCTCATGTTATTAGCTTCCCCTGTTTCCCGGAGGGAATAAACCAAGCAAGAACAGACACTTCATCTCCTCTCACGCCTGCAGTACCGATCCAGAGGAAGAGGCCATTGTTGTTTTGGAACCTCAGGAAGACCCAAAAGCTTCCTCTGCCACTCTGTTGACTGACAATAATTTACATTTATAATTGCTTTACGTGCAAGATTCTGCAGAGGAAAACATTCACTCCCCAATCTCTTGCAATAGTCACTATATATGTATATATATTGCTGATGTTGATGAAGTGGGAATATAAACTAAGATCATCTCTCTCTTATGCTTCTTTATGCCGAGCTTTTCGATGAGCGATACTTGTATATTCTAAGGAATTAGGCATTGAATTATCCCTGGATTAACCATGAATTATATATATATATTTATACATGATGCTCTTCCCCATGATTTCCCCTGTTCACGGGATGTTCTACCAAATCATGGAAACCGGTGTCGATTGGTACGCTTCGCCTCGCTGTATTGCATGTGACCCCGTTTTGGCTCCATTCCTCCGACGGAGTGTGAGATGGTGCGTGCGAGGGAGGAGAATGAGAAGAGCCTTCTCCTGTATCGATCCACTGATGCAGAGAGAGGAGGCCGATGTTAGCTCGGATTGCAGCAGCGGATGCCAATCTGGTTGGACCGACTACTTGGACAAGTCCTGCGGTGAGTGCCCTCAGCCTCTCGTCTGCGGCAAAGGTGGTTCCTTTGAGGAAGAGGAGGAGGACCTGTCCATGGTCTCCGATGCGTCCTCCGGGCCTCCACATTTTCCCGAGGAGGACGAGCATTCCTGCGGCTATCTTCGCTCCAGCACTTGCTTTCATGCCGGCGGCTGCCTCTGCTCTGCCTTGACTCCAGCTGCTGGATTGGCCGCGGGCGGTGCCAAGAAGAGGAGAGTCGAACCAGAGCAGCAGAGACAACGTTCTTCTCTGTTGGATGACACCGCCAGTTCGCCTCTGTTCAGCTTCTCCAAGGCATGCTATATTCCTGATCCTTACTCTCCATCATCTGATTTCAATCCGCTGCTCAGCTTCAACGAAGCCATTTCGGAGTTCTCTTGTGGCTTTAAGGTGCATTGCTGGTTCTCCTTCCGCTGGTTTTTCTCTTACGTTGACTAACAAGTATGATCTCGAACAGAGAAATCTCCAACTGGAGAAGCAAATGGGCCACCTTCAATCCTCTGTTCCGGAGACCAGTTGAGTGATCTCCATAACCTACATTCCTTGCTGCGATTCTGTTCCTCGACTCATTCTTCCTTTTTGTCCGTTTGGTGTCAGTAGACATCAAGAAAAGTAGGTGGGAAGAAGATTTGGTGATCGACTCATCCGAAGCAGAAACGTGTGGATGGATCTTTGAAGTTCTCAAAAGAGATCAACTTTAATCTTCTACTGTACCTCTCTCTCTCTCGCCTCTGTTATTTTCCTTGTGGCAAGTCAATGCAGTGGGAAGGAAGCGATCGACCTCTGCAACAGAGAAGAGAAGAAATAATTACTTACTCTTCAGCATTCTTCTTCTTTTCATTATTTTGTCATGAATGGAGGTAACAAAATGAGCCACCATAGACTCTCTGTTCCCACCCTCATCTCCCACCTTCTCACAAGGACATGCATTCAAATGGATGACGTCCCATGGAGGAGGAGGATCAACTCACTCGATAGATTCAGTTCCAAGCCCAGTGTAATGCTCACTCGACGCGCCATGTCGTGATCAAGGACCCTTACGCAGTTACCATCTTGTCCGACTGGTCCAACATTTGCATCATCACCACAGGAAATGGAGGACGCTTGCACTGAGAAGCTGGAGGCACGGTCACTCTCACCACCGGCTTGCCCTGCATCACCCCATTCATGGCAGCGAGCGACTCAAGGTCGCTCTCCTGTAAACAAACACCAAGCTGCATGCTTTATAGTGTCATGTCTCCTTCGTGCTACGTTATGATCAAAATACTTCTCCAGTCAACCTAGTGTGTATGTGACCGCGAAACAGATAAGCATAATAAGTAAGAGAGAGAAGCATCTCTCCTGTTCCTTCTTCTCAGGAAATCTATCGTCTCGGACGAGAGATCCCGACAGGTACGGCCATGTCCTCTGAGAGTGTTCGACCTGAGGGCACGGAAAGGGAGGAAGACGACCCGCACGCAGCTAGATGCGCGTTCCGACGATGCTGTACTCGTCTCGAACACAGCCCTCGGGCCTCATGCGCACCAGTTGATGGATTACGGATGGTAAGAAGTCGATGTTGATTCTTCCGAGTCTTTTGTATCAGATGTTTGATGAAGATTCACAGAAGAAACGCCACAAAGCAAACCTCGAAGTCCTCATCCTTCCATGAGAAAGAAGAAACAGAGGGTAACCGAAATCGAACACCCAGGTTTCACAGCAGCCATGTTAACCAACCTGTCTTCTTCCTCGAGCAAGCTTCTACTGAGAAGCTGCTTTTGACAGGCTTTACCTGAGCCTGCAGAACACAAGGACATGAACCGTAGCAGTCAAAGCCAGACTTTTAAGGCAGGCAGCATGGCCTCATCTTTATCCTCATCCTCATCCTTATCAGCCTTAAATGGCAATTCTGGACATGCACAGGCTCTGATGCCTGCCCATTCAATATGCACTTCAAGGAACATGTGGTTTGAATGGCTTGCATCATTCATCTCTATCATCTTGCAACCCTTCTGCATAGCACCTGAGCAGCTCAATAATCTTCCATAGCTCTTCCTTGGAGTGTGTGGTAAATCAACTGTAAACTCATAGGTTTGTGACTTGATCTTATTGTGTTTCTATGATTTGCCTGAAGTAGTTGCTGCTGATCATTACTTGTCACAATAACAAGTGCTACTTTAAGATAGTTTAAGTTTTATAAACATAATATATGTATTATCATGATATAAAATTAAAATTATCTAAAAATAATACCTCTAGTCAATCATTTTAGGTGTTGAGCAAAGAGCGACAAAAAATATTAATCATCTCAACCTCTTAGAAATATATGATTGGATGAGCCTTTGGAATAGTATATTTAAGTTAATTAAAATATTTATATTTTATATTTATAATAAAATATTTGTTTATGTGATTTAATGTTTTTACTGATCTATCTTTTCTTTCTAGCAAATTCTTCGGGATCTTACGATATTATGAAGAGACTGACTTTTTACGAACGGACATATAAGAATATCATACGATATAAGTAAAATCAATTAAGTCTGTGATACCGATAGTGATACAAGAATTAATGCATTTTAGGTAGAAAAATGATCCGAGTAGCAATCCCTAACCTATATGGTATCTTTTATGAGGTTCTTCCTCATTGATTAGAGCCCTCAGACCTCAGCTATCCAATTAAATTTCCATGATGCTCAACCTCAGAGCCATTTGCACAATTTGCAGTGGCAGTGGCACAGCTTCTTGATGACACTTCTGCCAGGAGTGTGGACTCTGACACCATTGAAGGAGCAATACTTGCCTGAAACATAACCCTCAATGAAGATGGAGCAGAAGAAGCTATCAGAACATCACAAGGCCCCTTTGTATAGTGCAAACACATTCCCTTTCCTCTTCATTTAATTAAGCATCGATTCATCTCGATGCATTAGCAATCTCAAACTCACGGAGAAGACGACATCGTCGTGAAGTCCTCACCACCGAGTCTTCTGCATTATCAATCGGAGGAAAGTAATCGAGGAATCTGAGAGGACATGGCGAGGCTAAACATTCCTGTAGTTGTTGGCTAGAAATTGGTAGCCCAAGTCGAGTCATGGCAGCGAAACATCACAGCTTTGGTTTGGTAAAGACGCCTACGATGGGCATCATCTTAATGTCTTCGTACTGTACTGATCCTGCAGCCAGCAACAATGGCTGCATGCCTTATAATGTTCATGGCACCAGAGCTAGCGTTTCCGGAAAAGCTGAGACCAGATCAGATCCACAATTCATTGTATTCCGCAAGAAGAAGAAGCTGGTAAGTGCCTCCACGAACACCCCTCAATGCTCGTCAGAGAGTTGCAGGCAGGCGGCTGAGATCGCAGTAAGATAATGATATCTCCACTCCGGAAAAAGGATCAAAGCAGCTCACTCCTTTTCAGAAGCATTGAAGTAAAGGATCGAACAAGTCATGCTTATCATGAGGGTCTTTGAATGGCTTGCAAATGCCGGTAGATCGAGGATGGTTCTGTGGCACTTTAATTCAATCTGCCGCCGACTGCAATACTGTCATCCGGGATTCGAGTATCAGTTTCAGTAGCCACTGCTCATTTATTGAAGATGATGGTAACTTCTTGGTTTCCAATGCATCTCTAGTCAACGTAATTGACGAGCATCACCGCTGGTTTCACGTTGCTCATTAGTCGGCAGCGGCGACAAAGTACGAGAGAGTGGTGTGACCATCAAAGCTAATTAAGAGGGAAGGAGGAGGCACGTAAACCGCGCCTCCTCGGAGTAGATTGAGAACAGGGTCAAAAGGCCGGCTGGTCCCTCTCTCCAATTCAGTGGCGCGTGCAGCCCTCTCAACGCCAACCAGACAACAACGACGCACATTAAGCCGCCGTTGCCATGAGGAAGCGGCCATTAAAGGCACGACCCGGCGCGCGCTCTCCCCACAGACTCCTCCGTTTCCACCACCAGAGGCCGGCGCCGGTCGAACCATGACGGTGCTCCTCCCCATCCCGCCGCTGGTCCCCATCCCGCCGATCGCGGTGCCGGGAGAGGTCCGGCGGATGGTGAGGCTGACGTACCTGACCGCCCTCACCACGCTCCTCGGCTACGTCGTCTTCTTCGTCTTCGGCTTCCTCCGGGATCTCTTCCGCGAGCTCTTCGACTGGTCCAAGTCCGACGACCTCAGGGTATCTACCTCCCTGTATGCTCTCGTTTCATCCGTACGACGACTAATGGATCCCGGTTTCATCTGGCGACAGGGTTACGCGCCGATATGCCCGCCATTTGAGGATTTCTACACCCGCCGAATCTATCACCGCATCCAGGTCTGCTCTGCTTCCATTTCAGCTTCTTCCTGTCGGATTCTTTCCTGTTCAGGAAGTTGCTGCCTTGCTGGTCATTTTCTTGGTACGACGAGTGTTTGTTCTCTTCTGCATAAAAGATCGGAGTCCCCTCAAACGATACGTATCTAAATCCTCACGACCCGGTCAAGATAGCGGCGGCAGCAGCAGCAGCAGAGGAAGAAGAAAGTAGTGTTGTTGTTAGTCGTTCTTACCTTGCAGCGATTAAGCATTGCACTCAGCAATGGAGAAAGGAGAAGAGAGGGCTTCGTTTGTCTTCATTCCTTTTAGATTTCGATAGAAGATCCGATCACCGCTGGATCGGATCGTTCAACACCGAGAGATCGAGTTCTCGAAGTATATCCATCTCTGATCGCCACCTTTTCCTCGATTTAATGGAAGATTTGTGAAACAACAGCGTAGGAAGGATGCGTAAACTTAGAGAGGGCAATACGATTTATGTGCAGGATAAAGTACTGTTTAGGTGGCCGTCAAGGACATAATGCGTGCATCGTCTTTCTCTTCTACTGTCTCTGTGTCTAACATGAAGAACCCTAGAAGTGATTCGTGTATGTTTGACGATGGGCATGGCAGGATTGCTTTGCCCGACCGATCGCGAGCGCACCGGATGCCTGGATCGATGTGGTGGAGCGGTATTCCAATGACAACAACAAGACCCTCCAGTATGTTCGACGTAATTCCCTCCCCGATTCGACAGTGGAAGACGTTTCTGACTCTGTTCCTCTCACGCGATGCAGCCGGTCTTCGACCGCATCCAGATGCCTCAACCTCGGATCATACAACTACCTCGGTTTTGCTGCCGGAGATGAGTACTGCACGCCTCGCGTGATCGAGTCTCTCAAGAAATACGCTCCTACCGCTTGCAGTGCTCGGGCTGACGCAGGTAGGAAACCTCTGCTTTCTTCGTCACAGAACAGATGTTGAATCCCCTAAGCTTGCCATGGCTATCAGGAACCACCAGGTTGCACGTCGAGCTCGAGGAGTTGATAGCACGATTCGTCGGAAAGCCAGCGGCCATCACCTTCGGCATGGGATACGTGACCAACTCCTCCATAATCCCAGTTCTAGTCGGAGAGGTCTGCAAGTTCTGCTACCGTCAATTGTACCTGACGATGGTGAATTCAGCGAATCATATGAGTTCGTTCTCTTCTCGTGTTCCTTAACAGGGAGGGCTAATCATCAGCGACTCGTTCAATCACAACTCCATCGTCAGTGGCGCTCGCGCATCCGGCGCAACGGTGCATGTTTTCCGGCACAACAGTACGTCCGACGCCTTGAGCATGAGATGGTGCTCGATAGCTCGCCATGCTTCGCTTCACCTCACCTTGTCTGCGTTGACAGGCCCTTCGCACTTGGAAGAGGTGCTGCGGGAGCAGATCGTCAAGGGTCGTCAACCTGGCACACACAGACCATGGAGAAAGATACTTGTCATCGTCGAGGGCATATATAGCATGGAAGGGGAGTTCTGCAAGCTGCCTGAGATAGTAGCCATCTGCAAGAAATACAAGGTTCGACATCGATCGACATCGAGGGTTCGAATTCTGAGAACCGATGACAATACTCCTCTCTCTGGATCAGGCATACATATATCTGGATGAAGCTCATAGCATCGGTGCGGTGGGTAAGTCCGGGAGAGGTGTTTGTGAGCTGCTCGGGGTGGATCCAGCTGACATCGACATCATGATGGGAACTTTCACCAAGTCATTTGGATCCTGCGGAGGCTACATTGCAGCATCAGAGGTTGATTCCTTCGTGAACTCGAATGAACAGAATGCTTCCATCGATGCTAAGCTCGCATGCCTTTCTCAGGAGATCATTCGATATCTGAAGCACGCTTGTCCGGCGCATCTCTACGCGACCTCCATGTCACCGGCCGCCGTTCAACAGGTTATATCCGCGATCAAGGTTGTTCTCGGAGAAGACGGGTCAAACAGAGGTGAGACCGCACTCTCCATGGCTTCCTCAAGAATGCCGTCCGCCTAACTAGGACTTGATCACCGCCAGGGGCCAAGAAGCTGGCGCAGATTCGGGAGGGCAGCAACTACTTCCGATCAGAGCTGAAGAAGATGGGCTTTGTGGTTCTCGGAGACAACGACTCGCCGGTGATGGCTATAATGCTCTACAATCTGGCGAAGCTCCCCGCCTTCTCGCGAGCGTGCTTGAGACAGAATGTGAGTAGGTGGTGGTCAGCAACCGCAAGCTGTGATTCTTGTTTTAGATGTCGATGCTCGTTGCAGTGAGTTCATCGACTCGTTTGCAGGTTGCGGTGGTGACGGTAGGGTATCCGGCGACGCCAGTTCTCCTTGCCAGGGCAAGGATCTGCATCTCTGCTTCCCACACCAGGGAAGACCTCAACAAAGGCTTGAAGGTTCGAGTCTCATTCTTACGATCATTGCTATTTAGATCACCATCATCATCGACATTATTCCTCTGAGAATGAATTACTCAGGTCATCAGCGAAGTTGGTGGTCTGGTGGGTGCGAAGTGCCTCCCCGCAGAACCAGAGAAGGCGAAGAAGATGGACTGAGGAAAGCCTGCATTTTTGGTGACAGTACCATTTTGCAGGAAGAAGATTTATGTTCATACATCATCAGAAGTGCATTCTGTTCCTCACTGAATTGGATTCTATATAATTCTTTACAATGTTAAGTGTACAATTTGTGTGAATGAATCAGCTTACAGATTCCTTGAAGCACAAACCAAATGGGAAGCTGTGAGAATGTTGGGATGAGCTGTGAGAAAACAGTGATGCCCCCAAAGTTCACCTGCAAATAGCTGAGACAACACTAAAAGATTTCTCCATTTCAACATTCCTTCACTTCCAATCATTAGTCTTTCTTGTCACACATTGTGAGATTTGAGATTCATATGATTGGAACTACATACCTTCGATTTGGATCCAAGAATGTCCTGAAAGTTGGTGAGATGGTGTCTGATTGCTTCCTCAAGGTTTTAATTCAAGAAATATGATACCTTGTGATGATGTGGTTGAAATGTTTTAGAGGGCTGGCTTGCTTGGGAGCTTTTTACTATTACTATGATTTCCTTCATACATAAAAATTATTACTTATCATGGCAATGACTCAACAGAGATGATTAGAAAAAGCTTTCAGTATGCTATTATTGATAAGACATATTTCGGATCTCGATCACGTCATGATCCAGGTCGCGATCCACCTCTAATGTCAGTACAAACGCGGGCCCTCAGGACATGGACTAGGCGCCACATCGGATACACCCTTGCAGATTCAGCACAAGAGCCGCCTTCCTCTCGCATCGAGCCGAAGCTTGTACAGGGAGGCATCCTCTCGGCAAGTCTCGTTCCGAAAAGCTCAAGACGACGCTGCATGGCGCCGTTCCACGCATACCAGGCGACGATCGCACGAAGGTATAGACTCGCCACTCGGGGGGTTGGTCGCCACACCAAATCTGCGTACGACCGACCCTCGGGCACTAGTATAAAAGCCCTTGACCGGCATCTGATCAGGAGGAGAAAAACATGGGACAAACTACTAACTTGATCTACGATGGGCCCAAGTCAGGAATCCCCCAACTTGGGTCTGTATGTAGGGACGCGACAACTCCCAATCCAGCTCAATCCCGCATTGGAGACGTGACCACCCTGACCTCTTATCCAGCCCGACCTCAATACTGTCTCTGATCGATCGAGAAACATACTCCCGAATGTCGACAACTCCAGACATCAACCTGTGGACCAAACCGTATTGACTTCTCGACCACGACGCGTATGTTCGCCAACAGCTATCAAAACTTTCTTGTGCATGTTTTACTGTTTCCACATACTGATGTGTATACTAAAGCCTGCTGTTTCTCCTCCAATTGGTATTGATGAGACATGACATTGATTAAAGCTTGCTTTTATCTCGATTGTGTATGTATGATGGCTTCAGCACCAATTCATTCAAACAACTTATCTCAATTCCAAAATTGCTTCCTAGTGATTAAGATGCATTCTTGGGCTTGCAATTTGGAATTTCTAAACCAATCTAATAAAGTTAATTATAAATTTAAAATTTTAAAAATAACCTAGAAAAATAAAAAATGTAATCATGTGAGAACAAATTATTAGTTTTCCTAAGTTAAACAAAACCTAATCCATCTATTTGATACCGAAATACTTCGATTTATTTTTTTAAATAATAATTAAGAGTTCATGAAACTATTCAATCGGATAATATCGAATATTCAATCAGATAAGAGTTCATGGAGGATTTCTTTTTCTTTTTTTTGTTGTTCTTTATTGGATCTTGAAACCAAGATCCAAGCAAGTCCTTGTGGTCCATTGCTGCTTTCCAATTTGATTTAAAGAGATTCCATCTTTATGGAGTGTTGCTTCACACTTGATGAAGTCAATAATAGTGGGTCTTTCATGTTGATCCACAAATTTTATATACACTTTTCACTTTGTTATCATTTATTTGATAAGAAGATGATAGTGTCACAAAGCATGCAGACTTGTCAATTAAATTATTTGATTATGATGTTTCTTATTATCTTAATAATATATTTTTTTTTAAAATATAATATATATTAATACAATGATTTCTTTTATATATTAAGTAGTCGAACGATATATATTGGTTGTGTCGCGAGAGATATCACTTCATTTATTATTAATTTTTATCATATATATTTTTAATCTTAATTATCAAAATATATCAAACTTTTGATTAACAAATAATTTTTTTATTATAATAAATAAATAAATAGCAAAAGAGTATAAAATGCAGAAATGAACTCAAGAACAAATCCCTCAAGAAAAAAAACACCCTCTAAAATTTGCTGATGTTTTTGAAATGATCGAGTCCATTAGAGACTGCAGTTTCTTGGAGTCTTCTTCCAGGCTACAAATGGCATTTCATCATACAGCAGTAATGGACGCCAGACAAGAAATAAACCCTCAGTGCGAAGCAAAGCGAAGCCTTGTCTTGCCTCACATTTCTTTCCCACTCTTCACCATCAGCCCCTCTTTCTCTCTCTCTCTCTCTTTTCTGCTTTAGAGACTGCAGCGAGTTCTACGGAGAGTGAGGAAGATGGCTTCCAACTCCAAGAACTACAGAGCGTGAAGCATTCCTTCTAATTCCCCTTTTGTTTACCCCCATTGCTCTCTCTTTGCTTTTTGTCTACAGCGAGTTTGGTGTATTCTGATAGCAAGAAACGCAACCTTGTTTTCTTCTCCATCGCAGTTGGCAAGGCTCTTTCTTCTTTTTCTGTGTGGTGCTATAAAAAGCAATTGAAGTTTCAGAATTCCCTGCTGTTCCTTTCAGGTATGTCTTTGTCCAAGTTTCCGTCTTTTTCTTGTTAATCCCTTAGGTGACCCGTATTTTTCTTCTCCTTTTACTGAATCCATCCTTGCTTCCGCCCAAAGTTCTGATCTTTCCATTGTAGTGATCGATAAAAATCTCTCCTTTCGCTTTGGATTTGCTATCAGATTTCATGGGCTGCGGCTTTAGCAGGATGTCCAGCGACACGCCACCGGAACTCGCCGTAGACGCCGCCGTCGGCAACGCAACCGGTCCTGCGGCCGCCACTTCCGCCGCCGGTGTCGACCCGGGCAGCATCCAGTACACGGCCGAGCTGAGCTCCTACGAGGCCGCGTGCCGCCTCGACCCGGAACTCCAGACATTCGACGCCACCCTGCAGCAGCGCACGAGCCGCGCCATTTCCACCCTCGCCCTCGGCGTCGAGGTCCACGCCCTTTCCTTCGACTCCCTCAGAGAGGTCATCGGATGCCTCCTCGAGATGAACCAGGAGGTGGTGAAGGTCATACTGGATTCCAAGAAGGACGTGTGGAAGAACCCCGAGCTCTTCGAACTCGTCGAGGACTACTTCGATAACAGCCTGCAGACCATCGACTTCTGCACCGCACTCGAGAACTGCCTCAAGAAAGCCCGCAACAGCCAATTGATCATCCACATTGCCCTCCAGCGTTTTGCAGATGATGAACAGGAAGTCGATGTCGATGGCAGAAAGAAGTACGTAAGGACTCTAGACGAATTGAGGCATTTTAAGGTGGCCGGCGATCCATTTACCCAAGAATTCTTTCAGCTATTCCAAACAGTTTACAGACAGCAGCTGTCGATGTTGGAGAAGCTTCAACTGAGAAAGGGGAAGCTTGACAAGAAGCTCAAGCGCCTTAAAACTTGGCGGAAGGTATCGAGCATCATGTTCGCGGCAGCTTTCACGGCTGTAATTATCTGCTCGGTGGTGGCTGCTGTGGTAGCTGCGCCGCCGGTCGCAGCAGCTTTGGCCGCTGCAGCATCCATCCCTATCCCGGCAGGGAAATGGATCGACTCCCTGCTGAAGGGCTACCAGGATGCTCTGGAAAGGCAAAAGGGGATTCTCAATTCGATGCGTGTGGGAACCGACCTTACGTTGAAGGACTTGGATATCATCCAGGTTCTGGTGGATAAGTTGGAAATTCAGATCCACTCACTGTTGGATGCTTCTGATTTTTCCCTCAGAGATGAGGATGCTGTGAGATTTGGGATTGAAGAGATTAGGAAGAAGTTGGAGGAGTTCATGAAGAGTGTTGACTCTTTGGACCAGCAAGCGGATCGATGCAACAGGGATATTAGAAGGGCAAGGACAGTTGTGCTTCAGAAAATTATTAGGCACCCAAATTGAGCAGATGCAGCCGCAGCATGGTACGTCCAATCATTGATGTGAATATTTTATACTAATATGCTGATTAATTTGATTGATTATTAGAAATTTTAGAACCTGCATACTCTGTGTAATTGATTGTTACCTGCTGGATGTTGTCTGCTCTCGACCCGATTGAAAAAATAAGTAGGTTTGGTTAACAATGGAAAGGATACAAAGATGTCTCTCAACAATTAGGTACAGAGAGATACCATATACTGAAAGGATGAACTTGTCCTATGCAGTTTCATCATTGGGGAACTCTGGAATTGGCTATCCTTTTGCAACTCCTGCATTGCTTATCCATCTTCACTGACTTTTATGGCTATTATCAGACCGATCGGTCCGTACTTATAATAGTTTAGCTGTTTATTTTTTTTTTCTAACAGAATTTGTTCTACTATTTTTTTTTAATATCGATCATATGCATAATCTATCACATCGCAAGTACAGAAGTTACCTGGCTAATTTGTTTTGACTACAGTTCAAGTTGTGGAAAGTAATACTTGAATTTCAAAATTTCCTATTCTCAGAAAGTAAATGAACCTGCATTTGCCATAATGCTTTTCTCTGCCAGTTTGTCGTAGAATTGATCACCATTCCTTCAACTTCAAAAATCACTTTTTGATGGAAGGCATAGTGCTGCCACCTCTAGTTTAACACTTCAATTGCATATGGAGTACGTCTACAAATGAATTTAAAAAATCAGCTATTCTGTGACACTGAAAAAAAAAACACTCCATCAGACCAATGTTACATAAAATCAGATTCTTTCTTGTTCCATAGAAGTAGTAAATTTGATCTCATTTCTTTTGTTTAACATGCAGTGCCTGATTGGCCTTGATGATCCTGTTGAAACATCCTGCGCTCCATGTGTGGGAACAATATTGTGGCTCCTTGAAGAAGAAAAAACCACAGGAGCATGAAACTCCGAGACCTGACACCACAAGGCATTGTGTGCATTACTGCTCTTCGATGATCTGGAACCCTGTTACTTGTTCTAGGATGTGTTATTTATTGTTTTTGATCTGGGTGTCTTGTTTTGGATAGTACTGTTCTCGTGCCTTTTTTCCCTGGGTGTTATTATTATGTAATTTTAATTCAATGACAACATTGTGCTATCATAATATCTTATCATGACTAACAATGAAGTATTCAGCTAAAACCAAAAGATGATATCTAGTTCATATAAACCCTGCTTTAACTGTCCTCAAAACCTAAAAAGTATAAGACAGAAGAAACAAGGAATTTTTTGTTTTGCCATGCATTCAATGCATATCACTGTGATTGGAGTGAAATCGTTGAGCCAGCAGTTGCCATTTGTTGAATAGTAGGAGAGTGAAATCGTTGAGCCATGTTAAGTATAAACATGCTCTTTTTGTCCTTTTTGGCTGTCGGTTTTCCTGTGTTCTGCATGAACTTATGTTTGCATGATTGTCACAAACTTGGTTTAGAAGTTTGAGTTTAAGGAGCTGGTCCAGCATCGAAAGACCATGTCATTGGTAGTATCTTAGTATTGGCCTAATTTGATCTCTTTTTTCTTTCTTCTTCTGAGAACCTCTCATTGATTGTTAAATGAAAAAAGAAAATTATTGTACTGATAAGAGGATCCTGCGCTGGTTCATATTTTCTTATGACCTAATTGTGTAAATAACAATTATGAGCTCTTGAACTGTCTCGCTTCGAGTATTGAGTAATATTATTTGTCAACTGTATGTACTCTGTCTTTCTCGCTTATCTGTACTATCAAGAGGGTTGACTTTTATTTTATTTGCACTATATCTGAAGCATGAGCCCTTTGTTGAATTTAGTCAGAAACACATAATATATTCTTAGTGAAGAATATGCATTCATTGTAGATTGTCGACTTGGAGGACTTAATTTTCTACAACTTGTTGCTGCATGCTTGTTTTGATTCACAAGACAGTCACATAGCATGCGCATTCCTTAGTTCATCTATCGACACTACTGCTGTAAGCACTTGTTTCACCATTTAATGAGGCACGATCACAAAACCCACACCACAAAGGATCTATAAAGTCCTTGAGCCGGTTTCGCCGTTCCGATTCCCGGAATCTCTGCGGTAAGGGCAGCAAAACTTTTTACATGATTCGGTTTTGGGTTCCTAAGGCACACTTGGTTCATTCTTTGCACCTGTGACTAATGTGTAGGTGTTGGAAGTTGATGTTCTAATGAGTCACTTAAATGTGTTTGTATCTTTTACCATGTTGTCATTTATGCTTGAGGTATGTATATATTCCTAGTCACAACAGCATTGTGAAGATATTGGTGCCACTTTGATCATTTTGAGCAGTAAGCTTCATCTCATACATTGTTTTCTCTTTTCAGACATGATTTCCTTCTCTGCAACAGCTGCCTGCAGTTTCATCCCCTCTGAGCAGCAGCTGAGCATAGTGGTAGAGATGCATCTGACTTCAAATGTTGACAGCAGCTCAACTCTAATGTATATTTATTTGACTCTCTGCTGCTGATGTATCCATCCTGAATTCAATCGATCGTAGGATTTTTGTCATGTATTATTACATTAAATCATTATCTCTCGATGGTGTTTTAATTTTGATCATCAATCTAATTTATTGATATAATTAATTTTAATTATTAATTTGTAATATTATTTGAATCTAATTTATTGAAATATTGTTTAAATATATCGGATCGATTTCGATCATCGATCCGAAATGGGTCGGACTCGGTAAGCGGGTATGTCAAAAGACACGCCCGCCACGTGCCTACGCCCGCTCCCAATAGGTTTCCCGCGCTTCCTTCCTACCGTGCAGAGTGGGACCCGAAGCAACCGCGCCGCCCTTTCACGTGCGATGGAGGAGGAGGGAACGCGGTCTTCCTCCTCGTCACGTCGCCCTCCGTCCGCGTTGGTCTCCCACGTGCGAACCGCTCCCTCGTTCCTCTGTCCATGGGTCTCCGTCGTGGCATCTCAGCCGTGGGATCTTGATCATGACCGAGGATTCCAAGAGAAAGGCACATTGAGATTAGTGCGGAGCTCATTTTAAATGGACGTCGGCCTCCGAGCGATAAGCGCGTCCCGCGGCACGTGCGAACTCGCTGCGGCCGTGTGGGCACCACCACAGGCCTGTCTGTGTGCGCCAACGGAGTTGGCGGTGGCGGTGGAGGTGGCGGTGGCGGTGGAGGTCTACTAACCCGCCCGCACCAGAATAGCTTCCCAGTTGAAGCCGCCACTGTAGCCAATTAATGATTATTGTTGCTCGCTGCTGATTTCAATGATTGATAACATGCGGACCCAATTCATCAACATCATCATGTATTGCTCGTCTGCAATCATCAGCGGCACTACAGTTGCTCGACAGATTGTTTAGTTCTTGAGCTTCTTCTTCTTCCACCCTTTCAGTAACAGGAATCGTTCATCTGTAGCTTGCAGTGGCAGATCAGTAGGAAGCAATGAGCAACGCTTAGACCGCACCGAAGAAGCACGCAGATGATGTGATCTCTCTTCTGCTACTTGTCTGTACCTCGTCCCTCTGTTCTCTTTTGTTCGCTTCTTCGCTGGGTCAAACTAAGGACCGAAGACCAGAAGATAATGAAAGGAAGCCTTTTGTTAATGACATGAAAACCACTGCGGTTTGGGGAGTTCGGATTGACGTGAGGCAAACAGGGAGGACAGAGTCGTCAATTTCTGCTCGTTCTACTGCATACTCACCGGTCCTCACCTCAAAAGAAGAGCGATGGGTGACGAGCACGGGGAGAGAGCGCTCTCTGGCACAACGGGAATCTAAGCCATCTACATACAATAAGAAAACCCTACCTTCCTCGTGAGCAATCTCAGACTCCTCTGGCCAAAACCAACAAGAAGGACAGGGGGTGTGGGAGGAGAGGGAGAGAGAGAGAGAACAAAATCGAGAAGGAAGAACAAAATTTGCCTCTTTTTCTCCCTTCGTTCCGCGAGATCGTCCGATCGATCCCAATCTCTTTGTTCTGTGAGGCAAAAGGAGGGATCTTGAGGGATAAAAGATAGAGTTTTGAGGGGGGGATCGGCGGAAAGGATGACGGCGGGAGGAGGGCGGCAGCCGACGTGGAAGGAGAGGGAGAACAACAAGCGGAGGGAGCGGCGGCGGCGGGCGATCGCCTCGCAGATCTTCTCCGGGCTGCGGGCGATGGGGAACTACAAGCTCCCGAAGCACTGCGACAACAATGAGGTCCTCAAGGCCCTTTGCCACGAGGCCGGGTGGATCGTCGAGGAGGACGGCACCACCTACCGAAAGGTCTCCCCTTTTCCTCTCTCTCTCTCTCTCTCACCCCCTTCGCCAGGGTTCTTTACTACCTTGCGCATACCATGTCTTGTTTTGGAGAGATCGGGGGCGATTCCACCAAGGTGTGATTTTGATGATAGATCTCTTGTTAACTTTAATAGATCTTTGCCCTTTCTGAACATTAGATCATCGTTAGCGCTTTCAAGAACAAAAAAAAGAGAATCTTGCTTTAATCTTTTGGCTCCGCTGTCGATGATTAAGGTGTTAGATTTGCATGTTTTAGTTACTCATGTTTCCTTAGATTTCCCTTCTCTACTTTCTGCTTGATGGGATGATGAAATAAGTGGTTCACCCCCAACTTAGATTTCCCCATACTTGCATAAATCTGCATCAGATATAAATCATCATCTCTTTCTTTGTGCATCTCTCTTCTTTGAGGTTATGATGCATTAATGCTGCTTTCGTTTATTCAACGACTGACAGGGTTGCAAGCCTCCCCCACCACCGCCGGAATCTGCCATCGGCGGTCCATCTACAGGCATCAGCCCTTGCACCTCGTCCCACCTACTGAGCCCGCTCTCCTCGTCGTTCCCTAGTCCTGTCCCTTCCCACCACGCAAGCCCATTGTCATCATCCTTCCCGAGCCCCAGCCGGCTCGATAACGCCAGCGTAAACCCATCTTGCCTCCTCCCCTTTCTCCGAAATCTCACCGCCCTCCCCCCACTTCGCATCTCGAACAGTGCCCCTGTGACCCCACCCCTCTCATCCCCTACCGCCTCCCACCCACCTAAGATCAGGGCTCCAGACTGGGATCAGAATGCCTTCGGCCGCCCTTTATTCGCTGCATCTGCTCCTGCTAGCCCCACCAGAGGCCGCCGCCATGGGCACCCTGCAACCATACCTGAATGCGACGAGTCTGATGCTTCCACTGTTGAGTCCTGCCGGTGGGTCAGCATGCAGATGACCGCCCCGGGTTCCCCGACTTTCAACCTTGTCAACCCTGCTGCCACAACCCCAGACACTGCAGCAGGCAGTGCAGGAGGATGCACGGAATTTGACTTCGAGAGTGGGAGGGTGAAGCCATGGGAGGGAGAGAGGATTCACGACGTCGCAGTGGATGATCTTGAGCTCACTTTGGGGGTTGGGAACACGGCATCTAAGTGAAACCTTGCTCTGCTTCGTGCATTATGCTTTCGATTTGATCCAATGCCGCCTGGTTATTCGGTATCCGATTCTCTTCGTTCTGTGGTTCTGTCGCCCTCGTATTTTTGTTTTGGATTTCAGTAACCTGTTTGTGCATGTATACAGATTCTTTAATTACCTTTGGGGTAAGCTAAATTGTTCTATGACTGCTATCTCGGTGGCAAATTCTCATCAGGATATTTGAGGTGCCGCAATCGAATCTATTGTTGCTTGCTATGTAGATTCAACAACATGCAAGAAAGCGGCTACTTACAGTTCATCGGTGCATCTAAATGCTGCAAGTTGTATGCATGGAATTGATGGCAGAAGTGGAAAAAGTTCATGTGAAATCATCTCTAAGAATGATTCTTATTCTTCTTGCTGGGCACATCTGATCTGTGAAATGATTTGTTCCTGCAAGTGATCTCTCTAGTTAATCATGCATCGAGCTTAGCATCGCTATGCTTTTCTATGCAGTTCAGGTTTCTTTTTATGTTTCAGAAATTTATTGCTCGAGTTGGATCTGTTTGTATCATTAACATTTCGATGATTTCTTTTTGCATTCATTCTACAGTTGTTCGTTCGAGGATTATTATGTGCAGTCATTTTACGAAAAGCGATTAATTCGCAAAAGAAGAAATCTCAAGAAAAGGCCGCAAAAAGAGGAGGAAGAAACAGAGAAGAATAGACAGCCGACACTGAAAGGCGCCGTTTTTAGCGGCGTCGGCGACACCAATCGTGGGGAAGACAGGAGAGATCTCGAAGAATTTGGGGTTGGGGAGGGAAAGAGATCAAATCTAGAACTCGGTCTACTTGAAACGATTGTTCTGCTTCAGACAGCCCACGAAATCGACTCTCCTTGTCAATCTTGACGTCAAATTTGGGAAAATTCATTAACAATTTCATCCGCTGGGGTAAAGATTTCGTCTTTCCATCGAATTATCGTTAAAGATGTCGACTTTTCGTCGGTAAACCCATCGCGATGATTGCAATCCACGGGAAAAGCCGAGAACGGGCAGATTTCAAGAGCATCGGAAGCCAAGACGGAGGAGGCGAGCGGAAGCAGAGAGGCGGCCGAATCGTCTTCCAAAACGGACGGAACGATAAAGAAGAGATCCATCACTTGCGTTGGATGCTGCTGCAGCGTTCCCACAACATGAAAGCTAAATCCCTCGAGAAAGGAGGAGAGAGATCATAGTAGAAAGTACAGGGAACGCCTATTTGGTCTCCCTACGTTCTATTTTGCTGAGCCAAATCAGCTGTTAAATTAAGGCCACAGGAAAAAGAAATGAAATGGAAGTAAACATACGGTGACAACAAAAGCCAAACACCCCACACAGCCTAATCGATAGTAACGACAACGATGAAAGAAGAGACGGGAAGGAGTCAGCACCGCCACGCAGACGTCGACGCCATCTCCCTCCCCCTCCAGCTTAGCACGAGGGCGCCGCCTTCCCGCCTCGCCACGTGGTAGCCGCCCACGGGAGTGCGCCGGACGAGCCACTCGGCCTGCGACTCCGCGAACTCGCTGAAGGGGAGGGGCGACCAACCGGCGGCCGCGAATAGCTCCCGCCACGGGCCCAGCCCAGCCGCCCACTCACCCACCGCGGCCGCCACGCGCGGCCGCATCACCGCCCGCTCCACCCACCGCACCGTATCCTCCCTCGCCCCCGTCTCCGCCGCTGCCGCCTCGACCGACTCCAGCACGGTCGCGTAGTGCTCCACACCTGCAGCCACCGTCCGCCGCAGCGACGGCGGGGGATGGCCGCCCGATCCCCCCTCCGTGTCGACGAACACCACCACCCGCGGACACACGCGGCGGACGAACCGGAGCAGAGCGGCGGCGGTATCCGGAGAGGCGGCGCCGCAGCCCAGGAGGCGGAAGATGGCGGGTGTCAGGACGACGGCCGTGGGCTCTCCGGACCCGGCGAGGCGGAACCCGCTGAGGGCGAGCGTTCCGAGTCCTCCGACGCGGACGAAGTTGACGGCGAGGCTGATGTTGAGGCCGCGGGCAAAGTCGCGGAGGTTGTCCGCCGCCAGGACCGTCTCTCCAGACTCCTCCGCGACCACGGCGGTGATACGCACGGCCGGCGGCGAGGAGCGCGAGACGCGGCTTCGCCCGGCGAGCTCCTGCGCGAAGGACGACCACTGGCCGCCGAGGCCGAGGTCGAAATCGATGAGGTGGATGGACCGGGCGCCGCAATCGAGCGCCTCGATCACGGTCTGGGTGGCGGTGAAGGTGGCGAAGTGGGGGACGGGGGAGAGGTCGGCGAAGGCCTTGTGGGCGGCGATGTGGCGGACGAGCTCGGCAGCGGAGAGCAGGGGTTCAGCGGTGGACGGGCGAAGCAGCGCTAAAAGAGCCTCCTTGAAGAGAAAGACGGCACGTAGGAGAGGGGACGCACCGGCGGAGGGAAGATGGTGATTGAGCCGCGACAATATCACGTGCGCCGTGGCGAAGTCGTTGGCCTCCAGGCAACGGGCGGCGCTGATGAGCAAGTCGAGCTGGGCGCGGTCGAAGCTGGAGGCCGGCGAGGGGATGGCGTGGTCGGCGGCCGCAGCGAAGGGGTCGAAGGGGAGGTCGAAGGGCGCGTCGAGGAACTGGGGATCGGAGTCATCGGTGAAGGGGGGAAGATCGCACCTTTCGGCGAAGAGCAAGGAGGCGGTATCCCAGTCGTCAGAGGAAAGGAGGGGGTGATGGTGGTGAGCGTCTCCTCCGCCGGCCCAGGAGAGGAAAGGGAGGTCGGCGGCGGCGGCGGAGGCAGCGGCGGTGGGGGCGGCCGTGGGAGCGGTGGCGGGGCTGGAGGTGAGGTGGTGGTCGAGGACGGAGGTGGGCTCGTCGTCGAGGGCGGCGACGGAGACGTTGTTGGAATCGACGGTGGGGGAGGAGTCGAGCAGGGGTTTGGAAGTCAGAGAGAAGTGGTGGTGCGTGGGGGGCTGCTGGTGCTGCTGAGGCGAGTCAGTGAGCGCCTTGGGATGCTTCATCACAACTATTAGTAGGAAGGAGAAAAAGAGAAAGGTTCTCTCTGCTGTCCCTCCCTGCCTCGATCGCTCGCTCGCTCGCTCGCTCTTCTTGGAGTCCGTGAAAGAAGGGGGCTAGTGAGGGGCCTTCGGCTGTAAACGATAGGGAGTTATAGTGAGAAGAGAGAGGGAGTGGGATGATGGCATGGGTCTCAAGGAACGGGATGGATGGCCATGCCGAGAGCAGTCGAGTCCCAAAGAAGACTCCTCTCCTCGCCTTCTCCACGAGTTTGGCTTCGGAGAGAAGCCATTGCTTTGTGGAGGCTACCTTTGTGATGGGACCGTGTGGCTCTCGTTACTTCATCTGCTTCTCATGTCCCTTCCTTAAAATTAACGTTCATAATATATATATATATATAATATATATTTGTGATGAATCGTGTTCTAAATAATAATATATAATTACATTGAAACATACACAAGCTTTACTATATCACCCTCTACAAAAAAATATATTTTGGGTCTAATATATCATATCAATTAATAATAAGTCAATAAATATCATATCAGTGAATCTAAATATTTTTTATCATGAAATTATTTACTTGATCATGAATAATAATAAAAGTTCTCTCTTCACTTCTTACGATGCATTTCGAAAAGATTAATTTGAGTGTCGAATAGATCATATATATCGAAACACTTCTCGACATTAATCTTCGTGTAAAAGAGAAGCAACTCGAGTGTAACACTATATTAGACAACAATAGCTCTTTAAACATAGATCGGGTCAGAATCATATCGGACTGATTATTTAAATATGAAGGTGATCATCGATATCGTACGATATTAGGATCTACAAGGAGGCACCCAAAAATGCTATTGGTGAATCAGTGTGTGTGTGGCGGGAGAAGGGAAGCATCTCCATGGCTTCGGGGAGAGAGAGTAATGGTAATGGCTCATTTGCTTTCTTAGCAGAAGAGGATGTTCTTGGGGATCAAAGACCTTCGAAGGTCTTCCCTCCCAAAAGCGGAGGACCATCAGAAAGACTTGGTGTGTATTATTGGACCTAATTAAAGTGCATCCGGCAGTCCCACTTGAGCAGTAGCAAATTGGCATAATGAAGCGAATATATGAGCTTTAAGAAGTAGATGAGATGAGGTGAATCAATTAAGAGAGTTCAAATCAAATCCAACCTATCTATCTCCATGGAATCTAATCTAATCACAAGGTTGCATGCTCTTCTACCCTCCCCAGGGAATTCAGGCCATTCGGCCTCTCCCTGCTGCTGCCTCCTTTTTCTCTCTTGAGTGGGCGATGATGGCCACCTTTCCATGGGACTATGGAGAGCAAGGAATCTAACGACCTTCCTTTTGTGCATCACAAGCCTCCTTCCCCACGCCGTGTAGGAAACGTGTTCTGAGCCGAGCCCCGAAAGGAGATGGAAACCCTACCAAGATATACTTTGAATACGATCACTGATGGAGAGGTAAAGCAGCCATGATGCATGAGAATATTGATGCATCACAGACATATGCTGCTGTTTCGTAAGGTTGCTGCGCTTTAAGCCATCGAATTTAGGGGTAGTGGAGATCAGCGTCATGGAAAGTGGCTTTATTTTTGTTAAGCTGAAGCTTTTGTGAGGGAGAGGGAGCACTCAGGTGGCCCTCATCCTCCATGATTCCCATGCCTTTCCCAAAGATAAGCTTTGTTCTTGGCCTGTTCGATCCACTCCCATGTATTTTTCCTCTATTAACAAACACTATCTGTCTATACACCGACACTTCTCGAGGCAGATCGATCCAAACCAGAGATTTCTAAGACATTAAGAGGCCAATCACATGCGTCGTACTACTCACGAAGAGAAAAAGGTCGAGTACTGAACCCTACCGCGGAGAATAATGTACAAGCATTAGCTTTAAACAATGAAGGAGAAGTACTTGAAACCTCGAATGATTTGTACGTGATGTCATCTGGTACACTCGGAGACAGTGGCACTGATCTCGGTTTCGGTGGTGGCTCCGAAGTCGACATTAGCGTGCAGTCTTGTGCTTGCTTGGGATAGGAAATCCGATGGCCGGAACGAGGACTTCATTTCCACGTATAATATTGGATGGAGACAAAACGAGGAGTTACATCAGGCCGGAATGCAACGCCACATGCGAGAGGAGGTCTGCATGCGACGGGTTACGTGCACGAGCTGCATGCATGCGTGGCCGTCGCCTAGCATCGACGGCAGATGTCGGGCCCCACGCGGAACTTATTCCGGCAGCCTTGGCATTTCTTTCTCTGGGTCGGTGGGGCCCGCACTGGCAGACTCCACGGCACCGCCACCATCCACCGCTATCGTCACGATGCATGGCATCAGCGGCGACGCATGGCCGACAGGGCAGCGGGACGTGGGTGGGGGGCGGGGCGCCACCGGTGGGCCTCGCCGGGGGTGGCTCTCCTGCCCCTCCTCCTCTCTCAATCTCCCTAAACAATGGTCCTACGAAGAGAAAAAAAATTGAGAGTCTAATTCTCCTCGTAGATTGATTTTAATTCTAACATAAAAAAATTTTCGTATTACATATAGCATATAATATTTTTTCGATAATTATGATCGAATCTAAGTAAAAATATTAAATTTTATCCTATTTTTATGATTATATATATATATATAATCAAATCAAATCAAATTCAAAATATATTGATAAGGTATATTTTGGATCCAAGACACGTCACAACCGACGTCACATTGCGCAACAGTCGAGTCAGCAATGGGAGCACCCCCACACGCTAAGTCGGAATCTGTACCGAGACGCTGTTTGGCATGTCCCATCCTGGAAGCTCGAGACGGCGCCGTCCCGCACGTCTCGGGACGACGGCCGCACAAAAGTACCATCTCATCCCCCGAGGATCAACTGCCACACCGAACCCGTTTACGACCGACCATCGTACAATAATATAAAAGCCCATAGCCGACATCCGGCCAAGGGGGAGAGGACACAAAAGAAGAGAAAAATAACTATTGACTTGCTCGTCGACATCCGGCCAAGGGGGAGGGGCCAAAGTCAGGAATCACCCGACGAAGGTCATTTTTGAAAAAAAATTGACCACCCTCGAGTCGCGAGCGTCTCAACCTGGGAATTGTCATCCGGTGAACGAAGGCGAGCTACCAACCAACCTGGAGACGGAGAGACGCTGCTCAATGCCGACGATGCCCGGACCGAGAAACGCTGATCAACACCTTGTCGCGAGGCTCCGACCTACCTCGGCATCCAACTCAACCGACAGAAAACTCCCAACATCGACCTATGGACCAAGCCATGCTGACTCATCAATCACGATACATCTGTTAACCAACATATATTATATTAAAACTTTTACTATCTTTGCCTTCCTCTCAACTCAATGCAAACCTAATCACAAAGCAAAAGCAAGTATTAACTACTAAAGAACAAAGACCTACGGATCTTTTGAGAACTTCTAAACGAAGCTAAAGTTTTGCTACCGGAAGAATAATAAGAACACACCCAATCTTGACCTTTCATTCGCCATAATCAAACCCGATCGGGCACGCCGAACACATTGCATCGACCTACAAAAAAAATAAACATAAGCTCGACGCCACACTAATGCTTCGTCGACTTCGTAACTTTCTCTTTTCATAAAAGTTCTCTTTCGATCGCTTTAAAGCCTTTCAGTTCGTCCGCGACAAGCGGTTGTGGCTCACTGGCATTGCTTTACCACGAAGAAAGTAAGCCAAGTGAGTTCTTTATATGTCTACGGATGTTTGAATGGTGAGAGAATCACTTTTGTGTGAGTTAATTATTAGGGTGACAATGGAGATCGAAGATGATATGAGGACAGAGAATAAATTATGATGTTTTTGGTGGCTTGGAAACTCCTCGACATTAAGCTTCGTTTATGATAATTAATGCAATATTGATTATGATAAATAGAAATCAAGTTTGTTTTGTTTTTTTTAATGAGAAAAACCTCTCATCATTAGGGTTTTCGGTCGATATTTGTTTTTCTCAATTAGTGTCAATTTTCATCATATTGATAAAATATTTTTTTATAGGATTGATAAGTAAAAACTCATCCTTCATATTAGATCGATCTATAAATAAATCAATTTAGTTATAAGTGTGTATGTTGATGTGTTATAAATATTATAGATTATGTAGAAGTCGTCTTTTTGCATGTTGTTATTATTAAGTTACTAAGAATATCTATTTGATAAAATATTATAATTTTATTAAAATATAAGTTAGTTTATGTGAGTCCTAACTTGATTTGGACTCGCATATGCAATGATTTGATTCTTTCGTATCGATTAAGAAGATCTTGATTGCTTGATTTAATACTGATATGTTAAAAAAGACTGAGATCGGATAAAGTTCCTGGCACACGATCCCTCTGACATCAAAGTTAGTAAAAAATATATTTAACATCGGCTATTAAGGTATCATTAATTTTTTATAATTGATAAGCTAGAGAAGATGTTCTATATAATAAGGAAATATTCTTTATATATTTTTTATTTGAAGGAATGTTCACAAGAAAAAATAAGGATTCGAAAAAAGAAATAAAATAGGTGCCTCGACGGCCTAAAATGTTGTTCTTTGTGGGAATTCGCTTTACGAAATATTCATGATTCAAATAAATATAATATTTCATCCACGAAAATCCACGATTTATCCGAGCCGTCCCGTCCCACTGAGGACCTAACCATCGCCGTCCGTATGCCATAGCACGAATCTCGAAGGCACCCCCACTGCTACCACAGAACCACGGGAACAACCCCACAACTGTCATCTATACACGTGTCCCTCGATTCCCATACGAGTCCGCACGGTCCGGTCCTCACCACGCAACGTGGCTTCCATGCACGTCACCCGCACCTCCCTTCTTCTCCGCCCGTCGCACTCGAGAGAGAGAGAGAGAGAGAGAGAGCGAGAAGACATGAAGTCGAAGGCTGTGGTTTTGGTTCGGGTCATCCTCCTTTGTGCACTGGCAGCCATTAACAGCGAGGAGTGGCCGGGATTTAGTCCACTGGTGACCAAAGAGAGCAGGAGGACCTTGACGTTGACCGAGTCCGGCGGAATCACGGCCGTCGACGTTCATGTTGGTTGCAGGGGCTCCTACCACCTACAGTTCATCAGCATGGAGCCCGGCTCACTGTTCCTGCCGGTGCTGCTCCACACTGACATGCTGTTCTACGTGCACACTGGTACGGTTGGTTCTTATACATCCTACTGCTTCTGATGTACGTCTACAATTCATGGAAGAAGTCGCCGCTGCAGGTAGGGGAACAGTGACTTATATTGGCGAGGATGAAACAGATGAGATCGATGTGGTTCGTGGTGACGTTTATAGACTACAACAAGGTACCGCCTTCTATGTTCGAAGCCATCCTGATCCGACGAGAGAAAAGCTCAGAGTTCATGCCATCTTCGACAAAACAGACATCGAGGATCCCTTGGTAGGTTCCTGCAATTGACCATCGTTAATTGCAGTCTCCTTTCTTGTAGGTTTCTTGATTTCTTTGCTTTGGTTGCAGGGGTTTTCTGTATCGGCTTACTCAAATCTTAGTGACATGGTTCGAGGGTTCGATGAGAAGGTTCTGCAGAGTGGTTTTGGGGTATGTTTCTTCTGGCTGTTCTTAGCTCAGCATACTTCAGATTTTGAGTGGCCTCCTAATGATTAATGGCTGTGGTAGGTTTCGGAGGAAACAATCCGAGGTCTCAAATGGGTTCCGACGCCTCCTTCTATTGTGCCTACGACACGCGGAAATGAGACAGAGAAGCCGAATTGGAAGGAAGGAATAGTGGAGGCTGTGTTGGGCGTTGGTGGGCCGACTGATGTCATGAACAAGAAGACCACCAAAACGAAGACGTACAACTTCTTCGAGGCCAAACCAGATGTGGCGAACCGGAATGGGTGGAGCACTGCCGTGACTCGTGAGGACCTTCGAGCTCTCGAGGGCTCCAACTTAGCGCCGTTCATGGTGAACCTGTCGAGGGTTAGTCGTCCGAAACTCTAAATATAGTGCAAGTCCACAATGGTGCGCTCATGACGACGTCGGTGTCGATGCTTGAAGGGATCTATGATGGGGCCTCACTGGAACCCCAGGGCAACGGAGATCGCCGTCGTGATACAAGGGCAAGGCATGGTGCAAATGGTTTGCCCGAGTGATCCATCGGGCAAGGTTGACGACGACATCGCATGCCGGAACACGAAGTTTAAGGTCGAGGAAGGGGACGCCTTCGTGGTGCCGAGGTTCCATCCGATGACGCAGGTGTCCTACAACAACGACACCTTCGTCTTCGTCGGGTTCAGCAGCACGGCGGGCAACAACCATCCACAGTTCTTGGCAGGGAGGAGTTCGGTGCTGCAAGCGCTGGATCGGGACGTGGTGGCTGCGTCCTTTAATGCGCCTAATGCAAGTACCATCGAGGGTTTGTTGGCTTCTCAGGGCGAGTCGATAATATTAGCATGCACGTCGTGTGCGGAGGAGTTGGAGAGGACAATGGAGGAGGATATCGAGAGGCGGAAAAGAGAAGAAGAGGAAGCCAAGAAGAGAGAGGCGGCGGCCACCAAAAGAGAGGAAGAGGAAGTAAAGTAGAGACACTACAGAGTGAAGGGAAAGAGGAAATCCTTCGTATTTACTGTTTTCCTCACGAAACAAAGTAATAGTTGCTTATTATGTTATCTGTAGTGCATGAATTGTCCCCTCTCTCTCTCTCTCTCTCTCTCTCTCTGCGTGTTGGATAGTGTGACAGTGAGGTGTTATTGCCCATTAATTGCAAGGGTCAATTATCCCTTGCTGTCTTCCACCACAGGTCTCACCTGTGGACGCAACCCTTATTGCCATGGCAGAGCAGCTCGCTTGCCTCCTCAGCCGCCTCTTCACGATCTTGCAAGGGCAAGGCTCTCCAAGCTGTGACATGAACAGTACCTGCTTTCAAAAGCTCTCCTGTTTCATGGGATAAACTCGGGACTTTTCATTTTTCATCTCAAATGTGTTTCTGATGAGGCCGAGCAGATCAAAGAACTGTTGGGCGATTAAATGTTTGCGCAGAGGACGGTGGTGGAGGCCGGCAGGGCGGTGGGGAAGAGTGCGAGGACATATTCTAAGCCAAGCGCAAGACGACAAGAAGGTCGATTCCAAAAGATAGACATGTCTTCCTTCTCTTTTTGTACGCTTCTTATTTGATCAGCCTCGAGTCATGATAAACTCTGTAGAACAGCAATCCAAGTACGCAAATCCCGACACGCTCCCGAGCTACACACCCTTCTTCATGCGAAGGCATAATCGCGGGACGATCCCCTTTTTGGTCGAACAGAGTAGCAAGGATGATGATGACGACGATGATGGATCTTAAAATGGGTTGATGATATCGAGCAGTGTTTTCTTGATCTTTCTCGCTGGATCTGTAGAGATATGGGAACCATCTTACCTCGATCATCCATGATTCGATTTCTACAGCTCCTTAGATTCAAAGAAATGCTGCAGCTCCTCTTTTTCGAAATCGTACCTGCAGCTTAAAGTCATGGATTCATCTCCCGAGGTGGACTTGATAATAAAGACAGGGAGCAAACCCCCACGTCCTGCGAGGACAGGAGGTTCATGGTGCTTCAGCGTCCTATTTCTCTTGCTAACGGATGGACAAAAGTCAAGCAAGGAGAACAGGGCTGCCTCGGTTCTTGCACTTTGTAGCTGGTGCAGCTCGCAATGAATGCCTGAATCTTGTGAGTTCAAGAAGCTTGTCTGAGAACCATAAACAAGATGTACAACTATGTTCGATGAGATCAACGACGGGAACAGAAAGAAAACGAAGATAAAAATTGAGCAAAGGAGAGTAAGAACAAGAACAGAGCTGCCCTGTTCTCCGTTCCCTAGCAGCTAAAGATCACTGGAATGTCTGACTAGCTAATGAAGCAAACATGGAGAGATCAATAGAGTCTGCTAGCGAATGGCAGGGCTAGACGGCTTCCTCTCCGTCCCTTCCCACCCTGCGGCAGCTGTTCCTGGTCCCATGTTGAGGCCGCCGCCGCCGCCGCCACTGACCGAAGTCATCAATGCCGATAGGCCGCCGTTGGCGGTGCCGTCCACTGGACCCATCCCCAGACCTAGGAAGTCCAGCGTCGCTGGTTTCGACCCGAACAAGGAAGAGGAACCCATCATCAGGTCCGGCTCGTAAGGGAGCCCGAGCCCGAGCCCCGCCGATAGCATTGGTGCTGGCTCCGGCTCCAGTTTTCGCTGGTGACCCCATTGCAGGCCGTCATCCTGGATGTTCTCCTGATGCCCCGAGGAAGCGTCGAGGCCGAACCCCTTGAGGAAGGATGAGCCCGTGGCGGCGGCACCCATCTGAGCTGCCTTCTGCAGCAGCGCGGTGGCTGACATGTGGGGGGAGGGCGGCGGCGGAGCGAAGGGACGCCGGTCATGAGATTGCGCCTGCGGCGAGAACAACGACGCCGGGCCTCCGTTGGTGGCGAGACATAGCGAGGGGGGTTCCGTGAGCGGCCGGTCAGCGTGGCCCATCACGCTCATGAGGTCGGAGAAGGTGGCCGTGCTGTGGGCTACTGCGGTGGAGGTAGTCGACGCAAAGAGGCTCGCAAACAGGCTGGTGTTGCTGCTGCTGCTGCTGCTGCTGCAACTGACACCGCTGGTGTTGGCCAGCGACGCCGACGGCGGCGGCATGTACTGTGGCAATTCGGTCGGCTCAGCTGGCTCTGCAGTGGAATTGCAAGCACGTTAAGGGAGGGAAACCAAAAGAGGAGCAATGATGCGGTGGAGATGAGTAGATTTCTTTGATTCCAACTCCTTTAGCTCATCAACTGCAATGGAAAGTTTCTTATCAGAGCGAGACTTTTGGAAGGAACCAAACAACTCTCAGGACTCTCTCTCTCTCTCTAAAAGAAGCCTCTTTTTGCCTTCTACCTTCTCCAAAAGTTCCACCTTTCTCTTCACCATTTGGATCGACAACGAGGGCACTCGGAGAGCATCAGACGACAGAAGACTCCAACGATCATGTCCTAATCCCCGCTAAATGCGCGTTTTTTATTGCATACGAAGCTTCAGATCCCGCAAAACCCCTTCGTTCACCTTCCTCTCTATCCGTGAGCTAATAGGATTCTTCCGCAGTCCGAAACTAGACCAAAAAGAGATGGACACGAGAGGCTAGAAACGGAGAACCACCAACCTTGTAGCTCCAGCGGGGCCACCTGCTGTGGTGGCAACGGAGCCGCGACCACCGCGGCCGGAGCTGTTTCCGCCGCCGCCTCTGTTGCTGCTGTTACTTCCTCAGCCGCCGTCTCTTCCTCGGTTGCCGTTGCCTTCTCTTCCTCCGCCGATGGCTTTGGATCCGAAGTCTGCGCCCCTGGCCCCTTCTTGCCACTCTCCTCCGCGAGCGCGTCGCAGAATGCTCTGTGGGTGATGAAGCTATCTCGCCTACCCACACCAGATCGACACACCGTGAACAAAACAGAAACAATGAATCCGAGATCCAAATCGACTGTCACACAACTGCATCAACAACGACTGGTCATGCAGCGAAGGTGTTCGTCGAAATACCGGGAAAAGAGCGTGCCGCAGTCGCAGCGATACTCGCGGGTTCCGCAGACCTTGGAATGGGCCTTCCAGTCGGACTGCACGGCGTACTTCTTCGAGCACTTGTCGCACTTCCACTTCTTCTCCCCGTGTTTCCGGCAGAAGTGCTTCTTGATACCGGTGAGATCGCCGAGCGCCCGCGACGGGTCGTGGTGCACGCAGCTCGGCTCCGGGCACACATACACCCGCTTCCGCGGCTCCTTTCCCGTCCTCTGCCGCAGTTTCCACGGCAAATTGTGCCCCCTCCGATGCAGCTGCAGGTTCTGGTCCCGCTGGAATCCCTTGTTGCAGATCTCGCACACGAACCGGTTGGTCGCCAACAACGTCTTGGGAGACAGCGCGATCACCTCCGCCTCCGGATCTATCCGACAAATCCCCATTCAATAACAAGAACCAGAAGGGGACAGCAGAAGCTCCAATTTGACTTACCTGGCGTTCCGGGGAGATTCCTCTTCTTCTTGACCACCGGATTCGGCGGCGGCGGTTGCGGGGGCGGCGCGGGGAGCTGAAGCTGGCTCGACGACGAGACGCTGCCCTCGCCGGAGCCGGAGTTGGAGACGGTCATGACGGAGGAATTCTCCAATTCCATCATCGAAATCTCTCTTCCTCTCAACTTCAAGACACAAAAGAAGAAAGAAACTGAAAAAGGAGAAGCTTTCACCAGCTACCGCTCCTGTATGATCCCTCGCCGGCACACTGAAACACTGGTCCGCCGGCGACACCGACAAAAAAGCGCCACACTGTAAAAACAAAAAGGCCAACCTTTTAACCCCCCTCCTCCATCTTCACTGGTTTCCCTCCAACAAACCGATATGAAACAAGAACGGAGCCGATGAATCGAGCTCCCACAAACCAGCGAGACTCGGTAACGACGGTGAGCCGAGTTGGTCTTCTTCGGCGGCGCAAGCGCTGCAAAGACGCAAGGGGAGGAGAAGAAGGGTAGAAAGGGAGGAGCGAAAAGTACCCACGCAAGTCTAATAAAGCGGTGGGTGGAGGGCTTAACTCGGGTTAGGAAATGGTGGCAGACCTGCGGTTAACTCTGGTATGGACACGTGGAGAAATCCCGACCGTCACGCCGGTCGCAGGCTCGGCTCCGGCCTCCCCCTTTCTTTTTGTCGTGTAGCGGAATCTCTACTCACCCCTTCTGACCATTTTTATTATTATTTTATATTTCACCGTTTTAAATATTGTTCCGATAAATTTAAAATTGGAAGCGAGTGACACGTCATCCTTGAAACGTAGAACAGCGTTTTTATCCAACCACTGATGGACATGTGGGTTGGCCATTATCCGCTTCATTAATAGTCGATTAATGCCGTGGAAATGAACAAAATAACAGTTTTTTAGTGAGAAAATTAAAGGAATAAAAGAGAAAAGGGTAATTTAGTACTTTAACAGGATAAGATTCTCCCGAATTAATGGGGTGGCCCACCACCACCCTCCAACAGTGGTATCCCAGTTTCCCTGCTTTATTTTCAGATTTACCAAAAGGTCCCCTTAAGAATATCTATTTTGATGAATATATATATATGATGAATTTTGGGAAAAAAAATCAGAAAATACCCCATCTATAGAATCCCTTAACAATATCTTTTTTAGGGGACAATCGATCCAATTATAATATTATTACATTACATTTCTTATAATAATATTTTTTCAAAAATACTAATTTTTTATTTATTATTATTAAATACATATTATATAAATATTATATAAAAATTCAAATAAAAAAATAAGATACTTAGTAAAGAAAACCTTTTTCGAAAATTTACTTATATATATATATTTGTTACTTATATGGATCTGATGAGTATACTACTATCAACTTCAGCTTAAACATTTTGATCAGTGGTTTAGATCAAATGAAGTTGATAGGCTAATTAGCCCATCAAGCTCGGATCATAATAGAGTGTGTTATGAATAAATTATTAGGGGTTTAATTGTTTATTACAGTCATCGTTTTCACTTGCCAGTCTTACCTGTGCTTCTATCCAACTGAGCTTTTGGTGGTAGCTACTGTAATGGCAATTGTTTATCCTTCCTTTATCAGAGTTCAGCTCTGACTTGGGGATCACTCTAAAAGAACACCTTAAATCTTCTCTCAAGTGCTCACTTCTCCATCATCTCAAAAGTACTCTGTTTTAATCATCATCTTATGGATGCCTTCCAATCACATTTCCACTCCACCCTTTACGAGACTGTCAGGTTCAGCTACCTGATCTCCAACTCATGCAAGCCTTTTGTTGCATTATGGGTTTGTATCTCAACTCAGGGAGAAGAAGTGCAGAAGAGAAGGGCACTTTCATCAGGTTTTATGACCCAATTCCAGTCTCATCAAATACTTCCAATGTTTTTAAGGTCAGAGTAGCAGTCAGCCATTCCGAAGTGCCCTTCTCGTGTGCACACTGATTGAGGATAGAAAGAGGGAGGTGAAAGCAACAGGCCAACACAAATCATCAAGGGAGTTTGGTTTCTTTATTGTGTTTCTCCTAAGATTCCATTAATGTCTCTGTCTAATCATTTCCCCAAGTTTATTATCTCCCAGGTTTGTTCACACTTCCCTGCCAGGATAGTTCATGAGATCATCCTCCATCATATAGTTCAATGAACCCGTGCCGAAGCAAGAGGACACACCGCAACCACTCCTGCAAACCATACCTTCAAAACTGTTGATTTGCCAAGGAAATGGAAGATTGAAATCCATGCGTCGTGATAAACTGATCTGCAATGAAGAACAGAGCATTTGCCAAAGAGCCAGAGGAAGAGAGAGTAAGAACATTTCATCAAACACTTTCACATACCTCACCTTTCCTTCACCGGAGAGAATTTGGTTAGCTTCACCTCCAAAACACGAGAACAATGTGCCCAACCAAGATGAGCTCCGACGTCGATGTCAGTGAACAAATATATCGTGACTGGTGAGTCAGCACGGCTAAGTTCGCGGGACGATGTCGGAAGCTTTCTGTAAAGTGAATTGGATGATGAGGTGGTCGTGTCCTGGGGAAGAAGCGTCGGTTGGCATTGGTCAGGATCCAGCGCGATTACTGTTCTCCTTTGTGCGAGGGGGTGGCGCCAGCGATGTCGTGCCTGGGTCCCAAAATGTGTCGTATCAGTCGACAAGCTTAAAAGATCGAATTGAGACGAAACAAACTTATCATGATTCACTTCCAACAAGACGTCAAAGTTTTCATTGATTCAGTTTATCTTTGTTGTCATTCTTTCCCCCCTAATATTCATCTATCACTCGAGTGTTCGAATCGTGTTAAATATTTTTTTTTTTTCTTCTAAATGAGATATATAAATAGTGCTCGATATATAAATAGTTAATTATGAATATGATATTTCATAGCATTATTATTATTAAAATAATAAAAAAATAATTTTGAGCCTTTGATCAACCAAATATATTTAAATTATTATTCAACATTTAAGCATTTGTCATATTGTTTGAGGAGTCTTAATCATTACCACATTTTATAATTAAACTAAATCAATCACTCTCAAATTATCAAGCAATAAGAGCAACACTTGTCTTAAACATCGGACCTAACATCATTTACTTTCTCCAAAAAGAACAAAAAAAAACCCAAATAATCGGGCCATTCCCACCACTCGATCTATGAGAGGATGTTAGGAATTTAATTAGGTGGAGGGAGGGGCGTTGATCTCAACGTCCACATTAGGCCATGCACGAATCTCGATGCAGCCGCTCGGTGAGAATCTCAAAGCGCGGGCATTATAAGCCGACGTGTCGGAAGCGGGGAGCAGACAGTATCCAGACCGAATCTCAAAGCGAGGGCACCGCCGTCTGATGTAAGGGTGTCCGAGAAACGTCGATGCGTCGGAAGCGGGAGCCGTGGTGGACCACGCACGGATCTTGATGCAAGCAATCAGCATCCTGAGCGTATCTCAAAGCGAGGGCACCGCCGCCGTGCACCGTAAGGGTATCCGAGAAACCCACGTGTTCGAAGCGGGAGCCGACATTAAAATCCGGGTTCCCGCCAAAGTTTGGCGCGAAAAACATTTTCCTATTAAACAAATTCGCATCGACTTTCCTTTCCTTCCCGCCCTCGACGCCTCGGTACCCCCGGGCGATCGCCTCCGCTCAACTAGGGTTTTCCTCTTCGGTTGCCGCCGGCCTCCGCATCTCCTCCGCGGATCACATCCATCAAGGTAAGATCCCCCCGGCTCGGATTCCCTCGGATACGGTTCCTTTTCGGATCGATCTTCTCTTGGGTTTTCGAGCTAGGGTTTCGAATTTTTTGTTCTTTTTTGGGGTTCGGTGCTTTTGTCTGGGTCTGTTGGTCAGATCTGAATCGCTTGATTAGATCGGTTGTGCTGTTGCATTTATGATGGATTCGATGCTTTCCAGGTCACAGTACTTGGAATTCCGATACCATATGGTTCCAGGATTTGGTGTATGTAATCACGAATTGGCCTCAAGATCCGCTGAAAGGTTTCAGGGTGCGTGATCCTAAATTATCAGACAGTCACTGGCAATCTGATCTTGATGGATTCTGTTTTTGCACTTTTTTCTGCTTGTTCTTGTCAGTGGTAGGAAAAGGGATACATTATGCCGCAGGATTGATCTTGGAAAGAAAGAGACCCTTTTGCCGGGAGAGGAAGTCGGTCTGTGCTTTGCAGTCTTGCTGAGTTAGATAGTTGCAAACGCTCGAATCTTTATCTGCTCAAATATGGAGGATTCAGTTTCAAGAAATCATAATGTCAACCACCCGAGAAGACGATCGTTGAGACTCAAACATGTACGTGTCATCTATGAAGAGAATGGCGTGGAAATTATAGGTTTATCTGCGTCAAGTGAGAAGCACAAGAAAGAGTGTGATCCCGCTGTAGGCAAGCAGGTAAAAGTTATGTTGCTCGAGTCAGAGGACGATGGCTTTACCTGCAAATCTAGTGATCATGTCGACGCCCTCTCTGATAGCGCCTCTGATGAACAGAGTGCCATCGGCATAACCTTGAAGGATTTGCGAAAAAGGTGCAAAGCTAGGAAACGGAAGGCCCCAAAATGTAATTTTTCCTCAGAAGTTGACTCTGGATGCCATTCGACTTCCGGGGAATCCAAGATGCAGAATCATGAACATGTCAAACTGGAACAGGAGGAATCTGACCTTGAGGAACCCCTTATCAAACTGAAGCGTTTAAAGGGATCTGCTCGGGACAAGAAGCGACCAAAGCGTGCACATTTGTGTTCAGATGATTTAGTTTCCAAGAAGGTGGATACATTGTCACCCTGTAGGTTCTGTGATCCTGTGCAAGATTTGTCACCTGTAGTAAAAGCTAATGCATCAACCAAGGGAAGGGTTTCAGAGGATGATGCTACAGAGGTCGATGTGAAAAACACAGCAGGTGAGGTTTCGACTTGTAGATATTCATTTACTCTATATTTTCCTTAATGCACTACTTTGCCTTTGCTTCTATATTCCATGCAAACACCAAGTCAATAGCAAGTTGGCTGATAAATTCTGGAAAAAGATGCAAGTTCCATCTTCGCATAATAAATTTATTTCTGTTCTTTTATCATATTTCTTATGATGACGTTGGGATGAATGCAGTGACACACTATATGGAAGTCAGTAATTCTCTGGTTTCTTCTAATGCTTCTGTAAATGGTGATCTCCTTTCTACTGCCATTCCTGAATTTGTTCATCATGTTAAAGGTGAGATTGTAGATACTTGTTCATTGGGTTACCAAATTGAAGATGATCATGCTGTCAAGGGCACCCAATCAGCCAATCTGTTTCGGAAAGACACTGAAGATAGTGAGGCCTCTTCTTTGTCAATTTCTAAGCTAAAGAATAACCTTTTCGTTGATAGTCCTAGATACAACATTGTTAAAACTGAGAAGTCTGTAGATGATGCTCTGATGCATAAGCATACCTGTGCTTCTGGGAATTCAACTGCTAGTTTTATAGCAAAACCTGTCTGTCCTGAAGAGCCATCTAGTGGGGAGGATGGTGAGTTTGCTCCTGCTAGTAAAGATCCAGTATGTTGTGTTTGTGAGATTTCCATTAACTATAGAGAACCAGAAAATTATCCTGGTGTTCCTGAAATTAGTGAAGAACAAATTGGTGGAACCAAGGACCTTTCGGCAATTCCAAATTGGGATGTCATACCATCAGTTTTGGAAGAATCAAAACATGTTAGAGTTCCTCTAAATGGCTTAAAACATGTGAGAGTTCCTCTCAGTGGCTTCAGTCCCAACTCCATCTCTGCCCCTGCAGACAATTATCATGTTAACAATAGGAGAAATAAGAAAAGAAGCATTTTACCTGAAGAGATTACAGATAAGAGCACATCAAAACAGATAAATTGTTCAGCTAAATGCCATAGTTATGAACCAATGGAAGCAAAACTTATCTGTGCTGTCGATATGGTAAATGAGGATACTCAAGATTTAGCTAATGGTACACCACTACAAGAGATGCCAGTATACGGTCAGGCAAACGATGTGATTGATGAGCATTACCTCTTGTGTAAAGAAGTATTTGGTTTGGAGGAAATATTTTTATCCGGAAAGGAAGATCATAGTTGTGATGATCTAATTCATGATGTGATGGCTGGTAGCGTGCTCTGCTCCCTGCCACTCTCCAAGACATGCTTCAGTGTGGCCAAAGAGTTGCAACATGCTGGTGAGGAGACAGATCCTTTCTGTAAATTGGAAAATGCTTCTAATGGCCAAGCAGAGAAAGCAATTGATTTCTCTGGGAAAATATCCAATTTCTCTAATTCAGATGGATCGACAGAACTTGATCCCCACTCTCGTAAAGCATCTCCTCTGTGTATAATTTCAAGCGATCGTCTGCAATGCACAGATGATTTACTGAAAGACACAGAAGACTTGTCTTGTGTAGTGGAAGAAAAGCTTGATGCTACTTCAGATCAGCCAACTATAACTGCAATATCTCATTCAGTTGTGATCAGCAAAGAACAATCTGAATGTGATCAGGAGTTGTTGGCGGATCATCCTCCCGAAAAGCTATTATCATATAGGAAGGTTTGATTACTTGCATTTTCTGTTAAATATTGTCCTTAAATCTCAATCTCCCGAGCTTACATTTTGTCGTTACATTGTGGCAGACCATGTCTCCAACCTCTCAGGAGAAACTTTGCCAGGCTTTAAGGGACATTGATCTACAAGATGTCAGTCAACCAACTGGTAAGCATTGTATTTGTATCCGTGTACTAATACATTTTTTTTGTTATCGTTGTCAATAGTCACCGTGCTCCATTTGGATTAGAAAAATCTCTAGCTAAAAGGAAGAGGCTTTCATGCGAGAAATGGATAAAGGCAAGGATATCCTCCTCACTTCTAGGTCCCAAGGAAGCTAAACAATGTCTGGGGCCTGAGCAAACAAATAAAAAGCCAAGGAACCAATCTAATGGTCCTCCCCCTCCTGTTAAGAAAGTAATTGTCAAGTCACCAGAGACTTCTGGCAGGATGCCATGTTCTTGCATGAAGACTTCATCAATTCACATGAATATGGAGAAGGCCATCGAGTTTTCACAGCGGCAGATGCATGATATAGAAAGACTTGCTATGCAACTTCTGAAGGGGTTAAATTCCATGAAGAACATCATGGAAGAAACACTTAGCTCAGAAGCTCCTTCTTGCCTGCTCTCTGAATTTACTGCTGAGGAGGTATAGCTATTTCATTTTTCCCACATTAACAAATGCATGTCTTCTGGAATCTACTTCAAACAATTCATTGTTCACACCCTTGACATCCTAGCTTTAAAAAACCATGTACAAGACTGCCTTGTGTTTGTTTTACCATGTCAAATTTGAGTGCTCATCCCTTCAGTTCTGGTTGCTTTATCTTCTTTTTTTTTTCCCCCAATAATAGCTATGAAATAGGATTGACAATACTTATGTATCATAATTACTCTTATGACAAGCATGTTCTTGCGTTGTGAGATGTTTGCTAAGACATTCGACTATACAAACCCAAATCACTAAGTTCAATCTTTTGAAGCAACTGATTCTTTGATATAGTACTTTTTTTTTTGTTGTATTGATTACTTGTAGCTTACATGCTTGTGTTACTCAACAACAGACATTGATATCAGATGTTAGTTTTGTTTTCCTGTATCAGCACGTCAGATATCCACCAGATGCTTATGCTCATTGAGAGAATTGAAGTGTTCCAAAAATCTTATCCTGCAATTTACCATTTAGCAAGCCGTTTGCTAATGAATGCTTAAACATGACTTGATTTGATAGCTTGCATTTGTTTATGGACAGATGCGGGCAGCTGCTGAGAATGCTTCAGAACTCGAAAAGACCACAAAGAAGTGGTTGTCTATTATGACAAAGGATTGTAATCGTTTCTGTAAAATAATGGTAGGTGATGCCGTTTCCTTGACAAAACCTCAATCCGGCAGTATCCAAAATTTGAGCGTTTGATTCTTATTCGGTATTAACCTCGTCATTTAAATGACAGAGATCAGCAGACAACAAATCAACTGCTTCTGTTAATGGTGTTCGCAAAGGGAGAAAGATAACTTTTGCTGATGAAGTTGGTGGTACGCTCTGCCACGTCGAGACCTTTGAGCGACAGCCTTCTCCTGACAGTACACCTGAACGGGAGCAGTCCGGTTAGAAGCAATGCTGAAAGGTGGCATCACAACATTTACATTGGTCATTCCCTGCATTCACAAGTCAGGTAGGGAAGCAAAAGCCACTCCATTCCTTCATTTACATTGCAGATCTTTGCATCCTCTCAAGCAACAGTTACACCTATGCGAAGGTCTTCATGGATCATGAGATCCTGGAATTTCCGTGAAGGGATGTTTATAGTTGGCAAAAAAAAAAAAAGTTAGTTTGTGAAAATATCTTATTCTTGATATTGATATTTATGGGAAATTTCAATTTCAGCCTGCTAATCTTGGCCCTCATGCTGTCTTGTGTATTGTTGTACTTTGACGAAAGGCTTGTAACTAAAGTTTAAAGCAATGCTTTGCAAATCGTTTCTGTTTTGTATTGGACTCACCTGAGTTGTTGTACTTGGATGGAATACATACCAAAATTAGTTGATCTCAAATGCTGGTGGAATCCGACATAACCGAGAACCGATCTCATACAAAATTATATTTTTTCAGTGACAGATGGTAATGTTAATGTGTTGATGTTCATGTTGATTTTGTTATGTGGATGTCTTGGAAATCAAGAAAATAGTTATGTTGGGATTGTGGATGAAAACAATGAGATGATGCTATAATTGAATGAAAAAACTTCAGTTGCCTCTTTTCTTTGAAGTTGAATCTGATGAATGCAAATTGATTCAGATGGTTGGGTGTTGTACCGACCATTTCAACCATGGATACGTTAAGCATATATCGGCAAGAAGACAGAGAGCAGAAGGCCGTGAAATGTGAATCATTGTGAATCCAAATGAGCTTTCCGAGAGTGAATAATAGTACTGCAAAGGTGTAAATGACTGTTAGAGAGAGAAAATAAAACTGTAGCTTTGTGGTGACAGGAAGGAATCGTTTCAGTAGTTTTCTTTGGTCATTCGCAGCGTTTCGATTGGAACCCAATCATGCTCTCACGACTTCACGTAGTGAGAGAAATGTTACTTCATGTAAACCTGGCTGACGCTGCTTACCCATCCCTCGCACATGCAATAAATAGCTCACATAATAATAAAACAAGATAACAAAAATAAATAGTTTTTATTTTGCAAGTAATAAAGTCAATTATAATAACTATTTAAAAATGCATCACCACTTATAAGTTGCTCGTATTTAGAGGGTCTCTTATGCATCACCGTATAAATGATTTCTAAAAATAGTTCTTAAATCTAATTTATTTTCATGTGAATTAAAGACTCTTATTTCTATCTATTCATAACTTAAATAGAGTTGATCAAACTAATTTACTAAAAATCATGTTCAGGATATATATAATAGTTTTAAGAGATTCACCATGTATTAAGTCCGGTATAGAAGAAAGATTCATCATACTCTTAACCATATCCATAAGGGTATAATTATGTGTTTCAGTAACACCATTCTACTATAATACTCTTGGTATTATAAATATTGAGTACAAATATCTTATCTATATTTATCATAAAACTCACTTTTTGACTTATGTACACCCAAGGATATCAATAACTCAGATTTTTTATATATTTAATATATATATATATATATATCTTAAAAAATTAATAATAAAAGTAATAAAATATTTTCCTTCACTAAAATATAGAATATACAACAGTCGATGATATAGAAGATATGATATCTATTTCCTTTAATACTATCATATTGAGTTATAGTAAGCCTTTTTACGCTAATGCTGGCAAATGACTTATTTGCCATCTTGAAATATTCTTTAATAACCATTAAATATTCTTTTGAGTATCAAACTAAGCATATTGGATCTTTCATAAGTATTCATTTTGTTTACTCGATCCATAGTGTTATCATAAGTAATGTCTACGGGTCTTTCAAGATAGATCCAAATTTAATACATCTAAAGTAGATTGTATATGCTCAAACCACTCTGAATAATTCAACGCAGAACTACTATGAATAATTAGATTGTATATGCCTAAGTATTTTAAGAATAAAGGATCATTGATATTTTAAATTTCCATTATTATGGCTGCTTAAAGAATAATGCCAAATTTTATGAGCAAAAAACGTAAATAAGAGGATATTAACGGAAATAAAAGATTTTTATAAGGCGAAATTGGAATATTGCGGTTAAGGATATAAATCGGAAATAGTAATTTGCCGAAGGGCAATATCGTCCTTTTAGGGGCGGAAGCCGTAAACCCTATTCGTCCTCCCTCTCGTTGCGTTGTCCACCCGCGTCGGCTGACATCCGGCGTCGCGTCCACCCCATAGCCGGCCACCATCGTAGAAACACCATCACTTCTCTGCCGGCACCAGGGCAGTGCACTGCCTCTTACCAGTAAAATTATGAGCCACATACGGTTAACGAGCGGCCCGCTGAAAGAATCCAACACACATCACCTCATCTTTTTGTTTACTTGTTCCATTGCTTTCCTGTGACCCACTGTGCTCGACCCTTACAAGACGCCAACCCTTATCTGGTGCTGAGCCCTAGGCCTGAGCCGAGCGATCTCTTTGGCCTTCTCGGTGTCCTCATGGTGGCCGGGCCTCCTGCAGCTGTTGACTTGTGCTCCACGGAATTGATATATCGGCAGGGATTCCTCCGGGGGTACGGAGGCTGTCACTCACGTGAGTGGCGAGGGCCTTTGGACTCCTCCCTTTCTCCCCTTGTGCGTGCAGGAATCTGTCTTCTCTCCATGATGAGAATGTTCCATGGGCGAGACGAGCATGTGGTCTCTCGCCTCCCTGTCGAAGTAGATCTCCCTCATCATTTCCACCGAGATCTTCCTCGTGTTGGGTGGTAAAAGAGGAAGAAAGAGATGGGGAGTGTAGGGCATCCTTCTCGGACACAATGATGAGGGTTTGCAGGAGTCTGAGCTGGGAAGGGGCGTCGGCGTCGCTCATCTTTCACGTCTTCATCCGCCCTACAATCCATCGGAAAGACCCCAACAAACACAAAAGAAAAGAAGCAGGCGATGATGGATTGATTATTATTGATGCGTCAAAATACTGCACACGAGGCACGACAACCAATCCATGGATCCATGTCGATAGCCAATAAGCATGTGACAACTCATCCTCTCATCTCATCTGATGTCTTTGTATTATCTTAATTCCTTTATAACATTTATATCCACTCATTTTTTATCTTTCTCTAAAATGAGCAAATTTGGTACTCGAATGAAGTCCAATATGATAGTTTGGTGCTCCCACCTACTCTCCATGGCTCGAATATGGTGCGTGCCATCCGTGTAAACCGCGTCTCATTTAATCCTAGTCATTTAAAGCCTAGTTTGTAGGTTCGACATGGCTGACTTGAGATGTCTGTAGGTGGTGACACTTTCTTCTTTCTTATTCATCTATTCATCATTACATTCTTCTCCCGTCTCCCTCTCTCTCTCTCTCTCTATCTCTTTGTGTGTGTATGTGTGTGCGTGTGTGTGGGGGAGAGAGCAGCAACGGCTAGTCGATGAGAGATTACGCTACGTGGGCACGTCACGTAAAGCGCTCGGGCACGGCCAAATTTGATGCGACCGATATGTGCATGCCAATCCACTTTGGAAGACCTTTCCAATACTATATTCATCCCAGCGTTTCTCGGGAGAAGAAGAAGAAGAAGAGAGAGAGAGAGAGGAATACGATGGGGAGGTCACGTAACGCATCTCTCAGCTCTTGGCCCCATCTCCTCGTTGCTGCAGATACCCTTCCCCTTCCCCTTCCCCTTCCACCATTAATGAGCACAACGTTTTCCTCTTATGTATAAGAGGACTCTGGGTTTCCTCTCTTGTTTCTCTTCTGCTACTACTGAAGGAACTATGCCACCCCAA